CTTGTAAAGATATTACCCCAGGAAAGCTAAGAGTTTGTTGTTCACGCTGTCATGAAGGAGCAATGGTTCTCTATCAGGTATGGGTATTTAGTTTTTTAGTTACAATTTAAACAAGGTTTTCAGTTATTTTCTTGCATGGTTGCATGAATGTTAAACCTAACGTAATGTAACATAATTTTTAGGATGGAAAGCTCTCTATAATTTTCTGCGTAGAATTAAAAGTAAAATCTATGGAAAATATAATACAAGTCACAGATCGAAAACGTAGCATTGTGCTTTAGCTGTACTGACAATCTGATCTGAGGAGGCCAGGTCTTAATAAGGCCTTTTTTGCATTATATTCTGCCAGCTCTCATTCTTTCTCTCTTTTATATATCTGCATGAATTCTTAAACTCCTCCCTTCGTCTGCCTATTGCTTTTCCAATCCCTTCCTACTAAGTAGATTTTTATGTAATGTTTACAAAACGACTAGTAGGAGCGTATTATCAGGTTTAAAAACTTGAGGTGAAGCCGAGAGTTTTTAAACTGATAATACGCGACTGCGAGTTTTTTGAATGGCTTAAAAATCTCTGATATAGATCAACTCATTCTTGCACTAATATTTAGATTTGGGGCTATTTGAAACACTTAACAGTATACACTGTTATTCCTGCTGCATGTCTGCTTTCACTAGAGGTTCTCTGGACAGTCATATCTTTTAATATTTCAGAGAGTCTGCAATTTTCCACAAAACATGTTCCACTGCTATTTATAGTATACAGAAATCACTGATTAAGCAATTAAGTATCATGGCAATTTCATGAACAGACTGCGATCAGATACAATAAATTTAACATCTTGATTTCATGATTTTTATATTCACTTGCAACATCTGGCTTATACAGTGTCTTTGCAAGACTGTCATGCAAGCAGATATCAATGGAAAGTAATGAGACACCATTTCTTTCACATCAATTTTTTTTATGTTTGCATTCAACCTGCTGTTCTTCCAGACTGGAAGCAAACGACAGACCATAAAAATAAGTTCTAATTCCACCATTGTCTTCCTTTTCCAGTTCTGTATTGAAAAAAAATCAATCAATTTTCGGTCCAATTAGATGTACAGTGGAACCCCTTTAATGCGACCACCGTTGGGCCATAAAATCCTGGTCGTAATAACAAGGCGGTCGCATTAACGGGGTCCTCAAAATAATCAAATGACTCAATGGTTTTTACGTTTGGTTTGAAAGAATATGGCCGTAATAACGAGGTGGTCTTATAAACGGGGTGGTCGTAAGGCGGGGTTCCACTGTAGTCAAAACTTTAAAAAATGGAGCTTTTTTGCTAAACTCACCACAAAATGTAGTTCCCTAATTTGTCTTAGAATGTTGAGTAGTACAGTAGCACTTCCAGACGGTTATGACCTCTATTTTCATTGGCCTAAATATATAAGCAGTAGCTTCTTTTGTATTTAGGGCTAAGGGTATTGTTTGTGTTGAATTATCTATTGTTTCATTGTTCAATCACAGACCATGTCTGGACAGCTACTGACCTTCTTAAATGTTGCCTAAGTTTTTCCCTGTACCATAATTGTTTTATCTTTTCGTTTTGGAGGGCAGTTTTTATATGGGAATTCAGTTTCCCCCTATTGCTTTCCTTTACCTATTGTACTTTTATATATGTATATATATTTTTATTTTGTACATAATTGGTAAAAAGAATTATTAAACTTAAACTTAAATTTAAACTATAAGTGAAGTTTCTGACTTTTGTCAGCAGATTCTTTTTATCATGTGTCAATAGGTCCACCACAGGCTACCCAGTTCTTATTTCGTTTCTTACTTTGTACACAGGACCCTAGCAGCTGGGATGATGTTCTGAAGTCTGCTAGAATAAGAGGATCATGCAAAACTCCAGGATGTGAAGGAGATACAGCGGTATTGGCTCTATAATTTGTTTTAAAATGTGTGTTTAGCCTGGGCTGGGCTGTAAACCAATTCTCCAACTGACATCACCTATTGATATCAATGTGTCAACCAGAGTACCATGTTGGTTCTTGTAACAAAATATTTTTTTCACTGTTTCACTTGTTAAAAATTTGAATAACAAATAAGCAATGTTTGTAAACAGTGAGTATTGCTATTCTTTATGTAAATTATGATGATGAAGGTTAATTTTTGTACATACAGTGTATAGTGGGTACACTGTAGCAGCCTTATCTAATGACTTCACTCGTGTAACTTCTTACATGTACATGTTGTTGTCGACTTTTCTTTTTGTTATCAAATCCCCTCATAATTACTTTCATCAATAATTCATGGCTTCTGATATTTTGTATGGGATGGCAATGGGTCACATAATCCATAAGAAATCCCTCTGGGTTTTTAATCACAAATTGCATAACCTTTGCTAAGCAACAAATTTAAACATTTATTTAGTAACTCTACAAAGTATTAAACTGTTAACCAGCATGCACAAACTCTTAAATAGTCTACATTGTAATTTTGATGTGAATCTAATGAACTTTGTTTTATACCTAATTTTCTCTAGAGAAATCACATAAAGCTTGTTCTGCCACTTTCTTAAAATTTTACAGTTTCGTTCTTGATCTTGAGACTTGTGTACACAGGGCTGGTAACTGCATCAATTGATCTTCTGACTGAGGTCTCCAAGTTGTTTGCGTACTGTGCGGCAGATTTCTGAAATATTATGAAATATCATGCGATCTCCCAAACATGCTGCATACTTAATTTGCCTGTACATGTTTTTTTCTTTAATATGAATTCTTTCACAGGTGTTTTACTTTAAATGTGCTCAACACCCAACTGATGAAGGAGACAGATGTGTAGCCCTTCCTTTAATTCGTCCAAATACAAGAGACGTTCCCTGCTTAGCTTGCACAGACACCAAGTAAGTATGCAGTACTCATTTAAATGGAACACTGATAATAAGTGGACCTTTTACAATGAAGTATGATAACTTTGCAGGCTTTTTGGCTCCTGATACACTGAAAACCAACTGTCGTGAAACCACAATTATGTTAATTGTATAAATAGATATGTAAAATATGTTTTGGCTGAGTTGATTATGATCTATTTTGCTTTTTTTTAACATTTTCGTGACAAAACACAAGAGTGAAAATCCTCAGTGAAAAAAAAAGGAAGGGAAGAAAGAAATTAAATACTGTAAAAGATGTAATCGTTGGGGATCACGTTTTTGAAACAAACAGCCATCAATCCACCAGTAGTTTTCAACTTCTAGTAACCTCAGCGCTTGTATTGTACAAATTGTAGTTAATTTTTATCTTAAGTAATTTTTCTTTTTCTTTTGTGTCAACTTCATTAGCATACATTAACATACCCAAAAACAAAAGAAAAACAAAAATTACCAGAGATAAAAAGTTAACTACAACATTATACCAATCCTCCATCCGTTGTCTTCTGCTCATGTGCTTTCTCGCCCTTTGACCTGGGGAGGATACTCTCTAAGATGGCCTATGCTGAGAGGCTCCGCCCGAAAGGGGGTACCATTTTTTAGGCTTCAGGTATATGAAAGGGTCATGGATTTCACGAGTTGAAGTACGTGTCTGTAAAAGGACCTAAAGGAGCTAATAGACGAATCTTATGGCTGTGAAAAAGACAGAAAAACTCGCCTCTTCACGTTCCCACCAGGTCACCCTCCTTTTCCGATGGCATTATTTATCAACCTCATCATCATCATCGTCGTCGTCATCTTTGTCTTAGTGATCATCATCATCACCAACATCATCTCTTTTTGGCATCTCCATTGCAGTAAATGAAAGCTAATCAAAGTTGAGTTAATGGAAGACACCTTAAAACTTGCTCATTTTATCTTCGACAGGGAAACCATTCTTGTTTTCCCCTGTCAAGATACACACGCGATGTGCCTGGACTGCTTTGAGATGTACTGCACAACAAAATTAAATGACAGACAATTTGTACAACACGAGAGTTATGGGTACACTCTGCCATGTCCTGGAAGCTCAGGTGAGATAACTGTGCAAACAGCTTGAACAAAATAAAGATAAATAATGAAAGATGTTTAATTTTAAGCCATGTTCTCATTAGTTTCACATTAAAACTCTTCCTTTCGCCAACAGTTTTGAAGAACGTACCAGTGGTTAATGAAAGCCAGAAAAAAACTGTTCGATGGTGAAATGAGAATGATGTAACTATACGACAATTTTATTCGCAAATTTTATTAGAACGAACAGAACAAAATTAAAGCTAAACGGTAAAATTTTTGACCAGCTAGTTCTGCTGAAACTCAACGACAAAAGGTTTCATAAAGTTGTATACATAAGTAATAGTCGGCCTGAGTTTATGCTCTCTGAGAAACAAGCCATGTCAAATTCTAGTGTGTTTTGATTCAGTCGTAGGATATATAAAAATAATGCTTGTTTTCAGGAGAGTCGAACATTCTCCAAATATAACGTATGACGGGTCTGAATATCACTCCTTTTTAAACATTTTTCCAATCTCCTTGAGCACATCGAGCGTGAACTGTTGGTATCTACTTTCCGCTTCTAACTGCTGCTGCAGAATTCTCTTAAACAAATCCTCCTCCCTTTTGCGGCTGTCTTCTAAAAACTCCCGCAAAATAGCGATCATGCTGAAATCTTCTTGCCTACTTTGAGTCATTTTCACCGGTCTTGGGTTCTTCCTGGGCTTTTTCCGGGTAGGTAAGAAATCACTGAGGGTGTTGTGCCAGTGAGGTCTTTTAACGCCCGATACAGGCGTCTCTTCCAAGGGGCTGTCTTCTTCAGATGATTCTTCGTCGCTGGGAGCATTCTGAGATGCTGTGACCCCCGGTGTGGGTGTGGTCCCCTCTGTGTACACCTGCATCTGTACCTGCCCCACGTGATTGGCTATGGGGGCATTCAGGGGCGTGATCGGTGGTGCTGGTGCGATGGGGCGCAAGACTTTGGGTGTGGTGTTATCTGGTGGCAGTGTAATTAGGCTTGCAGCAGGGGAAGCGGTAACAACCGTTGCTGAACTCATACCGGCATCACACATTTCCAATGGAATGTTGATTCGCACTACATCATCGTGATTAAATGGCGCTCCTTTGTTGGCAATAATTTCCTTTAAGATATCGTGATATGGAAATGAATGTGGCAGTTGGTCTTTTGTTCTGTTGTATTCTGCCAGCAGATTCTTTATTCGTACTTTACACTGATTGCCTGTTCTGGGTCCAAGTGAGCAATGAGCGACCCGCCGGTTAAATTCTCTAGCGATCATATTCCACTCTTGGTAGTTCCTTTTCTTGCCTTTGATCAAACGGTAATTTGCCCTCCATAAACTCAACAGTGTCATTGTTTCTGTATCAGACCACCGTGACGAGTTCACTGTTCCCCCAGCATCTTCCATACTTGCCGCTTCCAAGGGTTTTGAGACCATTGCCTGTTGCTGTTGCTGGGGGGTCACCTCAATGTGAACAACAGTACTCTTCTCCCCCTCCCCTAGGGTCATCGTACTTGTGTGGGAATCGGCTGTCGCCATGGCAACCGCCCTTGGGCTGTTGAGAAAGATTGAATATATGTTACCGTCTAACCTTACGGACACCTCTCTATTACGAAAAGTTCGTTTGGTCCCAGAAATGCCGAGAAATACGGACACCTCTGTAACACTTGGTTCTGTCCCTTTGGTGTCCGTATCAAAGAGGTTTTTTACTCCTGCAATATGTTGACGTCCGTACGGTTGGAAAAGAAGAAATCCTCTTGCGTAAGGCGTTTGGTTTAAAGCGTTTGGATTAGGAATGATCCTTCTGGGACGCATTTCAAGAGAAGGGAATGTCAGAAGATCTTACAACACTTGGTGCGCTGAACGGACCACAGGTTTTACAGCCTAAATGGGATTACTGTGCATCCATAATAGCCATCGTGGCTGTTGACCAGAAAAGAATTGGTGAAGCATAAATTTTGGATTTTTTAGGTGGTACCTATGAAAATGAACTATATGTTTTGCATTACTGTGGTGCTGTGTTTTGGGTGATTGGACATTTGCTTAAGTTTCTGATTCGACCAAGTACATATAGAGTTTCCGTCCAGGCTATCAGAAGCTTTCTCTGCAAATATCCTTAGTTCACTGAGAGGTTGGTCGACGCGATTTGACCTGGGTACAGTCCGGTGGCCCATTTTATTTCAGGTTTTTTAAATCCGGTTAAACGTGACGTCTTGCCAAGTTGATTTTTTTGACATAAAAAAGTAATTCGTGACTTTAATGCAATACAGTCACTTTGTACATCGTCTTATTATTATTTTCATAAAAAAAAGTTGTGTTTGGACCGTGAAGTCAAACTTGCTTTTCTAGCTTTCCTCACCGGCTTAAGACTGTTTTATTTGAAGTACAGCAACAAACACTTCACTGAAAGTACGTGAGCACTTTCGGGCCATAATTTGAAACTTACCACTTTCCAGCCTCTGCCTCCCATTAGGATCTTTATCACACATTATCTCGGCAAAAATTAATTATCCCCCTTTTAATAGAAAGTGACCAGCTTTCTCTTTTTGAATACTTGTGATCTATTGCGCCTAAATTCTCTCTTCAGAAATTTTAATTTACTTACACTGCCTATAATCTCATTTTACTGGTAATCTAGAAGCAACTCAAGTTCGAGAAAGATTGAATTATAAGTCGGCACATTTTAGACCGCGAAATTTAATAAACTCCATGACACTGTCCGCCCCTTAAGCCACGGTGGATTTTAGCCAAAATTAACTAAGTGTAACTTAAACCATCAAGTATAGTACGAGTCGGAGGTTTCGAAAAAGCATTGAAGGGCTGTAAAGGAAAGCACGCCTTCATATTACGAGGGCCAAGAAAACTCAGAAACTACACAACAAAAAGAACTCACGGAAACATAAGAAATTAAAAACTGTCACTTGATTTGTCTTTGAGGGAAAGCGAAAGCTTTCTTTTATGTAAATCAATAGATATAGACTTTCGATCCAAAATTACCGCTTCGAAAGCGACTTCCCTCTGTTTCTGGTATTAAAAACATCTCCGAATTCAGTTTATTTAATTTCCTAGATCGCTATATTTGTAACTGCTTCGAAAGGAATCCATGCTTTCTCGGTCGATAGCGAATTCAGATGATGTAAACAGCATTGAATCCGACGTTGCAAGTAAATGAATAAAATATTACGAATGGATGCTAATTCCGGATTCGAGCTTGTCTAAACCTTTATTCTAATAAATAAGTCGCTTTTGGCTGTTTTATACGTTAGTAAATTAAATTATACTTACAAAAAGTTGTTCCTGTCGTTTATTTGTTTCGTTTGGCTGTGTTATCTGCCAGAAGGCGATCTTCTTTCCTTACGAGTGTTCGATTGAATTCGATTCGCGTGGCGCTCAAACCAACAACAGAATCGAAGCTCGCTGGAGTCGATTGATCGACTAATCTTCCCAATTTCTCAGTTTGCACTTGCTCGATGTAAATCTTCTTCGATAGTAAATCACAAAGAGATAGATTTTCTAGGATTCTTCGAAGTAATTCAAGTCACCAGATTAAATCTTTATCCGCCGAAAGCGTTCTTCTGTTTTTCCCGTCTTCATTCAAGCTGGCTGCCTTGCATGTGTCGATCAATATCTGAACAATGACCTTTTGTTTTTGTTATGACGTGAGCCAGATCCGCCGCGCCGATCAGTGATTTGATTTCACTTGTAACGCTTGCGTGTATGACTCGCGCGTAATTTTTCGGTGGAATTAAAAACGGTGATAGAAATCAATAAGTTGAAGAAAAATATCAAAGGACGAATAACTATCACCGTCCCACAAGCTTTTCAAGCTCCTGATGAAGGTTAGTTCTGCTTAACCGAAATACTGGGCAGATAAATTACCCATCCATAGTATAGCTGTCCAATCAGCCGTGCCTTCAATACGAACAACTTCTTCCGACAGTGCAACTTAAAAAACACGATGATACTTATGGTAGATATAGAAGACCGACTGTGAACGAAACGTTACGTGTTAGTGTTACACTAACAGAACTCTCTGTCACCAAAATTCTCAAATAAAGTTAACTTTTTTACCGCTTGTTTATTTCTTTAAAAAATATCTACAGTGATGTGCAATTTCCTTAACGTTTTTCTTTGCACATTGTGAATTGATTTCCTTTCTTTTTTATTTCTTCTTCTTCTCCCCCTTTCTTTTCCTTTCTTTTTTTTTGCGTTTGGTTTAAAAGAAATCTCTGACATGGCTGCCACAGGTCAGGAAATGGTCGGGGAAAAAATTTCTTCAAGGTCAGGGAAAAGTCAGGGGATTTCACTTTGAGTCAGGGAAAAGTGAAATTTTGAGAGAACATGTGTACTCTTTTCTCTCTATACGTTTACTGTTTTCTAACATTTAAAATTCTTCTGTACATTTTACAGACATGAATCGTTTTGTACATGTATTGGTAGAATATTTTTCGTGAAAATGAACGACAAGCCGATGTTGGCTTTTTGAGAACATCTTCAATTTTTTGTACGTTATGTTAACGAACTTCAATTCATGTACGCTGCATGCGTCTTGCTTTTAAAAAGCATAAATAAATGGGTGGAGAGGATGGTTGTGAGGAAAGGGTTGAGTCCATTATCATGACTAATGTATGAAATTGTTAATTCCGTTGGTCAGGTAAATTTTACATTTGGCGGGAAAAAGTCAGGGAATTTCAGAAACCTCAGGCTGTGGCAGCCATGTCTGAAGTCGTCAAGTCCGTGATAACTATCCAAATTTATTTGTGGATATTATGACGACACTTGCCATCTCTGTATTGAAGTTTATAGAATTACCTCTCCTGTCGGCTACTGGTTCACTCTTCCATGCCTTTACACTGAGCGATATTCAAAGTCAGAGGCTTTTCACACAAATGCTCTTTGGGGTAAACCATAATATCTAGCTAGTATATCTGTATTGAAGCCCGGCCTGGGATGGTTTACTCTGATACGTGTATATTAACTACATGGGCAATAAGTGTAACGTAGACCATGGCCTACCGGCTTAAGACTTATTTGCTTAAAGTTTGTTGTTTTATAAAGATGAGTGTTTTCTTTTCTGTGCTTTATACCCTCTTGACACTCTTCGAACTTATAAACAGCTTACAGATTCTAGGAAAGGCCAAACTGAAAATGACTTACAACGTGGTTTGTTTTTTCTAAACACATCCAAAGTTGTACAAGTACTCCTCTCCCTCCCTCCCTGCGTGAGAGAGTGTGTGGAGAAGGGAAGAAGTTACTCCTTGGTTAATACCCTACAACTGAATGTATTGTACAGTACAAACCAGCAAGTACAAGAACCTGGGTTTTTAAAAGAACCTATTTGGCTAAAATTTGCCTGTTAGACCCCTCTATACAAGGACCTGTTAACGGGCTAAAATTTTGAAGCGCAGGTTCTTTTTTTCTGAACTTTAAAAAAATGTTTACACTTGGACAAATAAGACAAATCAAGATTTGGGACCCTCTTTGGAGACATCAGTGTTTTATCACTCCAACTGCAATGTACTTCTTATTGTAGTCATTTTTACATAATTACTTATTTGGTATACTGATTTATACATGTGGAATAGGCTGGACAGCGCTACATTCTCTTACCTGCGATGTAACGTTCTTCCGGAAGTTTGAAAGTATTCAAGAACCTAATAAGCCTTGTTTGCTAGTTACCAAGAACCTGTTTATGTTAACGTGGGAAAATTTAGGTTCTTCCTCGTGGGCTAGTACTGGTGTACTCTTCCTTAACATGTTGGATCTTATGCGTGTATTTTTCCTGTAGATAATTGTACAAATTCCCTTATTGCTGAGGCTCATCATTTTCGGGTGCTTGGAGAAGATCAGGTTTGTAGTGTTGTGCAAAGTATTTTTTATGTAATTTTTATGATAACATTAGCTCATTATCCCCCTCTCTCCACGAGTGCTCGGATTTGCGAACATTGAATGCTACTTAAAGCTATACCGAAATGAACGAAGTCGATAGAAGGATGAGGTCACACAGGAATCGAACTTTGGACCTCTCGCACACTCAGAAGGTGGCGAACTACAAAACTAACTGTACCAGTTCTTGCTTCTGAAATCAGAACCATCATTGTGTATTTAGAATTTTAACATTTGATCTGACTACTTCTCTTGTTGCAGTATAACCGTTATCAAACGTTTGGGACCGAGGAATATGTTCTAAAGATGGGTGGTGTGTTGTGCCCAGGTCGCGGTTGTGGAAATGGACTGTTGCCCGAGCGAGGAATGCGTGCTGTTAGGTGTAATGTTTGCAATGTAAGTCTCGATAACGTTTGATTTCCTGGATGCTTGTTGTAATGTTAACGCTCCTGATAAGGGGCTAACATGGCATTTGCGATGCTAGAGCCAAGCAAACAAATAGAAACAGATCAGGTTTAAAGACATCTTATATACCGACCATAAATGAAAAATCAAGTACAATCCTGCCATCTTTATGATCATCATCATCATCGCCATCAGACAGTCATCGCCTCGACAAAAACTGGTCAGCAGCAAATACTTGGAGAAACAGGCGTGCAATGTATGAAATTCATAATATTCTTCATTTCATGTCAATAATTCATCTTTCCTGGGTATATGAACCAAATTAATGACCAGCTCCCAGTTGGCTTGCTGGCTTAATTTGTTAGAGTGCTGCACTGTTATCACAGAGGTCAGGGGTTCGAATCGCGGAAAGCTGGACTTTTTTCAGTCTTTCTTTTCTTAAGTTGCGTATTTAACTGCGATGAGCTTCTTCACATTTTCGAATTCCGTTATTTAATATGACATTCTTATTCATGTCAGCTGGTATTTTGTAAAGAATGCAAGGAACCCTTTCAGCAAGGACACTCTTGTCGTCAGAATCAATCAGCTTCTGCTGCTACCGCCAGACAAAGTGTAAGTCAAGTGCATTCTTTACTTTTTTGACTTGACAGTTTCACTGCGTTGTTTAGCTGGGCAGCTGGCGGTTTTTGTTTATCGAGCGCACAAATGATTGGCCGAGCCGCGAGGAGAATGAGGCGGAAACTTCGCTGCTACTCGTTCTTTTGCGAAGCGTGCGTTTTCGTAGCTTTTCCCCCCTCGCTAAACAAACCAGCTCAGACAACTGTTTTTTAAATGTGTGAGCAACAAAGAATAGAGAGCTGATTTCCTTGCAAAATAGTCACTTCTTATCTTCATGTGCATAGACGATTTTTATTATAGGGGCAACTTTGAATGTTCAGTTTTGACTTACTTCTGTTTCTTCAGAGATATCAAGTAAACGCCGAAAATGCTAGACGCGCGCGCTGGGAGGCTGAGGCCCAGCAAGTCATCCAAAGAATCAGCAAGAAGTGTCCCGGATGTAAGACAAATACGGAGAAAAATGGTAAGGAGCCAGTATCAATACGATTCTTCCTTTGTTTTGTCTGGCTTAGCTGCTGGTGTTATCTTACTGACATAGAGACGGTGGTCAGTAAGTTAATGAACATTAGAGATCGAAAAAGCGTAGGAGTATTAGTCATCTCTTGAAATCGATTCCTGAGTATAACGAATGGTTTCCGTAAAATGTAGGGCTCATTAACGTTTTTGCCACCAAAGGCAATTTCGCAGTTTTTGATGGCTGCTGTTTCCATTTGATATTTCCTGCAAAAAGCTTAAGTTTGGTTTGTATGCAGCTTATCTCCCAGTGATTCAGGTGTTACTTCCCCGTATAGCCCTTCTCATCCCAACTTACAACGCTAGTTCCTGTTACGCCGGTTCTTTTCTTGTGGGACCAAAGGTTCTCTGTTTCGATGCTCAAATACAACTTCATGGTCAGTGTGAGGCTGTGAGCTCGGCATATTTGATAGTTCTCGGAACCCCCCACTCCCCCCACGGTTGTAAAGCTATTAATTGTTTTCATGGACTTATCACATTTAATTATGTATTTCTTTTGCTGAGTTTTATCGCTGAAAGCGAACATTATAATGAATTTTTGAAGGGAAGCTTGGCAGAAGAGGGAGAATACAAAACTGCTAAGGGGAGTAACTGATTCTTTAGTTAGATCACACCCCTGCTCAATATACTTTAAGTTATTGACCGGTATTTTTTGGTCAAGTTGGCTGGATACCCTTGTACTGCAAACGCCTTTTGAAGGAAATTCCGCTCCCACGCTGCTGCAACAACTCCTTCTATTAGCGACACTAGCTAGCGATCCCGAGTGTCCCCATGACAACAAGAGTTGGTTGTGATAAGCTTAGCCTGTGTACAGCTGCCTTCTCCAGTCAAACAAATTTAGGGAACTTAAGCGACGATCGCGGCGACGGCTATATGAAAATGTCACTCAAAAAGTGAAGTCGCGCTGCCTCAAACTTCATCGCACTTATTCCATCTCGTTTAACTCGTCAAATGTTGGCAAGGTTCTTTGGAGTTGTTTTCTAAAGGTTTGTATCAAAATTCGGAAAAAGAAAAAGGAAATTGTTGTTTTGTGTCTCCTGTCCTCGACAAAACGTGAAATTAGGCATTTTCACGTTGTAGTCGTGCAACTACGGTAAAGAAATGTACAAAAAAGCGTGATGCACGTGCAAAGTTGTTAAAAAAGTTGTTTTGCCAATCTAAACCTATTAATTTATTGTAGTTCTCGTTCTCGTTGCCGTTGCCGTCGTCGTTGCTTCAGCTCCTTTCTTGAAATCAGAGAGAGAGAGAGACGGCTGTGTATAGGCTATAATAAGCTCTATTGTTGTACAAAATCTTTACTATTTGCCTCATTCCGTTGTCATAGTAACACTAACTGATGTTTTGTTTGTACCCTTGTCTTTGTAGGAGGATGTAATCACATGACCTGCGTTCGATGCAGAGTTGAATGGTGTTGGATTTGTCTTATTCGGTGGAACCCTGATTGCCAGGGGTCTCACTGGTTCCAGCAACGTTAGATTCATTTGTGTATGGAAAAAATGTGACTAAAGCCCTTGGGTATTCTTACATCTATAAACATTTTCCTCTCACTCGATCTTAGTATTAAAATTCAGCACTAGAAATCCCTAATTTCAGTTTGAAAAGTGCTTTAAAAAGCACCGTATGAAAGTACCATTGGTGAGTTTTCGTTCGAACGATCACACTATAAGGCCTGTTTCAAACGTCGCGCTTTTGCCATGCCAAACTCAATTCATAAATTATGAAAATGTATGTGTTTTGACTCTACTGCGCGTGATTGCGACGTTTTCTTTATATTGAATTTGGCGCCACTGAATTAAATTCGACGCTTGAAATCACTCCACCCGTGCTATTGCTGTGCAACTGCCGGGTCAAATTCATTTGAGTTCGCCGACACGGCAGTAGCGCGACGTTTGAAACGGGCCTAAGGCTACGTCCACACGATTCTGGATTTTTTGATTCCGTTCACACGTTCACTTTAAGCGAATCTTTTGGAAAAAGTAATTAGTTTAAGCCCCCGTCCAGACGAATACGGTTAAGATACGCGGTTTAAGAAATGTCCGGATTCGTGTGGACGGGGTCAAAGGATTTCGTAGACAAATTCAAGCGTTTAGCTCCATTACGGCCGCCGCCTTGTTAGCTCAGTTGGGAGAGCGCCCTTCTACCGAGCGGGAGGTCAGGGGTTCAAGTACCCCAGCCGGACCAACACTCAGGGTCTCTAAAATAACTGAGGAGAAAATGCTGCCTTTGCAATGACATCTGCAAATGGTTAGACTTTCTAGTCTTCTCGGATAAGGACGAAAAACCAGCTAAAACCGTAGGTCCCGTCTCACAGCACCTACAATTACCTGGTTCTTGTGGGACGTAAAGGAATCCACACCACTGTTCGAAAAGAGTAGGGGACGTAGACCCCGGTGGTGTGGCCAACCTCTCCTGGGTTGGGTGGGTTATCTAATGAGGATACACCTGGAAGTGATTAAATAATTTTACAAGTTTTAGTTCCATTTACAAGTTTTCCTCTTATTAAAGAGTGCAGGTCTCTGGACCATTGAGTCTTGCGAGTTAAGGCTATATTTTTGGGATTGGTCTTAGCAAGGTAGAAATTGCTTTTTAACCTTAGTTCAGTGTAAGATAGTAGGATACATAACGTAATAGTATTGATGGTTTGTAAATCGAAAGATACTGGCCAGTATTAGTGCTTTAAATTTTTAAAATAGGAGGTATTTTTTTACTTGCACACATCGAATTGTTGTACATTTCTCCTTTTTTGCGTTTGTACCGTAGTACTGGGGCGAGGCTATTGCTATACCTAGAATAAAAGAATCAATATCATATTTTGTTCAAAATGTTATTGTTTTTATTGGTGTCTGTTTTTATTTCGAGGAAGAAACTTGTAAGTTGCAGTTGCTAAAGTAGTATACAATTTTAAAGGAGTGTTGTGTCGGAAACCGGTCGTTTCGATACGTCTCAAGGAGTGAAATTGCACAAAGATTTCGCTCACTTCAATTATAGTTTGCAAGTGAACAAGAAAAACATTTTGGGGGAATATTCTTCGTTCTTTAAGCCAAGGACGTGAAACTATTACACCTCAACTAAATAAACTTGTATCGTGTTTGAAAGGAGATTCCCTTACGACTTTGTATCGAGACGACCCTTGTGTCAGTCTTAAACAGTTTCATTTCCCCAGTTTGCTAAGACTGAAGAAAAAAAGTTTGAGTGCCTCATTTATGAGGTACTGCTAATCAAGGAAAACTGAAGAGCAGCGAAACTTTTCACTTGAGTTATTTTATTTCTTTTATTCTTCACATTTTAATATTTTATTTTACGCCTTCGTTTTCTACACATGGCGTTTATCGATTTAGCTTGCATTCCCTGTGGATACTGCAGGGGGGTTGCAGAGGACATTTTTTTAAGGGGGAAATTTTTGTAAAGATTCCCCCCACATTGTACAGAATGTTTCGACAACCCCCACCCTCTCGGCCAGAAGAAAAAAAATGACCCCCCACCCATTCTCGACAAGGAAAGTAAAATATAGGCAATATGATAAAATGGTGGAGAGATTAATGTTTAAAATAGAAAAATAAAAAAAAAGGTAACCAAAGGTTCAAAGATCTTTTGGGCTTGATTTCTGCCGCTCTCTCTGTCCTCGCCGAGAAGGGACTGTTTGCAGGAGGAGCGTGGGCTCAGCACTCTACTTTTTGCGGCCCAACTTCCATCTCAAAGCACTTCTGCAACTGAGGGAGCAGACTACCTTCAGTGGGGATGCTCTTGAACATGTAGACTGTGCTATTCATAATTAAGAGAAGCAAAGTGTTGATGATGTTGTTGATGATGGGAACGATTGTTAATGCTGCTGCTGATGATGATGACGATGATGATGGTGGTGGAAATGACGAGGGTACTAAGAGATTTGGTGACAATGAGGAAGTTTGGAACATTTCCTCACAAAGAAAGTTGCAATGTGTTTTCAAGCATTAAGTTTGAACAGTAAATTTTAAATTCGTGACACTTTTTTCAAGTTGTGTATGCTATTTGAGCCATCAAGCACTTTAAGTCATTCCAATTAATGTTAACTTGTTTGCATAGGAATATACTTTGTATGGCTGTTATGTTAGTTTATAGAGCCTGGCTCTATTTCGGTCTATTCATTAACAAACTTTCTTCAAGGATGGTTTTCTTTCTAAAAAAATCCACAAAATAATGCTTCTTTTGATAATAAGTGGAGAAAAAAAATAGCAACCCTCCTTTCGTCTCTCAAAAATTTTAGTAAAACCCCCTTGTCCCTTTCCAAAAAATTGGAGATCCCCCCCCAAAAAAAATCCTCAGTCTCTTACTTCATTTTAGTTTTTTTTTTTTTTTTTTTTTTGCAAACCCATGCACGCGAGCGACGAGCGACGAGCGCCGAAGCTGCAAGCCGTTTGCAAATACGCTTCAGGCCTGCGAACGTCCCTAGCGGCGAAGACCGTCGAGGAGAGACGGCTTTTTTCGCATGTATAAAGGCGTTGCCTCGGATTAGCCTGGGACCAGATTTCGCAGTGGGAGAAAAGGCCAAAAACGGGGTGAGAAGGTTGTGAGACAACTAAAGAAAAACCGATACAGAGGTTTTTTTACGACTGGTGTTCACTTTGGGGAATAAATCCGAGGAGAGTATTGCGATGCCGCTTTTGATAATGGTGAAGTCGGATTTGGTACGGCTCAAGTTTGCGGTCAGCAGTATGTTTTAGAGAACCAGGCAACGGAGGACAAATTAGCGCTTTTGGTATTGTAAGCATCGAAACTGGTTTACAAACGTTTTATAAAACATCTGAAAACTCCTTTCTTTGCCATTAACTATGTACGAGAAGACAGAGATGATTTGTCCTTTGTGTTATAGTAAATACGGTACAGGTTTTCCCCAGCGGATTCCTAGAGAACTGGACTGTAGACATACATTTTGTACGGGTGAGTCAAGACTAGCTTCAATTATTGACTTTTGGAATTCAAAAATTATTTTTAAGATATCCTTTCTTTCAAGAAAATTAGCACATGCAATTTGGTGTCTTATCTTTTAAAATCTATCCGTTGAAAATATGCAGTCACCAAAAGTCAAAACTGTTCGGAAATTCAATTTTATTCGCAAAAAACGTTTGGGAACTCGAATACTAGCTCTTAATTAAGGATATTGCTTCGACGGCCTTCGTGATCTGTACGACAGCGGCGGCAGGGAAAACTTGGGCTCAAGTTTACATTATTTGCTGAGGTGAAACTGTAAGATTTATATTTCGTAATCGAACCTGTTTCAGAAACTGGAAAGGGGAATCAAGAGTAAGAGTCGCTTGTAATGCTATGGAAAACGTCATGTAGGAAGTGTTGGTAAATCGTCGAAGAGATTCCAAAACGTGAACAAGTGTGTTTATTCAAATCTACCATGGCTACTTCTAGCTAAAATTAAATACTAACAGTGTGACATTGCCTAATTTCAACAGTTCAATGTCGTGTTTAAATATTCCTTGGCCCCCCTGGATTGATAAATTTCCAGCTGAGTTCCGTTCTAAACAGATCTACAATGGCACTGCTGGAATTTTCACTTACACGTGCTAATTTGAATGACGGCATATAACAGAAATCAATTAATCATGGCTAGTTATTTGAAACTGTGTATTAGACAACACAAGAATTATTGTTTATTGTTAAACAATTCAATTCTGTCAGGGTAAAGGGTTTACAGACTATTTGTTTTAACATAAAAGGACACAAGAGAAAGAAGCTTGTTGGATATAAAAGTCTCCATGTGGCTTTTACTATATAAATGTCCATTAGAAATGCAGAAACAAGCAAAAACTAATTCTGAAATCCATCTTCTTACTGTTGCCATTGAGTCAGCTGTTGTCAAGGGAACAAAATAAATATATTCACCAAACTTTTTCAGTCAGTGTCTGCTAAAAGTCTGTGATTAAGCATGCATTAATAATGAAGTATCTTTGAATGAAAAGCTAAGAGTGGCTGTTGTGAGCTACAGAGATGAGACATAAAAAATCACTGCTTCTTTTTGTTTATAAACAGGTTTTACCTGAATATTGAAGGCAGGACCATAATATTCTATGCACTTGTTACCAAGCCATGATTGATAAATTATGCAGCAAGCTGAATGGGATTTTTTTAAACAAAAAGATTTTATTAATGACTCCACGACATTACATAAAATTTACAATTCTGTAACTAACATAAGATTACAATTAACTTTACATAAAAAATAAGAGCTTCACTTCACTTTATCCTTTAAATTAATTCTAGATTTATACATGACACCAGGATTGATGAAATAAATAAGTTGCAATAAAAAACAGAGAGAGGGAGAGGAAAATTCTAAAAAATCTTCTTTTTGAGAGGTTACTGTATTATGACAGACTCAATATTGAGATAGTATTTAAATCATGTTTAAATGTTTAAAATGTAGTTTGATTTTTTTTTCATTTTTTGGTATGGTATTCCGCCTAAATGCTATTATATATATAAATATACCTTCTATGTTGGGTATTGTTCCGATTTGGGTTTTTAAGACCTGCATTACTGGTTTAACACCATATAATTTACAGTGATAAATATAGATTAAGAGATGAGATAACATCCTGCTTATCTAAATTCTTCATATCCATCAGTTCTAAGTACCATAATATTCCGGTAATTGTACAGAACCGCATTAAACTTTGATAGCAATGTTTCCCCTTATGAGAAATTTTCAGACAGTACCTTATCATGTTTTTGTTTTGTTTTCTTTTGTGTCGTTATTTGTTTCACTTCTAACTATGTTTTTTTTTTCAACAGAGTGCCTTTTAAAACTGCAAGAATTGCAAGGCTCAGTCATAGAATGTTCTTCTTGTAAACTGCGAACCTTGTTACCTAGCAATGGGGTGGATGGACTAGATAAAAATATGGACCTTCTGCATGCCATTCTACAGACTGAGGAAGAAGAACAAAAATTATGTAACTTCTGTATTCGCAAAGTCTACCCTGCCAAGCCTGCAACATTTTATTGTTCAGACTGTGAAGTGTTTATGTGTGGGAGTTGCTCAGATACAATTCATTCACAGTTGGAGTTTCGTTGCCATGGTATTTGCCGAGCCAGCGAGGCTAAAGATGGTGTGGTTTCTCTTTCAGACCTGCAAGGGCAGACAGTGTCTTCTCGTCCATCATCAAGTAGCTCAACTTTAAGCAAACGATCTTCCACCAATCTGAGACCAACATTAACCAGTAGTAGACCATCCAGCTCTTTGCTGAATTATGCTTCTATACCTGGTAGGTAGTTTTCAATCATAATTTATTGAATGCATGCATAATAACCAGGAACTCATATGACAGGACATTACATGTCGATAGAAATCAGTCATTGGAAAGCAAGTCGATAAGTCGATTGACAAGTTATATTTGTCGTATTGATACTTTCGCCTCGCGTTTCTTCCCACTCGGCGATTCTTTTGGTCAGCACTGACACTGTACTCTGGCTTTTCCGATAAGTTTCAATAAAAATCAAATGTTAACACGAAAAAGACGATTGGAAATTATTGATAATCACACAAAATTTTGTGATTGACTTTTATCGATTTCTGATATTTGTCAATTAATTGGCGTTGATTTTTATCAACAGTAATTGATTTTTATCAGATATCGGAATTATTGCCGACATGTAACGTCCTGTTTAAGAACAAAGCAAAAAGGTCCAAAGTGGTTCTTAACACATTAATTTGTGCTAGCTAAAGGAAGGAAGAAGTTAAGTTGTTCCTAGCTTCTTTGTTTAATTAATGCAGACTTGAGGGACAATAAACATGAGAAAAAAAATTAGCCAGGTGTGGAGGGTGATCTTCTCACTACTTACAGCCTGGATCTCTGCATGAAACAAAACACAGGACACATGATCAGAAAAAAGTACAAGAATTTTTTTAAGCTGCTAGAGAGAAATAGTTACCCAATTAAAAATTGAATAATGAATCTGTTAGTGAGGTCATATTAAATAGAAAATGGTGATAAAACATAAGTAAAAATTGAGCAACGCTGCTGGAAAAATGCCTTAGAATCAGTTATTTGATAATTTTGACAGTGACGTATTGAAAACTAAATTTTACAGATGTTTGGGGACAGTTTGTTAATCCTCCAACCCCCATCAGGGAAACAAACTACTAGTTAAGAAATTTAAAAGCCTACACCTTGTTAGCTTCTAAAAAGATATTTGCTATAACGTAAAAGCTCTTAATGAAAGACTGAAAAAAGGTGACAATTTTTCTGAAATATTGTCATCGTTTATGAGTGGAAAAACTGATGATTGTTTCTTGGGTGTTTAGAATGTCCCACTCACGAGAAAATGACAGAATACTACTGCCGCAACTGCAGATGCTTATGCTGTGAATCTTGCTTTCGTTTTGGTAACCACAAAAACCACAGCTGTTTCCAGGTTCATGAAGCTGAAGAGAGAGAAAGGAAAGCTCTTGTTAAATTACAAACTCAAGTGGAACAACACGGGGAGAAATTTATCAAAGCCAGAGGAGAAGTGCAAAGGACCATAGAGGGTGTGAAGAAAAATACTACTGCTGTGAAGGATGTAGCCAGGAGATATTATAGAGAACTGAGGGCAGCAATTGATCAAGGAGAAAAAATTTTGATTGAGGATATTGATAAAAGAAGTGAGGCAAAATTAAAAGCCTTGAATGAACAACTCAGGTATTTTAACCATTTAAACCTGTTCCTGCCGTTCAGTTAGTAGGCGTTGGTGCAATATGAAGAGCTTAACAAAAAACACAACTTAGTAGCCAAAGAAGCACCATTTTTTGCTTCTATTTTTCTTTTTTTCCACTCTGTGCTTTTAGCCATTCGCACTATCTGAACGCCCGGCCATGGCACTGCAGGCTAGCACCCCAACATTATGGCAATGTACTGCTGGTGACTTGTGCATGCATTATATAGACAACAAGAGCAAGAAATATTCAAATTCATGCTAAGCTGAGAGCAATGATATCATATTAAAAGCAGGCCAAAAATAAGGAAAACAAAGCAAACCCAATTTTTTTGATAGGCTATTTGAAGAAATAACTGGTCCCCTTGCCGCTTTCTTCACCGAAAAAAAAAAGAAAGAAAATAACATTACTCCTAGTTTTCATTCATTAAAAAATAATCTTTAACATGAGAGTCAGAATTTTCTCTGTCTAATCAAGACAGTGAGAACAGGAATGCGACTTCACGTTTATTTTATGAACGAGCTTTTCTTAAGTTCACCACAGTTTCTTTAAATCTTTTCAGAAAATGCTTTATGTCTTTTTGTCCTTTTTTCTTGTAGTCAGATGATTGAGATTTGCAGTCTGACAACAACTGCTTGTAGAAACTGTGATAATGCTTTGAGTATGGATTACTACGAAATGCTGATGCTAAAAAAAGATGTGGAAACAGAGATGAAAGATGTGTTACAACTCCTATGTGAGATTGATCCTGTAACCAAAGCTGACCTAGGATGCCAATTCCCTAATCATGAAAAACTGTTGGCTAGTATCAGAAGCTGTGCCAAGCTTGTTTTACGTAAGTGTAAAGAGGTTTTTGTCTCCCACAGGTATTTACAAACTTAACAGTTATGATATAGCACTAGTTTTCGTGGGCTTCCGCCTTCCAGAAACCGTGTTATGTAGGAAACTCTGTCTATATGAACGGGAGTTTTTTAAAACTTCTGTTTCAGCCGATGTGATTGGCCTTTTTTATGAAAATAAGCCAGTTACTTCGATATCTACTCGAATTACTGCTCTCTTGTGTGACTTGTGGAGAGGAGAGGATACATGTACCGAATTTAATGCATGCTGAATGAAAAAGAACAATATAGTTTTTGTTTGTTGGCATAGCATTCCGGCGCAAATTGTAAAGATCAACGTCTACATGGCTACAATACTCCCGTAAGGTCTGCCGAGTGACACATACTTTATTCTATTACAATTTTTCCTCATTTTTTCAAATTTTTCTAAATCTTGACCTCTGAAGGAAAGACATATCGAGATGGTGTAGTGTCACGAATCTTCAGTATTACGTGAAAATCCAACAGTTCTGTTTAATCAATTTAAGTTTGCAAACAGTGGCCTGATATTCTTGCTTCAAGTTACTAGTACAGGCGTGATAGAAGTGGGTTGAGACATGAAAAATTCCCCTCCATCGTTTTTATTTAAGAAAAATCGATGAAAGACCGTTCATTAGGATTTCCTGTCACCGCAGAGAGTGATGCAGTTTTCTGGTTGCTCCAGAGGTTACCTACGATCAGTCGTCCTCTCTTCCCTTTTTCTTTCTTATCACAAGATACTCCATAGGGAACATTCTGTTTCATTCTGTACATCAGAGAGTGTGCCTTCTAATAAGGCAGTGTACAGAAAAAACTTGGAAAATCTCGCGTGACACCGCCCTTTTTTATTTTTACAGCTCCTGGTCCGCCCGAGAAACTGACTTGCAGAATAACTAGTGACAACACAGTTCACGTGAAGTGGGAGCCGCCTGAAAACAATATCTTCCTCTACCCAGTACTTTGTTACATTTTACAAAGTAGTTCTGGTGAGCTTTATATTCCCCCGTATAAATAAAGATTTCCATGTTAAAACTAGTCACTTACAGCAGGAGCCGATCACTTAATCGGCTCCTGCTTACAGTTAGGTAGATAAAGTGAGGTGAGGTAAGACTTTATTTTGGAGACTAAAATGTAGCAGTCACAAAAAAAACTTCTGTCAAACTTGAGGCAATACAAATTACTTTCAATATAGCAATTTGCAATAAAACTGACATTTCTAGCAATCAATATTTTGTTGTAGAAATTAAAACTGTTAAGACTGGAGATAACAATTAATAGAAAGCTACCTATTTAGAAAATGTACAGATCATACAGAAATAATTCCATCAGGGAAATTAAATAAACAACCAGTCAAACCCCGATAATACGGACACTGAGGGGGCCATAGAAAGTGTCCTTCTTAACGGGGTGTCCGTATTAAGCGGGTTGAATTTAGAGAAAATGTGAGGGCTTTCTTTTCCAGGGACAAAGCAAACTGTCTGTAATAATGAGGTGTTCGTATTAAGCGGGTGTCCGTCCAGCGTAAAGCGGGGTTTTACAGTTCTCCGTTTGGATTCACGGGTCTCTAATAACAAGGACCAAATATGCTTACTGTAAATGATCTAATAAACGCGCGGGGCGTCTATTTAATTTTAGGGGGTCCAAGAGGGGACGTTTAACAGATAGCAGGCGTTTAAAAGAGAGGGACCTTTATTCTTATAACTGTAACAAGCTCTACAAAACTAATATGCTTTCGCGCGAAAACATCAAGGGATTTTTATAAATAGCCAACTATGCGATCCATCAATAATTGATACGGCTACACCGTCTAGAGATCCAATATCGCTCTTTCAAATCCTAACATGGATGTCAGAATCTTCTCTCAGGGTTATTGTGTTGCTATCGTTAGTCTATCCTTACCTTAAACTTGACATTAAACAAAATGACGTACGCAAAGCTTTGTTAATAAGGCAAGTAGCTGAATGAACTGAATGATTTTGCTCCTTTTTGCTAATTCCTAGTATTTTGGAGTAATTCTCATAGGGGGCGCCCATTAGACAGGGAGCGTTTATTAGAGAGGGGCGTATAATACAATTTTAGCAGCGTAGAGGGGGCGTTTATTAGATAAGAGGCGTTTATTTGGATGTGGGCTTTTATTAGGTCATTTACGGTATACTTGCTGCTGGCTGGTACTGTTAATTCTTTCTGATAAACACTCGATATCCTGCTCAATTTGCCGTCGTCGCAGTTATATACTTCGGGCGGCACTTCGGGCCTTATTAGCATTTTCGCCCTCGATATTTACTGAATTATGATGAACAAGTCAGCCATAAACTGAAAATGTGTTAACAGCAAATGTGCGATCAGAATTGTCTATTTATTTAGAGGTGGGGAACCCCAGGTAGGTGGGGTAACCCGCCTGTCTATATAATCTCTCATTTTAATTTGATCACGTTTACATCAGTTAGGTGGGGTGACCATATGAGAGATTTTGTGGACAGGCGCGGGTTACCGCACCAATCGGGTTACCTCACCTACCTGGGATCTCCCACCTCCATGTAAACTGTCCCTGATTTTATAGCAGACCATACATTCAAGTTCTTCGAGTGTAATATTTATTCCAATAATGATTCGGCGTTGAAGGATTTCAAGGATTTCTTTGTTTAAGAGATAGGAGTAACGGTTGTTCCTATCTTTTGCCGTTCTTGCCGGAAGATGTGTCTCGCGTCCGAGGTGATTCTGTGAAGGGGGCGCAGTAAACTAAAATCTAGTGTTTCTTGAGTGGGAGTCAGGGGTGTTCTCACAGATGTACGTAATAAGGTAAAAATTCATTTTAAAGCATAATTGTGAGGTAATCAGCAATAATTCTTCTTCAACCCTTAGGCCTCGTCCACACGAATCCGGATATTTTTGAAACCGCATATCAGCCTCCCGTTCACACGAAACCAGCGAGGGATCCGGACACTGGATCCGGTTTAAAAAAAATGCGGTTTCCAAAATGTGCGGATTCTTGTCGGCGGGGCGTTAAAAAGAACGTACAGTTTATAAACAGTAACTAACACTTTATTTGTTTTCCCTAGGTCCCGATAACAGTTTTGTAGATATCTACAAAGGAAAGGAGACCGCACTAACGATAGACAAGACTTGCACAGACTTGCCTGTTGGAAAACAAGTTCAGTTTCGCGCATGTGCTGTTAACTTGGTTGGAGCTGGGCCGTGGGGCTTCCCATACGGAATAAAAATACCTGAGTGAAAAAATTGATCCTTATACAGATAACACCCAACTGCTTGGTGTCAATGAACAAATACTTCAGCGGTCAGATTGTCGCTGTCATACTGTTCGCAGGCAGTGTATACAAGGCTCAGGGGAAGGATGACGCTCTCACCACGGGAGAACTAACTTGTGGAGAACTTTTGCGTGGATGCTCCATGCACCGCCAAGATAACCGAACACTTAGCTTTAGCTTTTTTGGCCAAAAAAGCAACCCGTTTCATATGCGTTCAGAAGAGTTTTGGTTGATCAGCGATGAACCTGCCTGTGTTTTAAGTTGGGCGTGTCGTCTAGATACCCTGAGACCCTCTCGGTAGTGGATCTGAAGGGTGTTCGATAATTCGACCGTTCTGCGGGTTAAGTACAGGATAAGAATGATTTTTAGGTCTGTTTCTGTGTTTTTACTCAAAACAGACTCCGGAGAAGCAAATTAAAAGCGAGGGAGTCTGGGAGAAAGGATGGCGGGGGGAAAGTAAATGCTCCCTTCAGGTGTTGCTCCCGGCCGCACGATCTGAACGCCAGCCTAGAAAAGGCTATGTTATGTATGGTCATAACCAATCTTATTTTGTATCACTTTGAAAACGAGAGAGGTCACATGTAAATTTTGTGGAATCTAGTATATAAATATGAGACAAGTGTACTCTGTCTATGAAACTGACTTGTAGACATTTATAATTATTCGTTTCATCGATGTGATTTTCAGGATAGAAAAAAATATATATTTGAATAAATGAGTTATTTAACTGCACGTTAGTCTTGTCTCAGTGATACCTTGGTCAAAGGATTGATTCGCAAATCATTTCAAAAGGGCTTTAGTTCGGCTAATACACGAGGCAATATGTCTGCCCAGAACGAGGCTGCAGCCCCAAAATTTCTGCAAATAAACATTGGCAGAAAAAGGCCATTTTCATGTACCGTCAAATGAGGCAAAAAAAGAAATAAATGAAACCAATGAATAGCCCAGAAATTCATCTGTTGCAAAAACTAATTCCTGCATGTAACACTGCTAGTTGCCCTGACAACCGTGTGGTGGAGATATTTTAACAAAAGGTTTGAGTCAAGCTAAGTTTCAGAACAAATATTATGAACTAGTATTGGCTGCATAACAAGCTCCCCCCTCCCCGCCACTTCCCCTCGCTCGCAAGCTAATGACAGCAATGCCTGAGTATTTACATTTCTCCCAGCAGCGTCAAGCCGATTCCATACGCATTTAGAAAATAATTCCATAGGTATACCACCTAAAAGATATGCTTTTTGGAGTTTCTGCTAGTTGCATGTACAGTACCGTTGAAACCAAATTGGCCTGCGAGCAAGCTCTCCATTTGGGGTCACGTAAGAGCAGCACATCAAAGGAGACACCAGCTTAATCGCTAAGAGGTTACCCGATAATTTGAACCATCCTATAACTTCCCTTCGTCAATCAAACAATGTAATTTCACCCCCAATTTTTCAAACTTCCCGATTATTGGAACTAATTTGCTTTCCCCAAGCCAAGTACAGTTGTTTGAAAAAATCCTTCCACTAAATTTGGCTTCTCCATTTGGGTTGGAAAAATCGGGACTCCACTTTAAACATATTTTGGTTCGTCATGCGTGTTGTTTTTGTTTTTGTTTGTTCCCTCCCGGCCTCTTCCCCGATTCACTTTTCATGTGGCGGTAACGATGACAACAAGGGAAAATTCCGCGGGAATTTCTCGAAAGCGACCGCAAACTCGCGAAGAGCCTGGGACCCTTGTGTTATTTTTGGCTGATTACTCGTGAACGGATTGTTTCAGAAATCTTTTGTTCCATATTGGTAGTTTTGAAAGGCTTTATATCCCTGCAGACTGCCATTTTTGAATGGATTTTGCAAGATGTTTTTTCTAGATTTGAGGACAGCGTCTTTCAAGACCGATGTTTGAAGAACGATCCGCGTGCTTCTTCGAATCCTGATAGAACCTCATGGGCCGTCCCTGTGAACTGAATGAAAATCTAGATCAAGTTACCTTGCGAGTGAGCCATCCATGTAGCGCTTTCGTCGCTATTAGCAAGTTCATTCTAACGTTTCGTGAATCCAAGAAACGCAAATAACTGCACCAGTAGAGCAGTTTAAAGGCGAGTTGACTCGGCGATAGATTCAAGGGCCGGCCATACTCGTTTCATATGTCTAGCATCGTGCTTGTTGTTGGTTTTTGGACCATTCTATTTATTTGCAACGCTTTATTGAAGGTAAGGTTAAAGAACCTGTTCCAGAAAACTGGTCATCCTCTTCATTCATCCCATAATTTCTCCTACACTGTCTGTCAATTCTAAACAAAGGAGAATTAAAAATTGGTGGGTCAAAGAGCGGAGGGAGGAAGAGTGACTTAATCGGTCACACTGGACAGCGACCTTTTTTGACACGGAACATGTCTAGTGTTGTACCCTGCGAACAGAGTCTCCTTCGATCTTCCTAGATAAGTCGGGAAGAGGAAGAAACGCTTCCTCTTTAGCAACTTATCTAGGAAAGATCGAAGCGACTCTGCTAGCAGGGTACTAGTGTTGTGACTGGACTCAAGGCAACTTGACTCAGGGGTAGGGGGGCTACTGACATTAATATAGGATATATACCCAATAGGTAGGGTATTGTTTTCAAGCAACTTAGTCTGGGATAGGCTTTAGAAATCAGGGAGTTTGGGTCTAGAATACAATGTAGGGTATCATTTTCCAGGAAAGTGATCAAGTGCCTGAATTTTTAAGTCTAGAGAAGGGAAACTGGGAATTGACACTCAAAAAAATTAAATCATAATTTACCTGTTTCTCAGCTGAATAGCATAGAAAGTGTTGTCTTCAGTAATTTCTGGAAAATAATAACTCTAGGATAGGGAGAGATTTTAGAAGTTAAGCCTGGTTTAGCGTAGCAAAATTCTGAAGGCGAACTAGTTTTGGTATAGGCTAAGGGCCAGCAGCACTTCCCTACCCAAACATTCCTTAAGTACCTCCCCCAGGGGTAAATAGACTAAAAATGCACATCATACAATGTACCCCAATTCTTGTAGGGGTGGCGAATGGTACCTCGAAAGAACTGGGTCTCGGAAAATGTTAACAGGATCTCGAAATCTCGGAAGCGTTTTTGATAAGTCTCGAAGTCTCGTTTTTGCATGGTTTGTTTTTACTTTTTTTGAGTCTCGAAACTTTTTACCAAAGAGTCTTGGGCTCGGATTTCTAACTAGGGTCTCGGCGTCTCAGCGAGTCTTGGATTTTACCATTCGCCACCCCTTCTTGTGCTCCTTTTCTTGTTAAACCCTGAATTGGTGTGTAGCAATATGACAAATTTCAGCTATTGCAGTGTGAAATTTCCCTTTTTCTCTATCTTTGTTACCTATAGAACTACAGGAAATATTCCCGAAAGTATAAAGAGTTTCTGGAAAACAATGGGATCTCTCTGTCATTATTTCAAGTGCGATGGTACACAACGCGGTTCAATAGGTCATTTTTCAAGTTTGGTCAGTTCCAGCCATACTTGCTACATCTGTGGTTTTCTGTTGGAGTTTTAGTGGGTGCCCTGTTGATGGTTGCCTCTGTTCTTATTCTTTCTGTGACGTTATTCAAAGCTTTTGCAAAGGATGTACCAGAGCAAGTTTTAACACCTGTGGTAAGTGCATTATTGTAAATATCTCGAGGATAAATAGCACTGTGCAAGGCTGCTGCCTAAGAAAATTTTTTTGTAGTCCTTCAGGCTAAGAAGTTAAAAGTTAGGAGCCCATTGATCAATAAACTTATATAAGTCAGCAGATATACTCGAAACTCTATTTGTTCGACTTTCAAATTTCCAGAAAAGTGCGTGTTTTTTTACTTGTAGCATTGGAAATTTTTGGCCTACGGTCGACGAACGCATGTTTTAATTCCGTTTTCGTTTCAAAAGTGTAAAATGAGCAGGGAATTCTGCCATTCCTTCATATTTGGAAGCAGGCATAGAGGCTACTGCCACTGGAATCATAAAGGTTTAGGCGCCTGTACAGGGTCCTTGTTTAAAATTTTAGTTCCCCCCAAGGAAATCTTAGGAGCCTCTGGCAACTGGTTGCCCATAAGGCAGCAATCGTAATATGTACACATATCCATGACTCAGGGGCACCCAACGAGAATATAGTTCAAAACCACTTAAACATAGCATTGTTAAACATATTTTAGTATTTAAACGGTGGATATAGGCATATGTTTATCCCCTAAAAATTTTTCACGTGTTCGGATTTCCTAGCTGAAAGTCTGTTGATCCAAAAATTATAGGGATAAAACCTTACCTTTTCGAAAATTTCAGCCAGAAAAAAGGCTCCAGAAAATTCTAGGTGACCTTTTTAGGGTAAAAATCCATCAAAAATGGGCAATTATACCATCTTTTAGATATTCGAAAATCCTAGTAGAGGCAGGCAAGCAAGAAATTTTACGACAAATGTTTCGAAAATTCCAGATCTCAAGTCGTCAGATATTTTCCAAAAATTGACATTGGGTGCCCCTGATGACTGATGAGCCTACGGATATGGCCCTATATAGAAATCCTTATTATTATGTCGCAGTATGAAACTTTGGAATGCTGTCCACATTATGAGTAGTATAGAGCGCATAGCATAACCTACACCACTTGAGAAGCTATACTTAGAAGTAAAAAAAGGGTCGATACGAAACCTAATACAATCCTAAAATACATAGTTATATGAATCTCCCTACTTAAAAAGCCAATTTAGAATATTATTTAAGTCTGATATTCTGTAAAACCTTCGCTACCTGTACTAAAAACATATTTATAATAATATCACACTCTAATGTTCTAAAAAATCTAAGTAAAAACGTCAGCAAGCTTGTGTTTCTAGATTTCTAGAGAAAAAACAAAAACCCAAAAATTGAAGTCCATAGCGCCCTAACTAAGTATTTATGTTAAATGTGCTGGCAATGTTTAAAGTGTTTGAGATGACCGACTTCTGCATCCGGTCAAGTATGCTCCGTGCTCTCGCTCCAAGTAGCTTCCTCACCGACTTCTCTGGGTGTTTAGAGTAACCCCCCAGTACGTCAATTATTACGTTGTACTGTTCAACCCTGTAACCATTGTATCTCTGCTTCAGCTCCCACATCATGGGCCCATACTTGAGTGTCTTTTCCTCATCTTTCTTAGCTCTACTCTCAATCCATGGGCAGCTCATTTCAATTGTGCAGACTTCTTTCCTCTCGTGGCTGACAAGTCGCAGGTCGATCCGATTTGCTCTAACTTCGTTGTGCTCTGCATAGATAGGAATATCCCAAAATGCCTCTCTCGTGGTGTTCTGGTAGGCTGGTTTTGGCATCACCGGTGAGTACCATGGTGGAACCTCGTCCATTAACCCATGCTCTCGCAGGAGCTCAAAAAACAGAATCTTCAAAGCTGCATTATGCCTGTATAGGTACTTGGTTTGTGCCAGGGAGGAACATCCAGCCAGTACATGTGCAATGCTGTCAGCTACCTTCCCACATAACCTGCATAGAACTTCGCCGTCGGTGGAGGTTTGCATCTTCTCCTTTGTGTAGAGCTTCGTAGGTAACAACTGCTCATACAATTCATACATGTCCGCGATGGTATGTGTAGGGCATGTAGCCCAACCTTTTAACCATGCAAAGCAGCTGGTTATGCTTAGGCTCTCATCTTCCCATCTGATATGGAATAACTTTTCTTGCCACTTTTTGTCTTTAGCGATCTCCAAGAACTGCTTCTCTTGAGATTGCTTCAACAGATTCCCAGCTCTTGCTGCAGTTACCACCTTTCCTTCTGTTGTAACACACACGGGATTTAGGGTATCAAGCTGAAGGGTGATGTTGAGTTCTTCAGCGTACTTAGCTGCTTCCTTTACGAGCGACTGGTGGCCTGATGCCACATGGCGTGTTCTTCAAATTCTCTAACTGCTTCCACAGTCTGGTCCGGGTTCTGATACAATTTCAGTAGCGATTTGATTTTAGTGATCTTGTACTCGTGTTTGACTGATGGCAGGCCTCTACCCCCTTTCTGCCTCGGTAGATATAACAAAGAAGTCGGGCTAGCTGGGTGCTTGCCACCGTTCTCAACTATGATCTTCCGAGCTGCTCTGTCCACATCTCTTGACTCTGATAGAGGCCAATGCTGTGTCCACATTAGGTACCGCAGGACCGGGAGTGCATACTGATTAGTTGCCTGCACACTTATTATTATTATTATTATTATTATTATCCTGTTGGGAACAGGATCACCATTTCTACTGGGTCAACTTCAGAGCACCCAACCACTGAATATTTCCAAGGTGACTGGTCATTTCACCAACAAGTTGTTTCACAAGTTCGTCCTGTTCGCATAAGTCTTAAGTCGTTTTGCAAAGGTATTTCACTCATCATTTACTGACATTAGTTGTGATCAACAACAACAACATCGACAATCTTTATTGTGCTCTTGATACAAAAGTGTAAAGACATTAAAAGGAAATAATTGTAAAAAAAAGAGAGCACAGCCACTCAGAAATAGCAAAAGCTAATCACGCTGAGTGGCTGGAAGTTTACATAAGGCTTGACAACAAATTGAGTAATTTTGCATTTCGACAAACAAAGAGAATCAAACAAAACTTTTGGCGTGGTACTTAATCAAAATGTTCAGAGGTCTTAGTAGATCATTTAAGTATCCTGATAAACAAAATGCTGGAGTCTTCACTTTTGCATTTATTAACAATATTATATAGGCCCTACAATGTGACAACTGCAGATTTGGCAACACCGAACTTGCAGCCTGGGCAGTGACCGAATTACTTACCGTTGTCTGGTAGTTGCTGTGGGCTATCCCTTGTAACAGAATTCTTCAACATGAAAAACAGGCAGGCACAGGACGTAATTCTTGTAGAGTAAGTTCTTATTCAAAGAATGACTTACAACATTTTACCAAAACAACTTATGACACTTTTAAAATGTTAGCGAAACAACTTAAGACATTTGTGAACAGGACATAGGTGAAATGACTCGTTGGCGAGATGAGCTTAAACCATTTCCAAGCACCTCAGAAGTCTCTAAAATGGTTTTCACTGTTTGGTTTATTTGCTGAACTGGCTGGTAGAAAGGCCCAGTAACCATCCCTTGTAAGCTCAGTCTTAACTTTCATTAATTTTGTATTCGCTTTCAAACAGATGCCAGGAGTGAATGTCCCCTGGAGTCAAGTGTTATATTACCTTTTAACACTGACAATCAGTGGAGTATTCCATGAATTTGGACATGCTATCTCAGCTGTAAGGTATGTAGACCATTCACATTCCCCTATTTTTCCATAAGATCATCGAGATCGAGCGCTTGATGAGCATCTTGCATGAGTGTAAAATCCACCTAGAGGGCAGGGGACAGTTTGGGATGAAGCAAGAAAAATGGAGGGACTGTCTTTACTTCAGTGTAGCTCACATTCAAGGAGCATGACAGGAGTTTCAAGCCTTTTACCATTCATTAATCAACAAACTCCTCTTATGATGAAAAACATGCCAGACACTTTTAGCGTCGATTCTGCATGTTTACAAACATTTCCTTGCGAAACACTGATTTTATATAATACAGTTACTGGGATAATCTTTCAAATCGGTAATCATGCACAGTTGAAACATTTTCCTAAAGGCAGCAGAAAGCATACTCGCTTCAACATTGACTAAAACGGTTAAATGTCCAGTACCACTCAAAAGTAAGTTACCAGACTCTTGTCTCACTAGAAGGTGGATTTTCAGTGGTATTGTTTAATGTCTTCTTGTTAAGATATTCACAACTTACTGACCACAAGGTACCATGTCCCTTGTGCCAATTATGCCTGATTTGTTAAGAGGACAAATACATTGTACATGTATCTTTCCATTGTACCTAAATGAGCTTTATTTTGGATATGTATCATATGTATCATAGTCAATGGGAAATTTAATTGAACCTTGAAGATTCAAGTTATAAGGCAAATATGGCTATATACACACATATGTTGCAAATAATTCTACCCTAAGGTGAAGTTTTAATGTTACAAGGACAAGGACATGAAGATGTCACCAGAAGGAGGAGGGTTTTAACAGAGATGTGGGCCACACGAGCATGGCCTAAACTGGATAAGTCATTTCCTGTTTCTTTTCAGAGAGCAAGTTCGTGTGAATGGATTTGGTATGTTTTTCATGGCTGTTTACCCTGGTGCCTTTGTAGATCTGTACACTGAGCACTTGACTGTCATTTCACCACTGCGTCAACTGAGAATCTACTGTGCTGGCGTGTGGCACAATGCAGTGCTTGTCTTAGTAGGATTACTGATCCTCTGGTGTCTACCTTACATTCTGGTTCCAGTTTATGTGACGGGTCAGGGTGCTGTGGTATTGAATGTCTTAAAGGTTGGTCCATGCAAAGACTGTTATTATATGTCACAAAGTAACTAAGACAGTACGCGCGATCCAATAATTAGATTGCGTGTAGTATCTTAAAAAACCTATGGTTTATTATAACTGTAAACTCATAAAGAAAGGTATTCAGACCACGAGCCATACACAAAACCAGCCATTGAGCTGCAAATGATGATTTTGGAAAAGCTAAAAAACAGAACAAGTCACTTACCCAGCCCTTCTCTCTTTTAAAATAATAATAATGATGATAATGATAATCTTTATTCAATTGATAAAACACATACTGAAAGTTACAAATGTCATAAAAATTTAAGTTAAATTTTAAAAAAAAATTACAATTAAAGTAGAATCATATTACTGAGTTATAATATTAAAGCATAGCGTATTTACTAAGCAGTTCTAAAAGCGCTCAGTGTTAACTAAAGTTTATAGCTGAAATGTCTGTCTTTGAAACCTTTATAGTCCTTTATAGCACTGGTTTCCACATTTTATTTCTGAGTTTCACTATTTGCTGCTATAGTTTTAAAAGTTATCAAGTACATAGCTGGAAACCATTTTGCTTAAGTATGCATTAATGTTGTTATGTAATAAGGTTTCTGATATCTGGAGTAATCGAAGTCCATCTACAGCAGCCAATTCTGAAGATGGCCACAGGTGCAGTGGCATAAAAAATATAGTGATGACATTGATCATTATGATGATGATGACGATTCTCTTTATATAAATATTAATACTTTTTATATATGATATATTTTTTATTTAAAGGAATCTCCAGTATATGGCAGCATTCAGCGTGGTGACACTGTTCTTTCACTGTATGGATGTCAAGTGTATAATAAACAAAACTGGAATGACTGTATCAGTAGAACTCTCAGCACACCTCAACATGGTTACTGTACAGACATGCTGACTGTCACTAGGAAAAATTCTTCACAAGGTCAGATAGCATATATAGTGGTTCTGAATTGGCAGTTATATAAATTTATAAATCATTGAAATTAAATCAATAACTATGCACATGGACTCATTATTGTTGAAATCCTGCTGTATTTGTTACAGGTCAAAATTTAATCCAGGTTAAACGTTTTAACCTAGGTTGATTCTTGATTCCCTTTGTGTTGTAGCCAAAATTATTCTTGAGAATTCAAATTGTGGAACAACAACTTAGGTTAAAAAATTTTAACCTGAATTTAATTTTGACCTGTAACATATACATGCAGTGTTTTAACTGCTATAAAATGTCTTAATGACGAGAACGACAGATCTTTCAGTCCTTGCCATGCTTCTGAATGACAGTGTTCTCTTTGACTCTCCAAGTTTGAATTTTATACCTCTTTGCTTGTAATATCGATTCTATTTCTAAAAACTGCATGTTGCTTTTTATGTTATTACTAGATTATGCAGTACCTTTAATAAGTATTCTGTTTGGTTAGTATGGGCGATATGACAATAGTTTCCCCTTCACTATCTGTCTCCATTAATCAGGATTGTCGATGATTGAGGGCCAGTGGCTGGGGGCTTTCCCTGGCTATTAGATATCTCAGTCTCAGCTACTTTGGTAAAAACACAATAGAGCGATTTTCATATGACCTGGAAAAATGGTTTTGGTAAGTGTTCATTATTTGTTTTATCAGCCAATGGGTGACAAGATCAATACATGGACTCTTTGTTTTCCCGCCAAAGAAAACCCTAATATGGAGAAGGCGTTGTTCGATTAGCCAATCGTGTTGCAGCGGGTTGCAGTATGATGTCAAAGCGAAGTAATTCGATTGATTTCTAGAAAGTTCTTGGCAATGAAGTTTTTTCACTCGAGCGTTTGCTTAACCAACCAAAAGCCACGTGCGTTTGTATCCATTCGATAAACCAATCAAATCGCTCTATTTCCATTCTTTTGTTGTTTCTGTTTTGTTCGTGTGTTTTCAGTTCAAGGTATACGAAAATCGCTCTAATTGTGGAGTAAAGACAATAGAAACTTAAAATTTATTCTGTTCTCCCATTTCCCTTCCTTGGTCATATTTTTAAATTTAGTGACACTCCTGATGATAAATTACAGCTTACTCAGTGTCACCAGTAATTATCATTAAATATCTTTAAGGTGGATTTTACAATGGTGAAGTGTATGACTGTTGCCAGAACTCAACGTCATCAAGGTTCTGTTTTAAATACCAGTCTCTTAGCCATTTAAAGGTACATTATGGAACATGAACTTTTCAAGTATCTAATTTCAATTGATGAACTATAAAATACCATACATGAACTTGGACTGTGTAATATTCACAGAATGTACAGTACTCCATTTTCAATAAAGGTTAGTAGTATGGTTTTTGAAGTCAGTGTGTCCAGAGGGACTATTTAATTCCTTCAATAATTATTTTCATTTGCACTTTGAAAGTTGTTGACACAAATAATTTGCTTCAGTTGATTTTCGGCCCAACAAAGTTTGAAAATACATGTAAGCAAAATTCTCTCTTGCAATAAGCCTATCAAAAAGTGCTCTGAAAACTGTGTGCCCCTGGACCTGTTTTTGAAGTTTTGTGATATTTGTAATCGCTATTCAAGGCTGTGCTTTACAAAAAAGTAAAGGGATCCTGTTGCTCTCAAACTGTGAAATCCAGGGTGTCTGGCATATGATTTTCATGAAGATACTAAGATTCCCTAGTCATCAAAGAGCAAAAGTAAGACACCAGGGATGCTCTAGCACCTTTAGAGCACAGCTCTGCACTGTACCCAGCCTTTCTTGATGATATATGTTTATGTTTTTTTGTTGTTGTTTTGTTTTTATCGTTGTTGTTGCTGTTATTGTTGGGTACAAGGGATATGCATGTCTTCCGGCAAGAAGCACCATGCAGTCAAGGCAGCTGTGTGGTATACCTACAGACTGTGATGGACCAGGTGAGCACCTTGTATGATAGCTGACACTAAGACATATAATATACTAAGATTTATTAAAATCTACAATCCGTGACAAAGTTGTTGAAACATTGTCCTCAAACAGGGTAACTTCAGAGAACAAAACAATTCACAGCCCTTCTCCTCCCTTCTATTCAAAGTTGGGGTGTTTGTTGTTTTGTGCAGGTAGCTCAAACAGTAGCACAACATTGCTTGAAGGGGGAGGGGAAGGAAAAGCGTTTTCCTTTTTTAAGTTGGCAAAAAGTCAGAGAGGCCCTTCAGGGAAAAGAGTCTCTACTAATTTTGTCCCGGATTGTAGCCTCATATATGTTTAATTGAACCCTTCTGTCATCTGTTTTCTCACACGTGAACAGTAACAGAAGGATGCAAAAGTATAGAGCGCTTTGAAGAGGTGAATGTGCCAAGAATTGCTCTTTGAAAACTAAAACTTGATAAATAAACCCTTTGGTGTTCAGTTCTTGGCAACAAAATAAACAGAACAAAACAAGTCCTTGGCGAAATGACATTCCAAGCACCAGGCCATCTCTTGAATCTTTTTAATGTGTTGTGCCTATGTACTTTTGGTGTGCTACTCTTTGTATCATTGTTTTCTCTGTTTTTTTTACAGGACTCTGTTTAAATTAGATCCACGCTAAACCAGATGTTCCAGTATAAATAAATAAATAAATAAATAAATAAATAAATATATAAACTGTTTAGTCTAGTACCTAAATTTGATTTCACACATTGTGTAAAATAGTGTTATTTTGCAATTAATGTTTACCATTACATGTGCCAATTCCAGGGGACAAAGTGTGTGTTCATCCATCTTTGGATAACTCCAGCCGCCTTCTAAGAATCATACGAAGTAAAGGCTCAGATGTGCTGTATGTGGGTGATCCTCTGCTACTTCAGTACACAGGTAAAGTAAGAAAGGGCTTTATAGACTTTTGAACCTTCATTAGAGGGTATTTATAGAAATCACTGCCACCCAACATTTATGGTTGATCCTCCATGTGTGGCCATATATCCAAAACACCAAAATTTTCCCAGTGAAATCACTTAAATTTGCAACAAGTAATAGTCCGTTCTGACAAGTAATTAACTGAGCAAGCTCCTTTTTCGCTGACTACTGACAAGAGGTATAATCCATTAACACCCTCTTCATCAGGGCTAAATAATTATAAGTTTTTCTTCAGAATATGTGTACTTTTGGATGCTTATTGCAGTTTTGACAAGTGTCAATCTATTAATCATGACAGTGTTTTTATATGCTAAAAATGTTCAGGGAAACGTTTATGTGAACCCAAAAGAAGTTTGTAGACCATGCAAAAGGAGAACATGAAGTTAATGGTGTTCTGTTTAATGTATTTTTTTTTTCGATGGGTACCTTTTAGCGTTTTTGTCAGCAATGAGAGTTTTTAATTAAAAAGTGTATTGAGTGCATTCTTTTATTGCACAGTTTAACTCAGTTAAACTGCAGCTGAGTACATGCATCTGGCTTCTTTTTTTCAGTGGGAGTCATAAATTATCAGCGGCGGAACACGCTTCTTCCCATGGAACTTCCAAATATGGTAGAAATGTTTTTGATGTATCCTTTGGATTCAAGAATAATAGTTATATTTTAAACTCAAGGGTGCGATGGCAATGTATTCTGGGTTAAAGTGATGGGGAGATGCAGTTGGGCAGTGGTAAATTTGTATTATCTATGTCTGTTTTTTTAATACCATTTTTTTCCCATATTTAATACTATGCTTAGAAATTGCGTGAAATAACTGAGAGTGTTTGTCTGTATATCACTATAACTGGTAGAAAATAAAAACCCTGATACATGTATGTTCCACTTGAACAATGATCAAGCGGAAGGCCTTTGTGAACTGTCCAAATTTACATACAATACCTGGTCTCATCAGTTGTGTAGCTGGTTAATGTTTAAGTGCTGAGGAATCAAGCCAGTGCCAGCTTTGCAACATCTGGGTAGATGTCAATCTTTTGACTCAACTTCATCCTCGGAGACCCAGGGGCAGATAGTGGGGGCGAGGGAAAGTCTAGACGGGCGGAAAAATGTGGCACGAAGAAAAGTAAAGAACGGCGAGAAGAGCCCCTGGGGACAATGTCTTACCAGATCAGTTCCAAACGGTCGCCGCCGTTCTGGCTTCTGATTGGTGCCAGAAGACTTGTGTTTGCGACCGTTTGGAACTGGTCTGGTAAGACATTGTCCCCAGGGGCTCTTCTCGCCGTTCTTTACTTTTCTTCGTTCCGTATACATTTTTCCGCCCGTTTAGACTTTCCCTCGCCCCCTTTATCTGCCCCTGGGTCTCCGAGGATGACTCAACTTCAGCTGCATTTTTTTGTGTGTCCAACATGTCTAGAATAGTCCATTTTCGAGTTCGCTATGACCGCTGAGTTAATGAAGTGAAGACGCATTTTTTACAGCCTTAGCCTCCATCTGAGGTAATATATTCACAAATTCCAACGAGAAAAAGACCTGTTGATTACTCTGTCTATTGTGTATACTCAAATTTCAAACACTTGCTTGCCAGAATTTCAGAATATGTTACTTCACGTCGAGGCTAACCCTGTATGAATTGAGCATTTGAACACTTTTTATTTTTATATCACCAGCCCAAATTCACTGCACTGTTTTTTAGCGCACATAGCACGAGCACTGCACAGCACATATCTGCTGAAGATGGGCTGTACTGCCCTTTGCAGATCAGACATTTAGATTTTAGATTTAGATGAATGTGTCGTTAATGTTTGTATTCAGAGGTAATTTTAATTCGAAATTGGACTATTAGTTTTAGTTTTACAGCTACCCTGAGCTAAGAACCATTCCACACAATGAAATGAAAGCTGTAAGTTATAGGAAGCCATTTGTTTTGTGTCCTTGACTTAATTAAGATATTTAGTTTCTTTATCAGGGGCTTTAGCTCTGCTTAACATGGTTCCTTGTTATTCACTAGATGGACAGTGGGCGTTATTTGCTTTTGTAGATCATACTCTTACAACATACATCCCTCATGAAGATCAAAGAAATATGCTCTGCAATGTCATTCTTACACTTGGAACGCTGTTACTTGCAGCAAATATAATGCTGGCACTGTGGACATTAGGGAGCATTTAATGACAACATTTATCCATAGATTTTTGTAACCATTACATTTATTTATTCTCAACAGAGACTAAAGACTAGAGATTATTATAGTCCATTCATTTATTCATAATTTTACAGGTACGCACATCCGAGTTTTTTCGAAAGCAGTGAGTTCGTAAATAAATCCTCTACCTTTTAATGATACACTATAATTATCTGATCATGTGTTGACAGTGTAAGTCTGTACGTCAACCAACCCAGTCTTATTACGGAATGCCGCTTAACATTGTACATTGTATAATGCGGGAACCCTTATTCATGTCCTACAATTTTAATGCATTATAACTAGGTTCATTGTTTTCCACTGCGACGGCTGGGTTGTGTGAAACCTTTGTGCGTGACAAATGTTGCTTTTGCCTTCTGGTGTGACAAAACAAATATAAAATAGATTCAAAAACCGGTGATTTATTGGTGCTCTGTCAGAGCAGATTTACTTTTACAGAGAGCCGACGATGAAATTATTCTAATTGCATTAGAATAAGCGAATTATTTACTTTCTCAAGTTATTTGACCGAGCTAAATTGTCTTGTGTCTGGTACAGCAGGACAACAGTACTCAAGTATTGACTGGTCTTTCATAGGAAAAAATTGAAGCTAATTGACTGCAAATAACTGTTAAAAAATGAAAAGAATCCTTTATATGGCTAACATATTTTTTTACGTCTTCGTTCAACCGAACTTAGCGCTAGAGCGTTTATTACTGTTAGTATTTTGTTCTAGGTCATTTACGACTGTACGGTTGTGTAAAAGGAGCGGGATATTTGTTGATAACAGGTCTCTTTTTGTAGCTTTTTACCGAAATTTTTTAGTGAAGTGCATTAACTGAAAAAAGCGGCAAGGAGTGGTTACGATACTTAGATATGTCTAAACCATGTAGAGTTTAAATACTATTCCCAAAACAAATAAAAGATTCCAAACAAGAAGTAATATTGAACTGTTGTTTGTGATCACTGACTTGTCATCAGTGAGTGGTAGTGCAATGTAAAGGTTACTGGCAGTGACAAAAAACAATGGCTGTTTCCTCAAACAAAACAGTACTAAGGTATTGCAAGTAACTACAGGTTAACTGTGATCAAGTAGTTGATGTTTAAACTGTTCCATGTTTTTTTTGTACATATAACTTTGTGCAGGTAGTTGCATGTTAACTGTGTTATCTTCAAACATCAGACAATTGATAAACAAAGGATGGAAAGACGGGCTGAACAATGCGAATTACTCCCATAAAGATATAACACTTTTGTTGTCTTTTTATTAGTCTAATGTCGAAAAACGAAGAATCGAACGCTTGCTGCACGATAAGCTTGCCGAATACATTGCAACCATCGGCCCTTGAAGACTCCGTTTTTCATTTAAGGGAACATATCAGGGGCATCCAATGACTGTTTTCTGTAAAATATCCGTTCGGAGAAGCAAATGTTGCCTAGAATTTTCTTTTACTTGATGACGACTAAAAATTTCTAGATGACCGTTCCATTCATGTACAATTTTCGACGCTTATCTAATAAATTCCCTACGATTTTCTCAAGTTTAATTTTTCGCATTTCACTGCCCAGGTTATGATATTTTTCGTACAAAAAAGGAAACCTAAGATTTTTGGATTCACAAATGTGACAGAGAGAGGAATAAGAAGAATTCTCACTTTCATAATACGTTAAATTATATCTACAATTTTCGGGAAAATAATGCTGAAGCCCTTCTAAATTCAAAGACTTAGTTCCTCTAGGATTACCGAACAGGTACAAATTTTATAGCGCCTCTTAAAAATGCATTTCTAGAGATCTAAAAGTACTCTGGATAGCCTAAAAAGTGTTTTCAACTTTTTCAATGTATTTAGGAGGAAACCGTCGTTGGGTGCCCCCTGATGTTTTTAGTATGTAGCTTGCGTGTTCCTCCTCTGCCTTTTTCTTTGCTCCCTCCCCTCCAGTCCAGACAACGATTTTACAGTCCGCCAGACTTTAAGAAGGACATCTCGGGTCGGGTGTTAATGACTCATAGAATGATATTACTCTTGAAGAGTATAACGCCGGAAATCAGTTTGAATTGTTTCGTCTAATTATAAACGAGAAATTTTGCTGAATGAGAAAGTTACGAAGCAGTAAAGGGAAAACGTTTTGCTTTACTGCTAGTCATGTATGTAACCTGCGCTCAGGCGTTCTTTATCGCGCTCCCATTTATGAAAAGAACGTCTCTGCCATCGCAGAACACATTATACAGAACATTTTCACAATGGCCTCATTCGACACACTAATTGCAACTAGAATTTCCGTTTCTTGTTCACGTCTGGAACTTTGCGAGCCAAACTTTTAAATTTGTATCGTCGGTGATAGACAAGAAAACGAAAAAAGGGAAAAGAACTTAGTAGTTGTAGTCAAATGTCATCGTCCTACAAACTTCGCCTGCATGTGTGGCGAAGTCAGTCTAGATCCAACTCCGGTATTTCGATGTAGTCAAGTTTGCGTCGTAACCCCTCCTTGGCATGAAGAAAAAACTGGCTTACATAACCAACAATAACTGACGTTAACACTGATTGAGAGAACCCGGACATGCATTCCTGAAGGCGCTCTTTGAATACTGCACTCCCTCTATCACTTCCTTCTTTCCAGGTTATAGCAGCAACATCACTAAGGAATCCAGGTGAAGCGTAATCACGAGGAATTGCTTTGAGAAGATTTGAGAAAAGCTTTCCGACATAGCCCCTTTCGTCAATGTAATCTGTAACGGTCTCCATTATGTATTGGCAGGCAGCTTCATGAACTGTTATTTTGGCTGGGTTGGCCACGTCACCGTGGTGTTCCCGTTCAAATTTCTTCCTTTTGTCCCACGTTCTGATGAAGAACTTGAGAGCCAAACTTTTCTCTTTTTCTGGAAGATAAACAATCAGTTGAATGAAAACATGTTGGAACGCATCCCATTCTCGAACGAGCTTAACATAGACGTCTTCGTCTAGGTCTAATCTATCTAGGTCAGTGATCTGGTCATAAAACTTGGTTCCTAAGTCATCCGAGGCTCCTGTAGGAACGTCATCAATGTTAACGAACAGTTTATTCCACAACGCAGTGAGATCTTTTCCACCAAGAGTTTCAGACAACAAGAATTCCAGTGCATCTACCACTTCTAGCAATCTGATCTGCCTTTTCGTTTCTCTAACTTCTTCCCGTGTGTGCGGCGTCATCTTCAAACCCTTCCCGAGACTCAACATGTTTTCAACGATGAACTGTCGCAACTTTTTCTTGTGGTCAGTCGTGGACAGTAGATTGTATCCTGACAGAAAGAAATTCTGGATATCTTCATGCATAATCCCCTGCAAAACGGCATCTAAGGTGTCTTTTACCTGTTGGAGCCAATACTCCTTCTCCTTGGACTCCGCACCCGCTGCAAAATACCGGGATAGCAAGACGCTCTTAAAAATGTAAGACGGAACCAATGATGCGTCCAAATTGAGCTCTTTTGCGGCCTTATCCCTCACGTACTTTAGTACTCGGAAACATGCTTTAAACTCGTCAGGAGTATCGGACAGGATGTGTTTCTCGGCAGTGGAGAATGAAATGCGCCACATATCAAAACCCGCTGGAACGACGTGAAAACAAGCCTTTTCAAGATATCCACTGGCTACAGTCTGAGGAAGTTTGTCTGACAACCACCCTACTGGAAGATTTGAAATGGCGTATTCCAGCGCTAGAGTCAAATCAACACTTATTGATAAACCACTGTAACTGCTACCACCGTGCCATACAACTTTTATTGTCGTAGCTGGGCCGTGTGATTCTATGTCCATAACCTGAGCTGCCTCAGACTGGCGGCCCTCGCCTCCAACTAAACCAGTGTACACAACTCCCCACGCTCCTTCCTTATGACCTAGTTCTTGTATAGTCATTCCTTTTGGGACAGCTATGGTACTGCAAGATTCGTTGACTAGCCTTTTGAAGTGGCGGCATAGCTTATTAGGGCTGAAGAAGCCTTTTTCATCTGTAAATTCCCTCCATTTCTCATCTCGCTGATCGAGTCTCACGTATCCAGGATTATTTTCGCAGCGAGAAAGGCGGAGTTTGTTAGTGAGACAGTCGATTCTAACCATGAAGTCAAACTCGTCAGGTTGATGGACTTTTACTCCTTCGTAAACACTTCCGCTCTTGATCAAAGTGCTCTTGAAGCGTTCGTCGCGCTTTTCAGCTTGTGACAGAATGCTAGATACCAGCCTTTCGAGTTTCTCCCGAATAAGTCCGGCTTCGTTGTCATCTTTAAACTTTGCTTGTCTTTCAAAACTTTTGACAATCTGATGCATCGTGGTGCTCGAGTTGTTAACTACCGGCAACGTCTAAAAGAAAATGCTCATATCTTTGATCCTTTTTCCGTGTTTATCAGGGGTGCGCTCGTTTCTGTAAAACAAAAATAGTCCAAGAATGTTTATTATGTTTTGATGAACAATCATAGCAAAGAACAGGGATACGCGCGAAAGCCACAAAACCACAAACCAATTAACGTTGTTGCCTGCGGCTTAAGATTTCCTACGCCTGATGGGTTTTTCCTTGCAATACAATATTAACAGTTATTTACAACTATGATTTTGGAAATTTCTTTTGATGGTTTTGATATTTATAATACTTAAAGCTTACAGAGTTTTACGGCCGATTATTTAAAGTTAACCCGTGTTTATGACCGAGCTGCGGTTTAGACGTTGTCTCGATAAACAATGGTTAAACCATGTTTAAAATACATAATTAAGGTGGCTTGATAGGGTTTTTCAAGGTCAATACCTCACAAGTTTGAGCATAAACTACGTTGCCATTAACAAAGATTTGGAAAAATTACCACCACAGCTGTACTAGATAAAGATGAAAAATTATTATGATCAGGTTTGTAATGACATGCGGGAGTTGTTGAGACTAATTGTAGTCGAGAAAGAACTAACCAGTGGCAATGATATCGCTAATGTCATGAACACGTATTTTACCTCCATTGCAACAACATTATTGGCCAATCGTCACGATCTCGTATCTGAAACAGCGCCAGAGCCTGTTTCTCCTTAGCCTGCGAACCGCAGACGCATTTCCGGTCGTCGCTTCTCTCTCTCGGAGGGAGAGAAGCGACGACCGGAAATGCGTCTGCGGTTCGCAGGCTAGTTTCTCCTGACATCAAGATCTTTAATTTTACATTACGTAATAAACACGAAATCTTTAAGGCTTTCGAGGAACTCGATCAAGCCAAAGCCACAGGATGTGACGGAATTTCCGCAAAGGCACTTAAACTAGCGGCGCCTAACATTTCTCAGAGTCTGACTTACCTTTTTAATGACTCGCTTCGCACTAGTCAATTTCCATCTGTCTGGGAAATAGCCAGGGTAGCACCACTGTTCAAAGCAGGCTCACCAACCGATTGTGATAATTATCAATGAGTGATCCTCCTAATTATCGGCCTATTTCGGTATTGCCCTGTCTTTCGAAGGTCATGGAGTCTTACGAAATTTTGCACACGACGTCGGTCTCACACAGAACAGCATAAATTCGCCTATTACTCCAAGTTTTCTTCAACGACAGTGGAATTGCTCAAAGTAGTAGACTCTTGGAAGTTTGCTATCGACGATGGTCTAAAGTCTGTTTGCGTTTACCTAGACTTGAGAATAGCGTTTGATGTCAAGCATGATATACTGCTTGCCAAACTTGAATCTTATGGTATTAAAGGGAACGCTCTTCAGTGGTTTAATAGCCACCTATTAGGCAGATCTCAATTTGTTGCATGTAGAGACTCCGCTTCTGAGCTTCGACATCTCCCGTTTGGAGTCCCGCAAGGGTCGGTCCTGGGTCCAACTTTGTTGAATATTCATATAAACAACATATCTAAAGAAACCATCGCGATTTCCTTCATTATTCTTGAGCATGTCACAATTCTGATGTTGCTCTATTTGCAGACGATACCGAGATTCAGTTTAGCTCCGAAGACGTTGGCGAGGCCGAGTACAGAATTAACGAGGATCTTAAAAGCTTTAACCAGTGGTTCTCTAATAACGGTCTTATTTGTAACACGAAAAGGACGGTGACAAGACCTGACAATGGTTATTGCATCACACAGGACAGTCAAAACTGCCAGAGATGTTCGTATACCGGCTTACGGTGAATCACAAGAGATCCTTTAAGTACCTCAGTGTGATAGTAGACGAATCGTTCTCTCTGAACACTCACACATCGTGTGTCGCCTCCAGAGTCTACCCTAAACTTAGGCTGCTGAATAGTATTGTGCGATTATCGGAGGCGAAACGAAGAGTGGAGGCCAAATATATATTCAAGGTTATACAATTTAATTAAAGGAGATTACATGAGCAATGCCTAAGGTCAACTGAACTATTGTACAAGGCAATCACATCAGGATATATAAGTCGAGCGTGGTTGCTAAGTAAGAGGATTAAGGGCTAATCCCACAAGGATTTCGTCCTTTCTTGATCCAACTACAGTATGTTGCTCAGTTTCCGGTCACTTCAGTTTATCATTGCAATAACTTTCCTTTCTTGGTCGCTTGAGTTCTGAAATTTGGTCCAGGGACAATCTATTTAGTCCTTAATATGACGAAAGACAGTTTATTTTTTTGTTTTCGTTTCAATCGCAAAATAAATATGTTGCCCAGTATCCGGACAGCTGACCCAGATCCGGCCACAACAATAACAACGTAATTATACATAAATTTCGCCAGGCAAGCGAGTTATAAGCTCCTCTTCCACTTGCAAAGTGGTCTCGCATTCGATTCCAAAAATATAAATCAATCTGGGAACCTAGCATCGTAAAACAAAATACAATTAATGACTGGGGTATGGTAGGAAAAACTACGCGAGCGGCTGATCAAGGTTGGAGACGTGGAGAGAAAAAATGAAAAAAGAAACTAACAAAAAAGACAAAATTCTGTTTTTTTTTTTCTATAAAATACTTTGAATTGTTAACTTGTAGTAAGTATTTTTCTCGCCATTTCTGTCACACTGCGACCCGCACTTGTTCCAGGACACATTGATGGTCACTCTTGATCTGAATTGGGTAGGAACATGGTCTAAAATACGCCTCCAGCGAATTGATGGTGTGGCCATTGGAGGGAATTCTTACATGAAACGCAAGACATTTGAATCAAAATTGTATATTGGGGATTATTAAAAACTGAATCATTGGATAATGCAATTCTAGCATTTTGATTGGCTTAGCCGTTATGGTATATGAGCTATTATACCATGCTCTCCATATATGGTCGATTTACGCGTCAGTTTAAAATTTTGAGGACTATCTACGGCAAACCACCTGACTTGTTCACTGGGAAGTAAGTGAATATTTATACGTTTTCAGCTAGGTAAGTGTTCAAAATTGTTAACAATCAGCGAAGTTCTTACGCAACTTCCCAAATTGCATGACAAAAATCATGGAAGTACTTGTTGCGTTCCGGCGAAGAGGATCGCATGCTATTCGAGTCGTTTTTTCTTGTGGGACTTTCTTTGTCCCGCGGTTTCGTTCTGTATACCATAGGATTTCGGTAAACACTTGTTTGCGTACTCCAAACCGTCCTTGCGCACCTTTTGTGACTATTAATATTTTTTATTCTCAAGAGAGACTAAGAATCAACAGATTACTACAGTCCATTTTACTAAATCATACACGCCTATTAGAGATTTTTCAAAAGCAGCGGGTTCCTAAAAACACTCTTTTACTTGTCAACTATACTTATTTGACATTGAATTTCGCATGTCAAGCAAATATCTAGCCTGTCACGTGACATCCGCCCTCTACTACACAGGCCAACCAGCAGATATCGTTTTAGGACAGTATTTTGCTGAACATCTTGCATCGTATAACTCTGGAACAACCCTGATTCATGCCCCAAAGTTCCTCGATTGAAATTTTGCTTTATCCTGTCATTCAGGTTTTCTTTATGCTACAATAGTTGCTTCTCCAACTGCGATGATCTTCTTCACATTTGATTCTTGATTCTTCGTTCCGCAATTCTGATATGTTATTATGATACTTTTCGGGCAATTATGACTACGATAAATTTCGTTAAAGAAGCGGTATCGCAAAAAAAAGCTTTGGCTTTACTGCCAGTGAAACGTATAAACCTGAAATGAACTGTTCGCCACGCCCACATCTATGAAAAGGTCTCCTCATCCTGGAACGCCTACAGTACATTTTGATAATAGCGTCATTTGACATAATATACAACCAGTATTTCAGTTTCGTATTTATGTTTTGAACTTAAAAACCAAAATTAATGCTGGTTTAGACAAGAAAACAAAAAAAGTCGGAAATAAACTGGTAGTTGTAGTGAATGAAGGAGTTTGGCTTCAATCGAGATCTACCTCCGGAATGTTGATGTAGTCAAGTTTGCGTCGTAGCACGTCTTTGCTATGAAATAATATTTGGCTAAGATAGCCAACAACAACTGACATTAATACTGATTCAGGGACCAAGGACATGTACTGCTTAACGCGATCTTTGAATACTGCACGCCCTCGATCACTTCCCTCTTGTAAGGTTATATTGGCAATATCCCGAAGAAATCCAAGGGATCTGTAATCAGGAGGAAGTGCTTTGTGAAGGTTTGAATAACAATTTGCTGCAGTATTGCCCTTTCCATCAATGTAATTTTCAGCGTACTCCACGATATGTTGACAGAGAACTTCATGAATAGCTAATTGCTGAATGGGGTGGGCAGGATTATCCTTATGTTCCTGTTCAAATTTCTTCCTTTTTTCCCAGGTTCGGATGTAAAACTTACGAGCCAAAATTTCCAAGTCTTCTGGAAGGACAGCAATTAGTTGATCGAAAATATATTCCAAGGCAGACCATTCTTGAACGAGCTTTTCATAGACATCTTCATCAAGGTCTAACCTATCAAGGTTAGTAATCTGTTTAGAAAACTTGGCTTCATAACTTTCTTCAGAAGGAACATCATAAATATTAACAAACAATTTTTGCCATAACGCAGCAGTATCTCTGCCATCAAGACCTTCAGACAATAGGAAATCCCGGATGTCTACAATTTCTAGCACTCTGATTTGCCTTTTCGTTTCTCTAACTTCTTCTCGAGTGTGTGTCATCTTCAAACCCCTTACGACACTCAACATGTTTTCAACGATGAACTGTCGCAACTTGTTCCTGTGGTCAATCGTTGACAGTAGATTGTATCCTGACAAAAAGAAATTCTGAATATCTCCATGCATAATCCCCTGCAAAACGGCACCTAAGGTGTTTTCTACCTGTTCGAGCCAATACTCCTCCTCCTTAGACTCCTCTCCCGCTGCAAAATACCGGGAGAGCAAGACGCTCTTAAAAATGTACGATGGGACTAAGGATGCGTCCAAATCAAGGTCGTTTGTGGCACTGTCCCTCACGTACTTTAAAACTCTGTAACATGCTTTAAACTCGTCAGGAGTATCGGACAGGATGTGTTTCTCGGCAGTGGCAAATGAAATGCGCCACATATCAAAACCCGCTGGAACGACGTGGAAACAAGTCCTTTTAAGATACCCACTGGCTACAGTCTGTGGAAGCTGGTCTGACAACCCTACTGGAAGATTTGAAATGGCGTATTCCAGCGCTACCGTCAAATCAACACTTCTAAGTAAATCACTGTAACTGCTGCCACCGTTCCATATAACTTTTATTGTCGTAGCTGGGCCGTGCGATTCAATGTACATAACCTCAGACGGGCGGCCCTCGCCTCCAACCAGACCGATGAACAAAGGTCCCCACGGTCCATCTATGTCGCCTTGGTCTAATTCTTGTATGGCCATTCCTTCGGGGACGTCTATGGTTCTCCAAGATTCGTTGACTAGCCGTTTGAAATGGCGGCACAGCTTATCAGGGCTGAAGAAGCCTTGTTCATCTTGAAATTCTTTCCATTTCTCATCATCCTGACCGAGTCTCAGGTATCCTGGATTATTTTCACAGGGATAAAGGAGAGATTTGTTAGTGAGACAGTCGATTCTGACTTTGAAGTCAAATTCGTCAGGTCGATGAACTTTTACCCCTTCGTATACACTTCCGATTTGGATCAAAGTGCTCTGGAAGCGTTTGTCGCGCTTTGCAACTTGTACCTGAATGCTAGATACTAGCCTTTCGAGTTTCTGTCGAATAATTTCGGCTTCGTTGTCATCCTTAAACCTTGCGTTTCTTTCGAAATTTTCAACAATCTGATCCATGGTGGTGTCTTCAGTAAGTTGTTAACTATACAACGTCGAAAAGCAAAATGCTCATACGTTTTTCTCTTTTTAATTTTGGCAGGCTCAATAGATCATCAATCGATTTAATGGCCTCACGTGAGCAATTACAGTGTATAGTATCAAAGGCTTGTAGATAGAGCAATACTTAAAACTTTAAAAAATTGAAAGACTCAGAAAGTTTCAATTTCCAAGGCTAGGGCTCCATAAGTACTGACGCCGTAAAATGGTGCGATTTTGTACACACATAATAACTCAATCAAATCTAAGCGCTCCCATCCCCCCTCCACCCGCCCAAGGCTTTTGTCGCGCGTCGTCGTCTTTTTTTCGGAGAAGGCTGTAAATGCTCCGCAGTGGGGTTAGCAGATTTACACAAAATTCCCACCTTGGGACTAACATAAACCTTTTCGTGGCAATATGGGTGTTTAGGAGACTGATAGAAGTAACGCCAACCTGATTCAGGTAATAAAGAATCTCTATAACAAGGCCACTAGTGCAGTCTACCTTTAATGGCGCCATAGGAGACTGATTCAGGACTATAGTCCAGTCAATCTAGGCATTTTCGGGGCTCAACATCAAACTAATTGCAACAGAATTGTTTTCACGCTATTTAAGCAAGGGTGGCCTATCTAGCAACTTACTAAAAATCCGCCAAAATCCTATCGGTGGAACATGTCAAAATTAAGCGTTAAACCGTTTTGAGCTTTTAACACAGGGCACCCACGTTATTTGAAATTATACGTTAAAACAAAAAATGCGCAAAATGTGTCTGTTACTTTTATGGAAAAGTGAAAGAAGAAAGAATAACTGCTACCTAGTTTTCGGTGATAAACCGAAGTGTTTATTTTTTTAAAAAGGATAAATATTAAAAGCGGTTGGCTTTTGCACAGGAAACCCATGCTCCACTCAAGGAGCCCCCAAATAACAGGAGGCTTACAGAGTAAGAGAGTGAACTGTTGGCTGTAAAACTACAACAAATTTAGTCGTAAAGCTTTAAATCTGAAAAATGAAGGCCGTTACTTAATCAATGGCTTTAAAAATATATTCCCTTCTTTAATCAGATTTCTGTTAGCTGCAAGAGTAAGAAAAATATGTATCTAGTTGTATTTTTAAGAAGGTTACAGCCAAAACAAAACAGAGCTCTCCCATCAAACAGTTTTCTCTTTCAAAAACTATCTCCAAAGAAGTCAACATGACGGCTAATACTGCAGCCATTGCTTTTTTCTCTTTCTCCTCACTCTTTCTATTTATCCTTTCCTTGTTCTTTTCTAGGGGGATTTTCGGGTTCATTTTGCTTTTGGTCTTTTTCTTGTCAAAAGACTGCAATTTTCGTTCGGTACGTTTTTAAATATCCAGCAAAGTAATGCTTTGGCTTTCACGGCTACCTATACATTAATCTTCGTTAACGTACTGACATCCTCAAATATACAAGTTTCATTTTTTTGAAGTTTTTTGTTTTCCTCGTGTTAAAAGTGAATTGGAGGGGAGGGGAGGCAGGTTTTTAAGGGAAAAATTAACTCTGGGTAGCCAAAACAATATGTATGTAAAAATATATTGTAAGAGTCTATGGAGAAATGGAAATTCCCCACGCAGAGCATAATTTTCGCAACTCAGTGAAAAGGTTAACATGTAGTAAGTTGAAGTGTTACACAACTCTCATCCGAAGAGAAACATAAGCCCCGCAAAAAGAGGTGAGCCGTCAGAAGCTAAGTCAGGCAAGCCCCCATTAATGTCGTACATATGTCCGGTACTTTCGCTCCTTCATTGACCGCTGCAATTATTTTCAGAAGTATAGGATCCCATGATCGTTATAGAAAAAGAGGTCTTCAGACTTTATTTGCCAATGGACGAAAAAAAAGACTGGTCAAGGTTCAGGGTTGTTCTCACAAAAGAAATGCAAGGAGGGAATATAAACGCCTCGAGACAACAGAGCGATTACTTTACTCATTCATCTTACCAAGAAATGAAGGGCTGCCGCAGAAAATGCAAACTAAACATACAGATACAATAAACTAAATCTGGACTCGCTACAACAAGAAGATAAAACTGGAACAATCACACTGCGCTTGGTTTTCTGGATTTCGCTTCCAACAGATTTGGCCAGGTGTAATGAAAAGCGCAGAGCGTTAAGATCTAGCAAAAACCAAATAGACGGAGTCCTTAGCAGAATATTTATTCACTCACATTGTAAAACACGGAGTCATAATCCTTAAGGAAGTTGCGCATGTCGCGAGAAAAAAAAAGAATCCCTGTTTTCGATCACACATATTGTGTCCCAAGGTTTGAACATAACTACTTTACAAAACTCGATTACGTACAGAAAACGGAAATAGGTGTGAAACAGTTTGTACTGATACTAAGCTATCGTCCGTTGCACATATTTAGTCGCACGTTATCCTGCAGCATGGATGCAAATTTAGTAGTTGACCGAAGGTGAGCAAAATATCAAATCAAACTGTTCACTATCAGTCAGCTACTAAATTTGAATTCATGCTGCACATATAAAAAATTACCAGCCTGTAAAACTGCTAAAATACTTACTGCATTTCTGATATTGCGCAAAAAATTTTAACCATGTTAACACAGACTGACTAATAATTTCCCTTTTAAATACCTTCATAGAAAAAAAATTAAAGCTTGGAAAACAGAACATGAAGACAGACAAGTGGCTGTGTAACCTGTGCAGAGCCGTAAAGACGAAACACTTACCCTGGTGTTCTCACACATTAAGTCGGCGTTTTTTAAATCAAAACTAGCCAAAATACACTAGCAATGTTGTATCAAAAATTCTTGAGAAAATAAAAAACAATCATCAGATGTTTTGTCAGAATTTGTGATCTTCCTGAAATTGGGCTTCCTGTGGTGAGAGTTCAAGAGTTGCCTAATGCTGTCATCTGACTACAACAATCATCCTGCATCCTAGAAACATTGTCTGTGAAGAATTTTGCCTTCAGTCTAGATCTAATTCCGGCAGTTTGATGTAGTCAAGTTTGCGCCGTATCATCTCTTGGCCATGAAAGAATATCTGGCTTATATAGCCAACAAGAAGCGACGTTAATACTGATTCAGGAACCAAGGACATGTATTGCAAAAGGCGCTCTTTGAATACCACACGACCTCGTTCACTTCCTTCTTTCAAGGTTATGTCAGCAACATCCTGAAGGAATCCCGGAGATGTGTAACCAGGAGGAATTGCTTTGAGCAGATTTGAGTAACACTTTGCAGCAGAGCCCTTTCCGTCTAAGTAATTCTCAGAGTACTCCATTATGTATTGGCAGGCAGCTTCATGAATTGTTATTTGCTTGATTTGGTTGGCAAGGGCACCTTTATGTTCTCGTTCAAATTTCTTCCTTTTGTCCCAGGTTCTGATATAGAACTTTCGAGCCAAATTTTTCAGATCTTCAGGAAGGGCAGCAATCAGTTGGTCGAAAATATATTCCAACGCAGACCATTCTTGAATAAGCCTTACATAGACATCTTCATCAAGGTCTAACCTATCAAGGTCAGTGATCTGGACCTTAAACTTGCCTTCTTCGTAAGTTTCATCCGTAGGAACATCATCAATGTTGACAAACAGTTTATTCCACAACGCGGTGAGATCTTTTGCACCAAGAGTTTCAGACACCAAGAATTCCAGTACATTTACCACTTCTAGCAATCTGATCTGCCTTTTCGTTTCTCTAACTTCTTCTCGAGTGTGTGTCATTTTCAAATCCTGCACGAGACTCAACATGTTTTCCACGATGAACTGTCGCAACTTGTTCTTGTGGTCAGTTGTGGACAGTAGATTGTATCCTGACAGGAAGAAATTCTGGATATCTCCATGCTTAATCCCCCGCAAAACGACATTTAAGATGTCTTCTATCCTTCCCAGCCAATAATCCTCGGACTCCGCACCCGCGGCAGAAACCTGAGATAGCAAGACGCTCTTAAACAAGTAAGAAGGAACCAAGGATGTTTCCAAACCGAGGTTGTCTGCAGCGCTGTCCCTGACGTACTTTAATACTCGGTAACATGCTTTAAAGTCGTCTGAAGAATCGGACAGGATATCTTTCTCCGCAATGGAGAACGAAATGCGCCACATGTCAAATCCCGCCGGAACGACGTGAAAACCAGCATTGTTGAGATACCCACTGGCTACAGTGTGTGGAAGCTGGTCTGACAACCTCACTGGAAGCTTCGAAATGGAGTATTCCAGCGCTAGGGTCAAATCAACACTTATAAGTAAACCTCTGTAACTGCCACCACCGTTCCATATAACTTTTATTGTCGTAGCTGGGCCGTGCGATTCTATGTCCATGACCTCAGACGGGCGGCCCTCGCCCCCAACTAAACCAGTGAACACAACTCCCCACGGTCCTTCGATGTAACCCTGTTCTACTTCTTGTATGGCCATTCCTTCGGGGACGTCTATAGTACTCCAAGATTCATTGACTAGCCGTTTGAAATGGCGGCATATTTTATAAGGGTTGAAGAAGCCTTGTTCATCTGTAAATTCTTTCCATTTCTCATCATCCTGACCGAGTCTCAGGTATCCTGGATTATTTTCACAGGGATAAAGGAGAGATTTGTTAGTGAGACCGTCGATTCTGACTTTGAAGTCAAATTCGTCAGGTCGTTGAACTTTTACCCCTTCGTATACACTTCCGATCTGGATCAAAGTGCTCTGGAAGCGTTTGTCGCGCTTTGCAACTTGTACCTGAATGCTAGATACTAGCCTTTCGAGTTTCTGTCGAATAATTTCGGCTTCGTTGTCATCCTTAAACCTTGCGTTTCTTTCGAAATTTTCAACAATCTGATGCATGGTGGTGTCTTTAGTAAGCTGTTAACTATACAACGTCGAAAAGCAAAATGCACATACGTTTTTCTCTTTTTAATTTTGGCAGGTCCAAGAGATCATCAATCGATTTAATGGACTCACGTGTCAGCAATTACAGTGTATAGTATCAAAGGCTTGTAGATAGAGCAATACTTAAAACTTTAAAAAATTGAAAGACTGAGAATGTTTCAATTTCCAAGGTTAGGGCTCCATAAGTACTGATGCCGTAAAATGTGCGATTTTGTACAGAGATAATAACTCAATCAAATCTAAGGGCTCCCATCCCTCCTCCACCCGCCCAAGGCTTTTGTCCTGCGTTGTCGTCTTTTTTTCGGAGAAGGCTGTAAATGGGGTTAGCATATTTATACGAAATCCCCACCGTTGGACTAAGATAAACCTTTTCGTGGCAATATGGGCGTTTAGGAGACTGATAGAAGTAACGCCAACCTGATTCAAGTAATAAAGAAGCTCTATAACAAGGCCACTAGTACAGTCTACCTTTAATGGCGCCATAGGAGACTGATTCAGGACTATAGTCCAGTCAATCTAGGCATTTTCGAGGCTCAACATCAAACTAATTGCGACAGAATCGTTTTCACGCTATTTAAGTAAGGGTGGCCTATCTAGCAACATACTAAAAATCCGCCAAAATCCTATCGGTGGAACATGTCAAAATTAACCGTTAATGATTTGAGCTTTAAACACAGGGCACCCACGTTATTTGAAATTATACGTTAAAACAAAAAATGCACAAAATGTGTCTGTTACTTTTATTGAAAAGTGAAAGAAGAAAGAATAACTGCTACCTAGTTTTCGGTGATAAAACGAAGTGTTTATTTTTTAAAAAAGGATAAATATTAAACGCGGCTGGCTTTTGCACAGGAATCCCATGCTCCACTCAAGGAACCCCCAAATAACAGGAGGCTTACAGAGTAAGAGAGTGAACTTTTACCTGTAAAACTACAACAAATTTAGTCGTAAAGCTTTAAATCTGAAAAATGAAGGCCGTTACTTAATCATTGGCTTTAAAAATATATTCCTTTTTTTAATCAGATTTCTGTTAGCTGCAAGAGTAAGAAAAATATATATGTAGTTGGAGTTTTAGAAAGGTTACAGCCAAAACAGAGCTCTCCCATCAAACAGTTTTCTCCAAAGAAGTCAACATAACAGCTAATAGCGCAGCCATTACTTTTTATTCTCTTTCTCCTCACTCTTTCTATTTTTCCTTCCCTTGTTCTTTTCTAGGGGGATTTTCGGGTTCATTTTGCTTTTGGTCTTTTTCTTGTCAAAAGACTGCAATTTTCGCTCGGTACGTTTTTAAATATCCAGCAAGGTAATGTTTTGGCTTTTACGGCTACCTATACATTAATCTTCGTTAACGTACTGACATCCTCAAATATACAAGTTTCAATTTTTTGAAGTTTTTTGTTTTCTTCGTGTTAAAAGTGAATTGGAGAGGAGGGGAGGCAGGTTTTTAAGGGAAAAATTAAATCTGGGTAGCCAAAACAATGGGTATGTAAAAATATATTGTAAGAGTCTATGGAGAAATGGCATAATTTTCGCAACTCAGTGAAAAGGTTAACATGTAGTAAGTTGAAGTGTTACACAACTCTCATCCGAAGAGAAACATAAGCTCTGCAAAAAGAGGTGAGCCATCAGAAGCTAAGTCAGGCAAGCCCATTAATGTCGTACATATATATATGTCCAGTACTTTCGCTCCTTCATTGAACGCTGCAATTATTTTCAGACGTATAGGATCCCATGATCGTTATAGAAAAAAAGGTCTTCAGGCTTCATTGACGAAAATGGACGAAAAAAAACTGGTTTAAGGTTCAGGGTTGTTCTCACAAAAGAAATGCAAGGAGGGAATATAAACGCCTCGAGACAACAGAGCGATTACTCTACTTATTCATCTTACCAAGAAACGAAGGGCTGCCGCAGAAAATACAAACTAAACATGCAAATACACTAAACTAAATCTGAGACTCGCTACAATAAGAAGATAAAACTAGAACAATCACACTGCGCTTGGTTTTCTGGATTTCGCTTACAACAGATTTGGCCAGGTGTAATTATAATGAAAAGCGCAGAGCGTTAAGATCTAGCAAAAACCAAATAGACGGAGTCTTAAGCAGAATATTTATTCACTCACATTGTAAAGCACGGAGTCATAATCCTAAAGGAAGTTGCGCATGCCGCGAGAAAAAAAAAAGAATCCCTGTTTTCGATCACACATATTGTGTCCAAGGTTTGAACATACCTACTTCACAAAACTCGATTACGTACAGAAAACGGGAATAGGTGTGAAACAGTTTGTACTGATACTAAGCTATCGTCCGTTGCACACATTTAGTCGCACGTTATCCTGCAGCATGGATGCAAATTTAGTAGTTGACCGAAGGTGAGCAAAATATCAAATCAAACTGTTCACCATCAGTCAGCTATTAAATTTGAATCCATGCTGCACATATAAAAAATTAACAGCCTGTAAAACTGCTAAAATACTTACTGCATTTCTGATAATACGCAAAAAATCAATTATTGTTTTTAACCATGTTAAGACAGACTGACTAATAATTTCCCTTTTAAATACCGTCATAGAAAAAAAATTAAAGCTTGGAAAACAGAATATGGAGACAGACAAGTGGCTGGGTAACCTGTACAGAACCGTCAAGACGAGACACTTAACCCGGTGTTTGTCACACATTAAGTCGGCGTTTTTTTAAATCAAAACTACCCAAAATACACTTGCAATGTTGTATCAAAAATTCTTGAGAAAATAAAACAATTTTCAGATGTTTTGTCAGAATTTTGCGATCTTCCTGAAATTGTGCTTCCTGTGGTGAGAGTTCAAAGTCTTTATATGTTTCACCGAACCGATTTTGGCGGTTTTGTTAAATAGCCATTCAACAATTAAATGGCGTTGAAAAAAATTCTGTTGCAATTAGTTTGATACTAAACCACAATTTGACTGGACTATTTTACTAATTAACGCTTTTGTTTTCTAATTCCGTAAATTGCTTTATTGTTCCACCGTATGGAGCAACACCTCTAAAACAAATTTTAACCGATTTCAATTAGTTCAGAACTTTGCCCACAGGATAGTTCTTGGTCTCCCGAAGTATGATCACATTTCTGAGGGACTGAAGTCACGTAGATGGCTTCCTATTGCTGATAAATGGTCCATATATAAGTACCTAAATGGTCGACCACCAGACTATCTTAGTCAAAAATTTACACGTAGACTAGCTCATCATGATAGAAACACACGATATAACACGATATAACAGCGATCTTTTGCCTTTAGAGGCGCTACATGTTGGAACAGATTACCCAACAACTGGAAAATGTTCTTTACTTTGTACAATCATGCACCAAACAGTGCGTGTCAGACGTGGGAAATGAAATATATTTATCATTCCGACTCTCTTATCAGAGGCCAATGCATTTAAGGTTGCTCGACCGGGTTTTTCAGTATACAAACCCTCTTTCAACACGAATATTATTTTAAAATGCTTTAAACAACGCAGGAAATCATATTGTACCTATTTGTGGCATATAGTTTAGAGTTTCCAAAAAAGTCATTTTTTAGTTCGACGTATCCATGGCAACATGACGACGTCATTCCGGTTCAGATGGAAAATCGCCAAGTTTGGTCTGAAACAAGCTCCGGGTTTCGGGAAGAGGTCCCGCACGCCACAACAAAATTTTTCAGGGGCAACCACCGAGAGTTGCATAATGCTGTCATCTGACTACAACAATCATCCTGCATCCTAGAAACATTGTCTGTGAAGAATTTTGCCTTCAGTCTAGATCTAACTCCGGCAGTTTGATGTAGTCAAGTTTGCGCCGTAACACCTTTTGACCATGAACGAATATCTGGCTTATAAAGCCAGCAAGAAGAGAAATTAATACCGATTCAGGAACCGAGGACATGTATTTCAATAGGCGCTCTCTGAATACCACACGACCTCGTTCACTTCCGTCTTTCAAGGTTATGTCAGCAACATCCTGAAGGAATCCCGGAGATGTGTAACCAGGAGGAATTGCTTTGAGCAGATTTGAGTAACACTTTGCAGTAAAGCCCTTTCCGTCTAAGTAATTCTCAGAGTACTCCATTATGTATTGGCAAGCAGCTTCATGATTTGTTATTTGCTTGATTTGGTTGGCAAGGGCACCTTTATGTTCTTGTTCAAATTTCTTCCTTTTGTGCCCGGTTCGGATGAAGAATTTACGAGCCAAAATTTTCAGATCTTTGGGAAGGACAGCAATCAGTTGTTCGAAAAGATCTTTTACCATAGACCATTCTTGAACGAGCTTTTCATAGATATCTTCATCAAGGTCTAACCTATCCATGTCAGTGATCTGGTCGGTGAAGTTGCTTTCTTCATAAAATGCTTCCGTAGGAACATCATCAATGTTGACAAACAGCTTATTCCAGAACGCGGTGAGGTCTTTTCCACCAAGAGTTTCAGACACCATGAATTCCAGCACATCTACCATTTCTAGCAATCTGATTTGCCTACTCGTTTCTCTAACGTCTTCTCGAGTGCGTGTCATCTTCAAACCCTTCACGAGACTCATCATATTTTCCACGATGAACTGTCGCAACTTGTTCTTGTGGTCAGTCGTGGATAGTAGATTGTATCCTGACAAGAAGAAATTCTGGATATCTCCATGCATAATCCCCCGCAAAACAACATCTAAGGTGTCTTCTACCTTTCCCAGCCAATAATCCTTGGACTCCGCACCCGCTACAAAAAACTGAGATAGCAAGACGCTCTTAAAAATGTACGATGGGACTAAGGATGGGTCCAAATTGAGGTCTTTTGCGGCGCTGTCCCTGACGTACTTTAATACTCGGTAACATGCTTTAAACTCGGCTGAAGAATCGGACAGGATGTCTTTCTCGACACTGGAGAATGATATGCGCCACACATCAAACCCCGCGGGAACGACGTGAAAACCAGTCCTTTTAAGATACCCACTGGCTACAGTCTGTGGAAGCTGGTCTGACAACCCTACTGGAAGCTTTGAAATGGCGTATTCCAGCGCTAGCGTCAAATCAACTTTTATAAGTAAATCACTGTAACTGCTACCACCGTTCCATATAACTTTTATTGTCGTAGCTGGGCCGTGTGATTCTATGTCGATAATCTCAGACGGGCGGCCTTCTCCTCCAACTAGGCCATTGAACACAGGTCCCCACGGTCCATCTATGTAGCCTTGGTCTACTTTTTGCATGGCCATTCCTTCGGGGACGTCTATGGTTCTCCAAGATTCGTTGACTAGCCGTTTGAAATGGCGGCACAGCTTATTAGGGCTGAAGAAGCCTTGTTCATCTGTAAATTCTTTCCATTTCTCATCATCCAGTGCGAGTCTCACGTATCCTGGGATATTTTCGCAGCGAGAGAGGCGAGCTTTGTTAGTGAGACAGTTGATTCTGAACATGAAGTCAAACTCATCAGGTTGATGGACTTTTACTCCTTCGTAAACACTTCCGCTCTTGATCAAATCCCCCTGAAATCTTTCATCGAGCTTTGCAACTTCTACCTGAATGCTAGATACTAGCATTTCGAGTTTCTGTCGAATAATATCGGCTTCGCTGTCATCTTCAAACCTTCCTTTTTCTTCGAAAGTTTTGACAATGTGATGCATCGTGGTGTCTTAGTTGTTTACTTTAGAACTGTGACATCGAAAGCGAAACGAACAAATTTGTCCTTTTTCCGCTTTTAATTTCGCTGCGCACAGTCACTATTTTTAGACCTGAAAGTCAGACAAACAAACCGAAATTCCTCACTTTTGACTGACTTTTGTCATTAAAATGTCATGTTTGTCTGTCTTTTGTCATTAAAATGAGAAAAATGACAAAACTCAGACAAAAATTGCAAATTAGTCACTCTGACGTCATTCGCTCCCTACGCTCTTCGGATAAAGTCACCAGGTCAACAGCAAATTTCAGTTCTGGGAAAGGTAAACATCTTTTTATTCTTGACCCCTTAAATGATGGCTCACACTTTATTTTGTTTCTTGGAATTTCAACTCATGGTCCCGAGAGTGACCCTAATCAACAGACCATAACATTTTGAATTCTTGCCTCAATAAAGGAAGTTAACTGCAGTAGAAATGTCACAAACATTTGTTGGGCGTAGCATGTGAGTAAAAACAAAACATAAATAATGAATGTGTATATGATCTAAAATTTGGAGACAAAGTCTTAATTGAAAAAGCTCAAATTACAATGCAAAAATTTCCATTTCAACCATGTATCGCGGGCACATAACTGAATACACAGAAATAATCACTTGTGTTGCCCACTGACGTCGCGATTTCGAACTCCCGATCAAGAAGCTGTTTTCAAAAGTTTCCTAGAAATAGGTTCATTCAGTAATAATAATAATAATAATAATAATAATAATAATTAAAAATTTATAACGCGGCTTTTCCATGCAAATATGATCAAAAGCGCGTGACAACACGTAATTGTTCAAAGAGCCAAAAGCTAAAATGAGCATAATAATTACTGGGCTAAGAATAAACAACGCTAAAAATTAAAAAAGATAAAAACACTAAATATATAACACAGTATGTTAAATTAATTACATATCAAAAGCTAGTCTAAAAAGATGCATTTTAAGTAAAGATTTCAAACGTTCAAAATTGTCCACAAGACGGATGTGAAGGGGCAGATTGTTCCATGAATTAGGGGCAGCAGATGAAAAAGCACGATCCCCTCAAATCTTTTTCAGTCAGTAAACTAGGATACTTTAAGAGAAGACCGCTAGCTGAACGGAGATTATAGCGCGGCTGTTCTTTAATGGCAATCAAATCGATCAAGTAACCAGGCGCATGACCGTAGATAGCTTTAAAAGTAAAAAGAAGTATTTTAAAATCAATACGAAATTTGACAGGAAGCCAATGTAACGAACATAGTACTGGTGTTATGTGACTGTAGCGAGGGACATTATATATAAGCCGAGCAGCTGCATTCTGCAAGCGTTGCAGTTTAAGTAGATGAAGTAGATGAGGGTAAACCAAAGAGAAGGCTGTTGCAGTAATCTATACGACCAATGATAAAAGCATGGACCAAAGTTCGTGCAGACTCCTGGGACAGATATTTTCGGATACGCCGAATATTGTACAAATGGAAAAACCCAGATTTACAAGTTTTGTGGATCTGTTCCTGGAGATTCAAGTTAGAATCGAACCATGTCCCTAAATTTCTTGCCACAGTGACAGGAGCAACGTCAAATGCTTCCTTCGGTAAGGCAATCAATATTTACTTTGGAAAGTTGTTGTTTTGTACCAATCAACACGAGCTCAGTTTTGTCATCATTAAGTTTGAGCTTATCCGTAAGCATCCACGTACGAATGTCCGATATACAGCGTTCCATGGCAATGACCGCATCAGTCTGATTAGTAGCCGTGTCAGGACTAAACGAAAGGTAAAGCTGAGTGTCATCAGCATACGCATGTGCTTCAGGTAGATGGTATTTGATGACTTCAAACAGTTTGCTGGAATAAATGGTAAACAACAATGGCCCCAGACAAGATCCTTGTGGAACGCCATAAGGAAGCTTAAAACTGTCAGATGTAAAGCCATTTAGCGAGACTCATTGCTACCTGTTGTTAAGATAAGACGTAAACCAATTAAGGTCGGTGCCATTAATGCCGATACTTGACTTAAGACGAGCAAGCAGGATGTTGTGGTCAACAGTGTCAAACGCTGCGCTCAAATCTAGTAGAACTAGAAGAGGTACATGCTTATAATTCATATTCATGAGGATGTCATTTTGTACCTTCAGTAGCGTGTTTCTTTGCTGTGACCCTTTCGGTAAGCGGATTGCGAGGTTGGACAAAGGGCGAATCGACTCATATGACTGTGAATTTGGTCGAAAACAGCGCGCTCTGTCAGTTTTGATATAAAGTCCAAGTTACTGACGGGGTGGAGGTTATTCAACTGCGTCGGGTCTAAGCCAGGTTTCTTAAGGATCGCAGTAACCAGAATATAAAAAATATTTCGCTTTTCTGATTGGCTCAAAGCCTCCTGCTAATTCTTCATAACCAACAGGAGTTGACCAAATTTGGAAGATGCGAGTAATATACCATCAATTCGATGGTACATTTCTTGGAAATGAGATTGTTCGATGGTACATTTGTTTGGAAACGAGGTTGATCGATAGTATATTTTCCTGGAAACGAGACTTTAGAGCGCCCGCCTTACTGTTTAAAAAGAAAAAAAATGGCGTCCACGGCGGGCTGTACGAAGAAGACACTATGTTTATCATCGCTGTTTGTGTTCTGTCTTTGATTAAGCTGCGATGGTCGAAGAGTAAAAGTCTTTTAAGCAAAGTACCAAGCTTTTTGAGGCATCAGTCAAAAGATTTTTTCGAGGGGGTGGTCATGAGAATAATTCTCAAAAAGTTCTCAAAAATTCAGGCTTGTACGGGATTCGAACCCTTGACCTTTGCGATTCTGGCGCTGCGATTTGTTACAAACCCGTGGAAGGATAAAGATGAAATAATGAATATACAAACATTATATCTGAACGCACCAACTTAATAGCAGCTCCCAGTTGGCTTGTTAACTCAATTCTCAATTGGTAGAGCGCTGCACTGGCAACGCAGAAGTCAAGGGTTTGGAATCCCGTACAATCCTGAAGCCGTCTATTTATCCCGCAGTTCTAGTATTTGATTTTCATATATCAATATTCTAGACGCGTTTCCAGAATAACCTCTTCAGAAACTTGAAACTTACACGGATCAGCCGTTTAATGCCCCTTTTGACTTTCTATCGAAATGGCCGTGGTCCATATTTTTTCCCGAGGGAGGGAACGGGGGCTTGAGATTCAAGCAAACCGTTGAATTAAGCTTTCTTCCCTAGCTTCTCGGAAATCTTACCAGCAATAACAGATCATAAAAATCAAACCTCTCATACAAGCCCCCGTATAATACTGTAAGGTTTATTTGTAACCGTTCAATTACAATTCCATGTCATTAAACTTGAATAATGAATAACGGTAATCTATATACATATTGCTGTGAGTCCATTATTGAATGTATTCGCTTTCATACTACGAATAGGAAAAGAGCCTTTTCTGCGATAGAAAAAGAGTGTGAATTAACACCTGGGTTGAATCTGAAATTGATTCAGTGTAATCAAGCTTCCAAAGCAACGATGAATAAAACAGTTATTATGTACATGCTATCAACTCTCTTGTCTTTGAATCCGACATGAAAACAAATAAAAAGTAGGTCACAGTCTGTAGTTTACTGTTCTTGCTCTGCAGCGTCTGGCGGTGCTTCCTCAGTGGGTTCATTTTGCCCTGATTCACCAGGTGTGTCCGCCGCAGTAGCTGCACGTTCGCTCCCAGCCTCCTCTCCAGCTATGCTACCATCCTCCAACTTGTCTGTTGTTTCTCGCCCACTTTCATCGATTTCGGGTTTCTGATCGGCGGCTTGTTCAGCGACTTGTTCTGCTTTCGCCTCTTCAGCAGTTTTGGCCGCGAGCTCGGCTTCAGCCTTCTTTCTTTCTTCTGCCACCTTAGCTGCTGCCTCTTGCTCCAAGGCACGTCTGGCAGCTTCCTCCAACCTGTCGTAAACTTCAAATCGCTTCTTGACAACATCTCTTATTATTGCTAGGGGGCATAAAAAAGTAAAAATCAGATGATGAAGAAGAAAGAGAGCACGAGCTGAGCGACACAGAATTAGACCCGTCGCGTTCCAACATCATGGCCTTGATAAAAATCTGAAAAATCCCGAAATGTATGTCAAGTTGTCACTCATTTGTGCCCCAGCTTTTTGACACGATTAACTTTTTTCTTTCCTGTCTTACTTGGATTAAGACAACACCTAAGCAGAGCGTGCCCATTATCAAAAACGTTTTTCTTTCGAAAGCAAAAAAAAGCTCTGCAGTGAACCAGCATTCCTAATTTCCAGTTGAGTTATAAGAATCAGTTACAACGAAGCAATACACTTGATCTATGTAACATTTCTTATTTTTCAAACCCATTTACATATGTGAAGTCTAACCCGTATTAAAGTGAATAACTTAAGCCAAGTTCTTTTTACCAAGGTAGCATGAAAACCGCCGGTAATGATTGCCTAGTATAAACAAACTACCAGAACCAGCCTGAATTTCCGACGACTACTTCGAGTCATTTTTACTCCCTCAGCATGAGTGAGTAAAAACGACTCGAAGTAATCATCTAAAATTCAGGCTACCAGAACTTACCATCAAGAACAGTTCTTGAAACAATGGTTTGGTTTAATTCACCTTCCACTTTCTCCAGCAACCATGGCATAAAGTATGTTTCTACATCTGCAAGTCAAAGAAAATGCATCTTAGACAGATTTTCTTTTTAAAAAATTCAAAGAAAAGAAGTGAGGAAAGCAGGTAGTACATCTAGGTGTCCGTTTTAGGACACCACCCCTACGTACAGTAATAATTTGTAAGAAAGTGGAGTCCTCTGATGAAGCCTTCTTAGTCTAATCCTATGTACTCTTGCAAAATTTTTAATCATTTTTTTAAATAGTTTATGAGAAGCTACTATTTTAAGTTAAGATTAATTTTGTAGAAGCACTGTTTACCTCTTTCTACTGGATCATAGAAGTATCCATTTTCATTTAATGAACCAAAAACAGAAGGCACAAGGTCAGCCAGATAACTCTGCAAGAATTACAAAGGGTAAGAAAGAAATTCAGCAGCTATTTTAACCCATTAGCCTATGGGAATTTTGCTGGAAAACAGGTTTTGAAGCTAGTCAAGGCATTTTGTTGTCACTACAAAAGGCCATTTGTGTTTTGTGTAGCTCGCAGCCTTCTGTCCTACATTCAAAATATCAACCTCTGACATTCAGGCGCACACAGGAAACAACATTTCTCCTTTTGCCTTCTCTCCTCTCCATATTCTTTCGCTTTTCTAGCCCCAGTTTTTCTCTTTTTATTGACATTTAATAGGCTTCATTTGGATGGGAAAAGCTTTAGGAAAGCTTTCAGGATTTTCATAGGAATTTTTGGGTAAACGTTACATGGTTTTTTGTCTTTTTCTCTGGTCTCCTTGACTGAATCTTGCAGATTCACATATGATTTCAAAGATATCTTTTCCTCTACACAAGTTAGATGACAAAGTCAGCGAGCAAAGAAAGTCGGGGCCGACAGCCAGGGGCTAGTGGATTTTGCTTTCGGGCTAGTGAATTCTGTTCTTAACTTGTCCGACAGGCAAGTGAATTTTTTGGGGAAATTTTAATTACAGAAGGATGGTAATCAATCCTGCTGATCAAAAAGGGTTTTGGGGCTAGTTGAAATGACTTGTGGGCTAGTACATGCTAGCTACAGCTTGCCCGAATGGCAGGCTGTAAAACTGACTTTCTTTGCACCCTGCAAAGTTGTCCTACACGGGTAGACCGTTAAAACTGATGACCTCATAAGTGGTACACAAGGGACATGGATGCGCATGGACGGTAAAAGGGGGGTTCAGCCTGGGTGAATGGGTTAATTACCTGGGCAAAGGCACGTGCTGATATCTTTTCTCCAGTTTCCTTTTCTTTCCTGAGTACTTCCACTTGTTGTCTCATTCGTCGTTCCTTCTCTTCTCTATGTCTTCTTTCTTGTTCCTCTAATCTCTGAGTTTCAACAAGCTCAGCATTTCTTAGTTCCTTAAATTGTCTTTGCTGTGCTCGAAGATTTGCAAGTTCCTCCTCTTCCATTACCTCAAGTAGGGCTTGTTCGACTGTTTTACCCACCAGAACTTCAAGGATGGGTTTAACTTCAATGTCAAAGTCAAACAACTGAGGAGAGAAGGACAAAGAGGATGTAATATTATTACAATGAAATGACTGATGGTAAAAATAATACAAACAACTGGTGAAATAACAACAGGCCCCAGTTGCTCAAACATCGAATTATACAGTGTAGTGCTATCCGACGGATAAATCACTATCCAGCAGATAAGTATTAGAGAAAGTATTATCTACTGGAAAGAGATTTATCCAGTGAATAACGTTATTCACCTTTCAAACAACTGGGCTCGGGTAGTTTATACATCAAACCCAAGAAGGGGATCAAAACAATTCAGATTAATGATATGTATTGTGACAAGAAAACAAGAGAAAGAAAGAGTAATTCAAAACTGATAAGTTGTAACTGTAAATTAATTTTAAAAGAGAAGGATGATACAGTTCATTTTTAAAGACAACTTCCACATATACCACTAATTCTTTATTATTGGTTTAGGGTCAAATGTTGACTATTAACACTGGTTTAAAAGATAGACTTTGCTGTGTGATCTGTCAGCCCAATGTACAATGCATTGCAAAACTATGAATTTTGGGCAGGTCATTCCAATTTAAGAGAAAACACCAAGATAAAAATCAGCCTAAACTCAGGCTAATTAATTTGTTTGCCTAGAGTTTTCTTTTTTATTCATCTCAAATCGGTCTAACATGTTAACCAGCCTTTATTAAGACTTAGTGTATTACCCAAGGGTTTTCTTCTTGTCTGAAGACTCCAATTTTACCTCATAACTTACCTCTCCCTCCAAAATTTGTGTTGCAACATCTACTCCACTTTTAGCAGGAATAAATAGGGGAGAAGGAGGTCGATCCAAAAAGGCATCTGTTTGAGTCTCAACATCAGCTTCTTCAACACGATCACTTAACTCTTCCAAATAAAGTTCTGTTTGTACATCAATATGCTTTCTCCCTTCTACAGGCTCTGGTGACCTTGGTTTCAATTGTGCCTTGGCTCGTTTTCTGGCAATTGCTCTTCTTCTTGCCTCTTGCTGTCTTTGAATTTCTATAGGATCAGGTTGTGCAGTCTAAGAAGAAAAAAATGTAAGTTTGAGATCTATCATGTTTGGAAAATATGATTGCACATAAAAGTTAAAAGAGTCTGATTATGTGATTAATCCTGTCCCTCCTGGGCTGATGGTTTATGGTGAGATGACATTCACACTTTTGAATTTGTGGGTGTTACCATTCAAATGAAACCTCTTGAGGTGAACTTTTGCAAACTGTTTTCTATTTCTTAGGTTTTACAAAAAGAAATCAGAGCTGCTGTTTTTTCTGTTTTTTTTTCTGTGTAAACCCTTCTTGCTATTTTACTGTTGATTGAAGGGACAGAAGCATTTTAGGCTGGTTTTTTTCTTTTATCCAATGTGATGTGAAACTGAACTAGTCCTTAAGATCTGATTACCCTTAAAGGGACTGGTTCACGATAATGCACATGCGCGCCGTTTGTCTCTTCAGAATAAATTTGTTGGGTCAACACTAAATTCGAAATCGCCATTACCGGTACAATCATTGAAAATCCTTCGTTTTATTCGGACATCCGTCGCTTTGGCTGGCCTAGTTATACTTCGGTAGTGGTGATTAACGTGTGGTTGTGTCGTTTGACTGGTTATGTTTTAAGAAGACGAAAAAAATAACGTTTTGATCATGGAGGTTGAGAAGAGCATCGTGGCCGTCCGGCAACAGGACGTTCTCAAGAGTCTCTGGAGACAGAGAAGCTTAGCCTATCGATCTAGTATGGTTCTAGGAGTAGTGTGTGGCATACGAAAAGAATACACGACACTTGGAAAGTGGTTAAAGGCATGAGTTCGTTCAACTTTGATTTGATTTTTGACTCCGACCTGTAGTTATACCGCAACAGGCCGTGCGATCTTCACCGATCTGGTACACTTGAAATGTTCCTTGTATCTTTGCTTTACGATCGTATATGTTTAAGAATTGATGTTTTTAAAATAAATTATTGCCTGAATATTCTGTTCATAATCTAGTTTCTTTATGTGTGCTACTCGATAACATTTGTTTTGCGGAACACTGACCCGATGCAACGCGAATGAATTTGTTCATTTGCTGATAAGCAATTGAAATTTACGCTCAATTAAGGATAATCTTTATACTCATACGTTGTGTGTTTTTGTCACTGGTCCGGCGCTATTTGTAGGTATTTCTGGGTTTATATAAGGCGAACTGAGAGAACAGTAATAAGATGTTTGTTTACAAATTTTGTTTGTTTTGTTAGCGTGGGTAAAAATACACGTTGGTAAATGTTTGTTTCAAAGCAGGACAGGGCTGTAAATCTTATTCTTATCGGCTGCAACATATATCTGAGGAGTAGCAAAGAATAAAATTGAATTATGGGGATAAATAAAATCAAACCAAATGCCCGGAAATACTCTCGCGTCGCGAACAATTAATTTGAATTTTGTAAATTTACTTGCGTGCATCTAACTCGCTTCCGATTGGTTGAAAAACAATCAGCTACTGTCAGAACTCACACATGCGCATTACCGTGAACCAGTCCCTTTAATAAGCAGGTTCTCGTTAGGCCAACCTTTTGAGCTGTTTTAAAAAATCTTTATAAGAATTAAAGTTAACGTAGTGTATAACAAATTGGAAGCACATTGTGTTCACCCTATCCACCCAAATTTCCTTTTTCTTGTGAGGGGGGGGGGGGCAGATAAAACCAAACCTGAAGAAGCATATGTAAATTGGAAATCAAGAATGTTAAAAAGATCAATAACTTTCTGTTTTTGTAATCCAACTACTTAGCAAACAAAAACTGTTGTGCTGCCACTTGTTCAACAGTGAACAGACAAACAACATTTTCATCTGCTCTGCAACACTTACTGCTGGTAGAGTTCTCTGTGCATAGGTATTACCCCTAACAATTCTGCGATCGTACATGATGTTTCCATATGGCATGGGACTCTCATTTCTGTAGAAACAAGAAATGAAGCTTCAAGCCTTGATTGATACTAATACATGGATAAACTATGGCAGCCTCAACACAGGTACAACCCTTTGTCAAATGCTTTACTGAGTACACATTAAAATATTGTCAATAATGTCGTCTTTCTAAGGCCAAATTAACTAACCATACTATACTTTTATAAATCAACTGCAAAGTTTAGGAATCATAAAGTAACTACAAAATCCATCAATCAACGTTTATCCCATCCTCGGAGATCATCCTCGTGCCACACTTTTCCGCCCGTTTAGACTTTCCCTCGCCCCCTTTATCTGCCCCTGGGTCTCCGAGGATGCGTTTATCCCTTACTGACCAATATGCATGGCCACTTGACACAATATAGAGGTTGCAGCTCCACGGCTATCCTGTTTATAAATAAGATCTCTTTTTCACCTACTGAACAGGTACAGCTTATCTTAGGCAAAATCATTAAAAGCAGCTGTGTGTCATCATTTGATAAGAGTGATCTCCGATATGTACAAAGAGGCCAATAATAAGGTGCCGTTCTCAAATAAAATGATAAACCCTCAAAATTTATAATACTGAACTTAGCTTAGTTTGGTAAACAACTGACGAATGAAGCTAATAAAAAGTTACTACAACCGTCGCTACAGCACTTACTCTTGTGTTAGCGGATCTCTAAATTTTTTTCTCTGTTGAACTGGTCGGGGTTGGCTGGCAAAGGTATACGTTCTTCCGCCGTCTCCTTTCTGGGCGACAACGGCTGCCATTTTTAGATCTGTTTCACTCTCAACCTACTATTCGAATTTTTGGAATTAACTTGAGGTAGAACGTAAATCGACAAAGGCTTAAGAAGTGCTGAGTTCTCAGTTGTGAAATCTCCTTCAAAACAACATGGCGTTGCCAATGAATCTGTTTGGAGGGAACCCTACGTCATTGTTACCATGGAAATAACAAAGTGGAGAAAGCTCTTTTTAACGGACGATTTGATTGGTTGGCCCTTAAAGTCCAATGAGCCAATCAAAAGATAGTTTAGAAATGGAAACGCGAATTTCAAGATGGCGGATTCAACGAGGTCTTATGGCAATGAACTTGATCATCCAGAAGTTCTTTCTAGAGAGAGACTAATAGAAATTTTATGCGAGAGATCTATTCTTCTTCAAGATCTTGTTGACTTAGAAAAAGGCGATCTTGTTCAGCTCTTCTATAGATATGTCACACCTTTACCTCAGAGACTTCATCAGCTCCGTAGGGCAAAACGAGTGGCACCATCTGGCAAAGAACGCGTCACATCACAGGGCAGAAAGTCTAAAATAATACGGTTGACGAAACGGTAAGAGTTCTTTTAACAACGAAGCTGGAGAAAAATGGTGATATCATCAGTTCACCATCACGGCTTTATGTTGTCGGCGGCCACAGTGAATGCCTATAAAAAGCAGAAAAGTTTGAGTTGTTTGACAAAGCTTGCGTGGGTCACATACATCAATTTCCAGTCGTTTCACCAGAAAGTCGACAGCAGTTCACCAGACTGACTTCAATTTGCCCGATGTCATTAGCTTGTTGCAATCAATCGTATTTGCGTAGAAACCTTTAGAATTTCAAATTTCTGTGCTTACCAGCCTTATAAGGTGAACAAAGGACAAAAATTATTGTACAGTCGAAGCTCTCCTTGCGACAATAGGCCATTTGCAATAAGAGGTCAAGTGACATCATTTTTATGAAAATGAAAGTTATCTGATTTTGCTTTCGAAAAACTATAAGTGAGTCATATCTTAAACAAAATAATAGTGATTTGGTTTTTCAAACCCGCACCATTTTCTTAAAATGGGTAAGTTCATAGCTGGTCACGTGACCAAAATGTGATTTTTAAAATTATGAATTACCTCTTTCTGAACACAAATTTTGCACTTAAACTTCACGGAAAATGTTGAAAAGATGATGTGCACGTGGTAACGTTTACAGCACATCTGAGCATAAGTATTAAACGTTTAACAAGATATAAGCAAAAAGTAGTTTTGGCAGCCATGTTGGAGGCCAAGAGTATGCCCTCCAACATGGCGGCCAATGCAAATGATACTACTTTGTTAAAAAATCAAACTGGCGTACAATATCTCCCTTAAATATGTTTCCTCTCAACTTTCGGGTGTAAGATAATCTTTATGAGCTCTGTCAATTTTTGGCACCAGCAAGATTCCAACTTATTGTTTAAAGGAAGCACTGGTCACGTGATCTCTTAGTGCAAGTGGCCTATTCTCATGAGCAAGCAGCCATAGTTTCAACCAGTGTTGTGAAATGCCGTTTGAACTGACTTAAGCTCTGTAATGAAAAGCTCTCATAACGAAGCAGTGTGCAAGGAGAGTAGTGTCCAATAGCCTGGGGCTAGTGGATTTTGCTATCGGGCTAGTGAATTCTGTTTTTCACTTACGCGACGGGCAAGTGATGCTTTTTGAGGAATTCAAATAACAGAAGAACTGTGAAATCAATTCTGCTAGTCAAAAAGTTTTTGGGGCTAGTTGAAATGACGTCTGAGCTAGTAAATGCCAGCTTCAGCTCGCCCGAATGGCAAGTCAGTTCAGTCAACTCGAGTTGATTAGAGACAACTAAAACAACTTGCCAACTTTTGTAAGATTTAGGAACAACTTGATTATAGGGTTTTGTTTATCATTAGTTTCATGACAGTCACTTAGATATTGTGCATGTCATTTAGACCAAATTGTTAGTTTTTGGTGATTGGCGGCGCATCATGAAACATCCCTCATTATTAGGTTCAGTACGTTGTATCCTAGATAAACCAAGGAAACTTGATAGGCTTCATCCATCGCACTGTTACGGCAAGAGGTGAAGATATTGGCTCTCTCTTTCTGATTCTTTTAGGGGAACCACTAGTCTGAAGAAATATAGACGTTTACTTTTTTCCCATAGCTAGTTTCATAAATTAGGTGCTTACTATTACTGCCAGTTTGTGTTTTTATGTTAATATGTTTTTTAAGTGTGATGTATTTGTAATTCATCTGAGATACTAGCCTTTGGCTAATCTAAAATCCGAAGTTAAATAAAGTAATGTATGTATGTATGTAGAGGCAGGTTGCAGTAACAGTAACAGCTGATGAAGTCAACTGATCAGCTGAGTTATAGTATTGGCACAGAAAACACGTGAGTAAAGGACTAACTCAGATAAACAGAAGATTCGGTCAGCATAATCTGCATGTCATCATCATGCATAGTCCAACTAAGACCAAAGAGAAACGTTCAATCAGTATGGGAACTTAAGTATATTGAGTAAATCTTCAAAAGTTGGCAAGTTGTTTTAGTTGTATCAAATCAACCTCAAGTGGATCAAACCAATGTGAGATATGTATAGAATTAACTTCAATTTGTATTGAAATGACTTGTTACTATCAAAACGACGGGTTACCTCCATAAGCAACAGCAGCCAAAAATGTAAAATGGTCTATTGAGGTTTGACTGTATTTCACACAAAAACTTAATATGAATAGGGTTGAATCATGTACATTGTATGCATAATAATAAATGTATGGGACTGAGTGGGAATCTTACCACATTATTTGCATTTTCTGTATAAGTTAATATGAGGTTTTGTAAAACAGTGAGCGTCCTTGTAAGTGATGTTTTTGTAATTTTCATTTTGACTGCTTTTAATCTTTTCTAGAAAATCTGAAGAAACTGTGGATGGCACTGTCAGCAAGCTAGCAAGAACAGAATGTAACATAATCAAAATTAACAAAAGGCCTGCAACTTCACCTGAGTCAATTAACAAAGGAATAAATTCAGTTTCTATTAATTCTACATCTCCTACACTGGACTCTGCATCTGGGCACAGAAACAGTTCATTAAACAATGCTTCTAAACCAAAAGTTGTTAAGTTGAACAGGAAAACATTGGGACTTAACTTGAATAAATCCCTTGAGCCAGCTATGGCAAAGGTGGATATTAATTCAACTTTAAATGGTGGAGCACAAAAGGTAATATACCTGATCTTTAAGGGTTGTCCTTATTAAGTATTATTATTGTTCACACTTGTAAAAATATTATTTGAATTCAATATGAAGATATAGCCAGGGGTAGAAAAAAGGCGTATCTGGTCATCTGAGATAAGCAGATTTATTTTTCTTGCTGGGCAAGTAGCTTTTGTAGCTCATTTGTCCCCTGGCAATGGGCAAGGGTCTAGGCAAGTCATCTTCTAACTACTGTAAATCATTTATGTTTAAAGACAGGGAAGCAATTGCATGCCCTGAGGTGAGCAAATGTGGGAGCTGCTTGTCCAAAGCTAAGGACAAGCTGGACCTTCATTCATTTTGTTTTTTCATGGTAGAAATATTTTTTTAGGTTTGAGAACAATGATAATGTATTTACTACCCAGCAATAAGTGAAAAGTAAACCATGAAAAATGTGCACATAGCATGGTAGTGTGAAAATAGACATAGCTGCAATACAAGTGAAAAGTAAACCATAAAAATTTTATAGTTTCCTTTTCACTTGTATTACAGCCGTGCCTATTTTCACACTACCATGCTATGTGCACATTTTCTTACCTGCATATCTTACAGTTGAAAATGATGACATGCTGTTAACAAAATGTGTTTTGTTTCATTACCTATTTAAGATATATCTTTAAAATAGCTGTCTAATATCCTGTAAAGGCAGGCAAGTAATGAAAAAAAATCCCTGCCATTTTAGTGACTAGTTTATTTTGTCCAATAAAAACAATAAAATAATATTAGATAAAACACACAAACCTGCCTCTCTTCCTGTAAGTCATTCCACATCATTTACATAGTAAAACTTTTTAAGATGTAACAAACTTGTTACTGGAATATTGAATTCTGATGATGATGGGTGTACCATTGAAACATGTCTGAAAAGTTAACAAAAGGTGTATGATTTTTACAAATATCTATACTGTTATTATCCTTCACTTTTACTGCTACTCATGATTTCAACTTTCTTTTTATAGGAAATAACAGCCTCCTCAAAAACAAGTGAGTCAGGTTCTGATAAGGAAAGTCAGCTTATTAGCCCAACCAAGAAGAAATTTGAAAAAGTAGCTGTAACATGGCCATAGATGAGAAAAGAAAATATACACTGCAATAGTTGACCATCCATCACTGCCTTCTCACAACACGTGAGCCGATTTTGTATCTATTTAACTGGCTTACAATGTTGTTGTGAGTTGTCATGAATAGTTTGAACTTGTTAAAACCCTCAACATTACACAACATTCCCAACCTCAATAAAATAATGTGGTGACTTTTACATCTTAATTGTGCTGCAAGCTGAATAAGACAGGTGGTCAAATACATGCATTTGTGACTGTACTGTACTTTGCTGAGGTAACAGAATCAGCTTACAGGGGTTTCAATAAAAATTGAAGTAGCCAACAGGTTTGAATAGAGAATCAACAAGGGGCGGTTGGTCCCCTTTTTCTCGGGGGGAGGCAGAGGGTCTGGGCGCATTCTGCCCCAGAACATTTTGAAATTTCAAAGCCCTAAAATGGGAGTTTCAGCTTTCTGGGAACTACGGTAAATTTAAGGACAAAGAGAGTGTTTTTCATTCAAGAAAATGTAGCTTTCAATTTATCAGTCACACAATCAATTCCTGCAAGCAATGAGCAATTTTTGCACATAAACAAATTCTGCGTAAACCTATAAAGAAGCTTGTGAAAAAATGACTGAAATATAGCTTTCACATCACCAAAGCATAAGTTAAAACCAGTGGGCCTTTATGAAAACATATTATTGATAAGTTATCATTCATATTTTATGATAAATTTTTTGTTAACAACGTTATTCAAACTAGTCGCTTCTCCTTTCTAGAAAAAGAGTAGCCGACCTCTATGAGCGAAGTAGCCAACGTGTTTCATTGGCTGTCGGTGCTTAATGAAACCCCTGAGCTTAACAGTACTACCCAGTTTGCTTCTGACTCAGAAAAACTGGGCCCAGCTCCTGAAGGCTGATTAGCACTTTAATCCAGGATGAAATGTTAATCTGCAATATTGTATTTCCCCTCTGATTTTTTGAGAAGTTTTGTGTTATCATAACATGGTCTTGTAGGAAAGCCTCGACAAGATTTTAAGCTCAAGATAAATCTTGCTGGACAAGAACACTTTGTTCAACATTTTGCGTTAAAATTACCATTTTCACGGAACAAGGCCTTGGTGATTGATGTCTTAGTCATTTCACCTTTTTACATTTGTTTCTTTATTTTTAAAAGCAGTATGACCAAAAAAATGATAGGTTTTGGAATTTAAAATGTACAGCCCACAAATAGCTGGTTTATTTTATTTTTCTTAACTAATGTAATTATTGTATATGTGTAATATTGTGATTGACTGTAGGAACAGTCATAAGGAAGTCTGAGGTGGAATGTGGTCATGCTTCATTTCCACTAGTTGATTGCCTTATGTTACACATGAGGCAACCGCATCATTATCATCATCATAATAGGAACAGTGGTAGCAACGCAACTATAACACTGTTGAAAGTCACAACATTGTTTAAAAACAATAAATGGACTAGGAGGGGGAGAAAGGAAAAAGGATGGGGGTATCAAGGGTATTTTAGGTAGTAAGCTATATAAGAGGGGACTTACTTTTTTTAAAAAGAATTAGGGGGTCATTTTTTAGGATCTGCTAGATGTCTTATGAATAAAAATTCATTTGTGTTTGTATAGAAGGGGAACCTTCTTTGAAAAGATTAGAATGGTGTGAAGGATTGGAGAGATATTAACTTTGCTATAAAGAAAAATATCACTTCCAGCTTAAGTAATGGACTTGGCTATTTGACATGGATAAAAACCAATACCCCTACATCTCAACACAACCTGCTATAGTGAACGAATTTGGATAGAATACATTTCAAGATCACTGAATTTTTTTTCTTTTAACATAAAAATCAAGTTCCTTTAAGAAATGGTACAGTCGAAATTGACCCTTCAGACATCCCCTCCCCAGGAATACCCCGAGGGCATTTGACACTTCTGCCTCTGGGTGGAGAATTTGATAATCTTAGTCTTCCTTGGGGGTGAGGAATTTAAGCCATAGTTTTGATATCTCTTGCTATGTCTCAGTGCTTGCATGAGGTGTGAAAGATCATTGTGGAGACCGACATAACTTTTGTGAATCTGGATTATTTTAAAGAAAAGGGTGTGGCTTCATGGTGGATTGCCTTAAAAGCAATGGATTACACAATTATTGCTCTGTATGAACACTCAGCTTCAAGAGCATTAATTAAATAGTAATAATAATTTAACAGTTGAAAGAGTAATGTAACCCAAGGAAGGTACTGTGGAGTTAAATTGATGGGATAAACAAGAGGGGGCGAAAGTCAAACCCAAAGTAATCTTTGGGAAATCCAACAATCCCAACGACTTCCTCAACCAAAAATTAACCCCCCAAAAATCTGAAAAATCTCGTTTCGAATTTCTGAGCCTTGGCAATTTTCAATAAAGTATGCCAAAAAAACTGAATGTTTGTGGTTGTTTATTCATTGTAGCATCTGAATTTATCTTTTACTCAATACAGGTAGTCTAGAACTTCGTGGCAGGCATACGCGTGTGCTAAATCCACCAATCTTCAGATTGTAATACCGGTAATAATAATAATAGTAATAAATGTTATTTAGCCAGGGTTATCTCTTCAGCATAAAATGCTGATATCAACGAGGGCCCTGAAAAAAAATTATATAACTTGCTTAATTTACATTAACTAAAATACATTACAAGTTAAAAAACACATTGATATTTTAGAAAATCATTTAAAAAAAGCTAAACTGATAATAACTTAGCAAGTAACTAAAAATCCTTTGATCTGCTGTCTCAGTTCTGACTCTTCATGTGGAGCAGCAAGTTCTGCCCACTTCCCCTCGTCTTGTGGATTGTTCTAAAAACCTTAAAATAATCTTTTTAAAAACATTGGAGGGGATCGTTTTAAACATTGAAAAGTTAAATTAATAGTATGCATGTCACACCTCATAGACATGTATAGACAAGGGCCGCTACTTTAAATTCTCCTCGGCGTCTGAATCTGTGGTCTTCAAAACAATCTTTGCCGCCCTTCTCTATGCTTGATTTAACTTATCACGTTCTTTTTTCCCAATCGGCTGCTCCATACAACATCGCAATAATCCATAACCGGCAAAATAAGACACTGATAAACTTTAGTGGCTGCATCGACAGTTAGATTGTTTCTAATTCTTCCAAGGAAGCTCAAGGACACCGAATCTTTTGGAAATCTTGACCAGTAGCTTACGTGTTGTTTGAAATTGAGAAATTGAGCACACCGAGGTATCTGTAATGTTGTGCTTGATTTATCGGCTTGTCCGCGAGGAATAAACTAAATGGCTCATCTGACAAGGGAGCCCGGCGAAGGGATTCGTTGTTGAGAGCCGAAAAGAAAGTATTCGGTCTTCACTTGACGAATGCATAGCTTATTAAGATAGGTCCAGGACTTTGATTTAGGTCTTTATTCAAAACACTACTTATGCCTCCGACCTTGGAGTTAGATTGGAAAAGGACAGCATCGTCCGCATAACGGAGGATCTTTGACTGAAGTAAACAGTTGGGCAAGCCATTTGTATTAATTTGAAAACAAAATGGGACCAAGTATGGACCCTTGTGGGACGCCAGATTTTATCTGCTGAGGTGCAGACTGTGTGCTGCCATAGACAATAGGCCCCGGTTGTTCAAACGGATGGATAGTACTATCCACCAAATAAATCACTATCCAGCAGATGAGTATTACGGAGACCAATTGCGCTATCCAATGGATAGTGATTTATATTATCCAGTGGATAGCACTATCCATTTTTTGAACGACTGGGGCCAAATTGACACCGACTCGTAAGATAGTTCTCGAACCACCTCAGTTCATTATTCTTGATACTATACCCAGGCGATTTCTTTAGGATAAGTTGGTGATTTACACTGTCAAAGGCTTTTCGAAAGTTGACAAACACCGCTGCCGTAACACAACCTTCGTCAATGCCTTTCCTAGCCTCACGTTCAGGTGGTGCGGAGCGGGCGAAAATGGGGAGCGGGCGAAACTTAGGGCGCGGTTTCTTTTTGCGCTCGCCGCGTACGATTTAACTTGTTCCCCACTATCTAAACGCCTGGAACAGGCTATGCCTTTCCTAAAACGGTCCGTGAAATATGAAACCGCGTCCTGGGTAGAATGATTTTTCGTAAACCAGCGCACTGAAATGAGATAGCTGACTGGAATTATCTAAATGTTGGAGAAGCTGTATCTGCACGGCTCTTTTAAGGATCTTCGAAGCCACCCGGTAAAACGGAGATGGGACGGTAGTTATCCATACACTTTTTATCCCCCCTTTATAAAGTGGAACCACTCTTGCATATTTCCATTCCTCCAGCACAAATGCAGAAGAAATCGAGAGATTTATTACTCTGTATGGTTGCTAGCGGAGCTGAGATTCTTGCAGGGGTGTAGCGTCCTTTACGCAGATACGCACGCACGTACTTTGAGAAATTGGTAGGGTTTTCTTAAAAAAAGATTCTCTAGAATTTTAACTTTCTGAATTTTGTATTTACGTTTGACTGCTGCTTTTATGTTTGTCCTATATTGTCTGTTTGTTTGTCTGTCTATCTGATTGTCTGTTTTGTCTATCTATTTGTTTGTCTTTGTTTGTTCCCTGCTTGTCCTACTGTTTGTCTGTAATAATTTTATATATTGATGTTATTTTTATATATTAATGATATTTTAAGAATATATTTTTAATATTTTTTACATATACTTGATTTAATCTTATATCATATTCATTTTATTTATTTATAGTGTGCACAATTAGCTCTTAGCTAAATACCTAGACACTCTAATAAAGTTTATGTATGTATGTATGTATGTATGTATGTATGTATGTATGTATGTATGTATGTATGTATGTATGTATGTATGTATGTATGTGTGTGTGTGTATGTATGTATGTATGTATGCTATGAGTAAAAGCCATTTGTAGTGTCCTGACTTGACTTTGTATTGTCCAGATTTGTTCTTGTCTGTCTCGCTGCTATTTCGCATCTTTTTTACACGTAAAATACAACAGTTTGAGTAATGGAATGTGATAAAACATTCTTGAAATGTTTGCCTTCAGGCGATCCCATCGTATTTATCATTTATTTCAAATTATCATTCCTTTTAAGATTTATCTGCAAAGTTTTCCCATTCAAAAACTTTTCATTTTTGTGAATGAAAATGAAAATGGCTTTTCATTCTATAAATGTCGAAAAAGTCTTTCAAAGACTACTTTTTAAAAATGTCGCTCAACTTGGAAACTGGACCAAACCTTGCCGACGATAATCCACGTAAGTTAAAGCAAACTATTAGGCGCATGTGTGGCCATGGCGCGGTATCAACAAGAATTTTGGAGGAAATTTACTCCTACCGAACAGATGTAGTATTTTCTTCAATGACAAACTTTAGAGATATTCAGAACAGCTGACAATAAATATACAGTATGCCGACAATAATTGTTTGTTCCTTTCCCGTGCTCATGACCGAAATAAGGGAAAAACTCAAAAAGTCAGCAAAGGAGTAAAGCGTGGACCAAGTGTTCGGAAAACTTACACAAACATGCACTTGCACAATTCGCAATCCTTCCAACTGATACTTTTAAACCTCCAAATTTCTGTACAAAAAGACGCCTCGCCTTGTGCTAGTAAACATTCCAGTACCAGTTCAGAGAAGAACGTTTTAAAAGCTTTTTTTGATATCACGTTTGTAGACAAGGCTGTAAACTGCCAATTATTTATACATGGGAAGCAAAAACGTTATTTAGTTTAAGTTTTTTAAAAACGGTATGGCCCGTGTGCGTACTTGTCAAAATGGTCACGCTACGCCCCTCGCTTGGAGCCTTGGAGCAGCATCCTAATTAGTAGACGGGCTGGAATTCCGTCAAGTCCTGTACCTTTCGATGTTTTAAGCAGCCTAAGTTGACGATGTACAAACGCAGCTGATACCGGTTTCAAAGAGAACAAAAATTGACTTGAATTATTCAAACATGCATACTTCTGTGCTCAGTTGGTTCTAGTTAAGAGGTAGAATACTGTAAAGCAATTTCTCCACAACATTTGTAAAATATGCGCAGAATCATTCGTAAAATATGTGTTTTAAATACCCCCAAAAAATCCATACTTAAAACAGGGCGTCCAAGAAAGTACTTGCTGAATTCTCCTAACCAAAAAAGTCCCGGAATGGAAAATTCCGACCCCCAAAAATCATTCGATCATCACCTTCACTAAGACCTGTTCGCACTACGACGAAAACTAGAGTCTGGAATACCAAAAATTGGCATGGAAAATTTTGTAATCACCAATCTGAGGCATGTGAATTTTTTCGTATAACCAGAAGCCACGTTTCGTGGTCATGTTCGCGAAATAAGATGACCCAACGAAGGGTAGCTGGCAAGGAACAAAGGATTTTGTCGCCTGACAAAAGATTGTAGACCTCCAAATATTCTTGACGGCATCTTTGAAGTTTGATGACAGCTCATGAGTAATTTTGGAAGGTGAAAAACATCGTTCGCACTAGAAACGGCTTCCTGTTGACAGAGTTTTTTCAAAACAAACAAAAATTTTGCGTAAACATGGCCTAAGTCCGGAGTAGCACCGCTCTCCCCCCACCCCCTCCCCCCCTGGAATGTTGCCCCTTTTTATATGTTCTAGGTCATTTTCAAGTTCTAAAATATCTCGCTTTACTAATTGCTAAACCTTCTTGTAAAAATGAGTTTTATTTATCGATGGCTTCTCCCATTGTGGCTCTTGCTTCGCACTTAGCGTCGGCTTTGAAACAGACGCTTGAGGCCCGCTTGGCCGAGGCAACTCAGGGGCACCCAACGAGGATATAGTTTAAAACCACTTAACATAGCATTGGTGAACGTATTTTAGACATTCAAACGGTAGATATAGGCATCTTTTTATCTCCTAAAAACTTTTCATCTGTTCAGATTTCCTAGCTGAAAGTCTAGTGATCCGAAAATTATAGGGATAAAAACTTACCTTCTCGAAAATTTCAGCCAGGAAAAGGCTCCCGAAAATTCTAGGTGGTCTTTTTTAGGGACAAAATCCGTTAAAAATGGGTAATTATACCATTTTGTAGATGTTCGAAAATCCTAGGAGAGGCAGGCAAGCAAGAAATTTTACAACAAATGCTCCGAAAATTCTAGATCTCAAATCGTCTTCCGAACAGATATTTTCCCGAAAATTGCCGTTGGGTGCCCCTGGCAACTCAGAAGCGGGAATGCAGTCCTCAGTTTAGGCACGGTACCGTACGGGCATTTGATGACCTTGGACCTGTAAAGGAGCATTTGAATAGCCTTGAGGGCTCGGGAAGTTGAGAAAATTTGCAATGTTCTCCCAAAATTCTCCGGCAAAATTCATACAATTCAGAATTTCTGTTTGAAAGGGTCGTAACTGGACGAAAAAACTGTGGAGGCTGATACCGAGTAACCTGGCTGTGTAACCAGGCTCAGCCCTGTAGCCTCTGGTGGGCCGCCCCTGATACGAGTCTCACATGTATCCCTCGTTCTTTCTTTTAGCGGCTCCAACATGGGGTTTGAGAAGGTAATCTGATGGCTAAAGTGTCTCCATTTTCGCCTTCGTTCTTGCTTTAGATGAAATAAACTTAGTCTCTTTAAAGGGAACTGAAGTATTTCTTTACGTTTTTTGTCTAATTTTAAAGAGTAATTGCACAGAAACAAAAATATGATTTACCATGTCTAGTTCCTTTTCAGAAACGTGAGTTTATTTGTAAGCTTTTAGAGTAGACTTGGAAAGCTATGTTATTTGTGTTTTCTTGAATGTAACTTAAGGGGAAACGTTTCTTGTTACCAATTACAGCCAATTGTTATCGACGCATCAGGCCATTTGTTAGGTCGTCTAGCTTCAACGATTGCAAAGTGCCTCCTATCTGGTAAGATATTTGTAGTCCTGTCACCTAAGCTTAAACTTATGTGTCTTTCCACAGCCTTAAATTTTTACGATGGTGAATGAAATATTTCTTCAACTTGAGTATTTTTAAGAGCGAAACGTAAAAGATTGAAAAGAGAATAGGTTTAAGCTTATACAAATTAAGACTATTATGAATACAGTTTGTCCTTGTGGTTTCTGAGTGGAAGAAATGAAATAATGTTTTGTATATCTGTAGGCGTAGTATTCATCATCATCATCATCATGATAAAGTCAAATAAGATTAATGTATTAAGGCCTTGTCTTCACTTTGTTTGAAAAGACGTGCAATTTTTGAGTGTTATGCACACTAAAAACAGCAAGAAACAGAGGTTTCAGAAATTATGGGTTGATGAAAATGAGAGGTTTTTTCATTTCTTCTAATCAGGATGGGCAAGTGAAACCAATGATTTTCAAAGCAATGCTGTCATTGATCATTGCTACTTTGTTTCATAGCATGTTTGCAAACTTAAGTGGCAGGAATATAGTTGAGAGTGTGGCTGACAATATTAGAAAGTACCACAAGGAGTGTTATACCATAAACTGCCGCTTAAAAGCCTCCCAGTTGTAGGCCCATCTATCTGTAAGAAAAAAAAATGGCCGATTATAAGCCTCCCTCCAGCTTGTATTAAAATGAATGTGATTTATTATGACATTTTGAAGATCAGTTTAAAACCTGTAAATGCGAACTTATTCTGATCAGCATTGCTTTAGCTTGTTTTGAAGTGCTTTTTTTACGTTGAGGTATAAGCCCCCGTTTGATATACCCCTTCATTGATAAGCCATCCTAAAACCCCTTGCAAAGATGTGTAAGCCCAGGACTTACATGCTGCAGTTTACGATATGTGTGTTTGATGGTTTATTGCGGACTGATAAAGCAGCTAGTATGGATGCAGACCTTTCAAGCCTTTTTGTTTCAAAATGGAACATTTCAAAGAATACACCAGTATGGATATCATGCTCTAAAATAACTAGATGAAATATCACAGCTTCAAGGGAATCTTTTAACTTTAAATATTCTACATTACAACTTGTTTTTTAGATGCAGTTGCTATAACAGTTAGATATTTTTATTTGACAAAATCTTTTTTTCCACAGGGCAGAGAATAATTCTTGTTCGATGTGAAAATGTTAACATCAGTGGAAGTTTTTACAGAAACAAGTGTAAGTTACTGTGTAGCTGATGACAGCATACACAATTTATTTTGAAACTTTTTTGGCTATAAGGCCAAATTTAAGTAAACATGCCTTAAATCAGTGTCAAGGAAATCCTCCCATCTGAATCAGTTGTATCATTGTTCTTGATATTGTGGTTCCAGAAAATATTCAGACCCCCACCACAGAGGGAATTTCACTTAGGACCACCGTGGAGTTTCCATTTTTGTAGGGAACTGATGATCCCTCCCCTACCCCGCCGGAATTTCCACAAGTGTGACAAAGACCCCCTAACCCCTCTGGAAAAGTTCATTTTTATGAAGAAAGTTTGTTAAAATAAAAGAACAAGGCCATTTGTGGTTAGTGCACAACTGTTCCCATTCATTAAGTGATCTCACAACATTAAAACATGCTACGCTACCACAGTGTAATGGTAACCTAATCTGCAAAATTTTGCTTATCCCTTTCTTTAAATGAAACAGATAAAGTTAATTAGTTGTGTCTGTGAATTTACTATGAATCATGTGCAAGCTTACGATTTGTTTTTCGTCTTCATGGTAATAATGATGGAATTAATGCTCTCTCGGTGCATGTGAATGCAAGTTAAACTTTCAACCACAAAATTACGCAAAACAAGAAGGAGAATAAAAACTCTAAATAAAATTATGAAATGGTTACGATGGATACCTCTTGCTTCTTGAAGCCAAACAAAGTTCACTTTACTGTTTTTCAATTAACTGAATCATGTGTCATCATGTGCTTAATGGCTGTAATGTTTGATGAAATGGACGCCATTTCAGCATGAATGCGATCCTAAATATGCCACACTTTTAACCACAAAATTAAGGGAAATGAATAGGAGGATAAAAACTCTAGATTCTGAAATGGCTACATTGTATACCTTGTGCTTTGTGAAGCAAAATTGCCACTATCTTCTTTCATGGACTGACGTGACACGATGTGTAATGACCATATTTTTAAATGATGGTGGAATTTTGTAATGCCATTTTAGAGTGAATGCGATGGCAAGCATGTCACACTTTCAAACACAGAACTGTAATCAGTATGATTCCTTTGAAATCACATCCAAATGCTTTTGGAAGAAAGAAAACTTGGTTAACTCATTGTCTCCGGCGCCTAGGGCCGTCGATGCGACAACATCGACTACGAAAAAAAAATCGCAAAAAATCGCGTTACTTCCGCTTACCTCCAAATTTGGCCCACAGGAAGTTAATAGCTTTAGCCAATTATGTGCTTAGTTCCAGCCCCCTGCGAGTTTTGAGCTTCACGCAACGATTTTTCAAAAATGTAGAAAAATGGCGGTGCGTAGTGAGAAGTATTTGGGATGTTTTTGCATAGAATGAAAGCTTATATCGACAAATTTCAACCAAATGCAAGTCAAGCAAATTGTTTTGAAGGATTTTGGAGGATAACAAGCAAAACAAACGCGAAAATCGAGGAAAGAAAACAGTAAGAATCTTTGCCTTCAATTCCCCGAGTCGGCAATATCTGGCACAAATTCTCTTCAAACGCAGTGAGTTTCGTCCCGCTGAGCTTTTTGCCTTCAAAGCCTTGCTTATTTTCATCACTTATATCAGTGAATTCATGTTTGCCTGTTTTTAACTCAATATTTCGCTGAGAAACTAAAAAATAAAGCGTCTTTTGAAGGTAAATATCGGGCCACAAAGTGACGCTAAAAGTATCTAGTTTCGCTATGCTAATTAGCTCTGACCTCATTTGCATAATCCGACACGGTCACAAAATAAATTTGTAGAAAATTGTTAGTCGCTCTATATTTTCTCGATCGATATTCAGACTGTTTTGCTTAGATATTGAAGAAAAAAAATTGTTTGTACTGTATTACACAAAACAGACAACTTTCCTGGGAAAATGACACTCGTAAAAATTTTTTAAAATAATTATGCAGAAATATGCTTGTTTATAATTTTTTTTGCAGAATATTATGGGTTTCCTGAGACCGAAATATTTTTTTTCTGAAAGTTTAATTTTTGCCCTTTACAATGAGGTATAGCTTTATAAGGAACTGGAAATAACAGCAGAGATATGAATTTTTAAAGTTGCGTGGTCAAAACTACTTAAAACGCTCCGGAGACAATGTGTTAAGGTAAAAAAGAACAATCAGATGATATAGTTTTAAAAAGTTATTTATGTCTTAAGAATGATATACCAGGTTGGTAAGAAGCAATGTTTGAAGTAAGGTCCAAAATGAATTGATATTAACCTTGTGGAAAGTGATTTAATTGTCCAAACCCCCACCTGGAATTTCCATTTCCCTTCATGGTGGGGGTCTGGATATTTTCTGGAACCACACATTACTTGCTCAGCTGTGTAACTTCAGCAGTTGGAAGTATTTCCATAGTAGAGCATCAACTAGTCTAATTTGAATATAGGAGTTGGCCTAAGCAGTGTTCTGGAGCTACAGCAATATAAAATATCCAAAAGAAACTCATTTCAGTGCAAGAGAGCTGGCTACTTAACATTACTGGGCAGATCTTAAAGTATTCTGCCTTTCACTGCAAAAGTCACAAGCAGGGATCCATATTCGCAGTCGTCCGGTCATCCTAGACAACTACAGTCTCACCCGGACAATTAAGTTAACTTCAAAAGACATCCTTTGGATGAGTGAGGTTTTGCTCAACCACTAAATTTTTCAAAAATTCTTGTATGATTTTATCATGTTTTTTTTACTTGTGTAATGATTACGTCTTGTCCACTTACGGAGAATAACACACAACCTTGTTTTTGTGTCCTTGTTTTTTGGAGGGCTGCTCTTTACTTCGTTTAGAATCAGTCAAGTTTCACGAGACCTCGGCAAATCACCGAAATAAAGCGCAAATCAGAAATGTTCAAGTTGCACACAGTTTTGTCTCTATTCTTTTTACAATTCTGCACTTTTGTCTGGGCAACCCAAATTGTTTCCAGGCAAGTATACCATCAGGCTTACTTGCCTGGCTGATGACTCTGATAAAAAAGTGAGTCTGGATCCGTGGTCACAAGGCTTACAAGATTTTGTTTTGGTGGAAGATTTTAACTTATTTTCATGTCAATAATTAAAAATAGGACTAGGGATCTCTTTTGTTTAGAATTTTTAATTTTCTTTATTTTTGGTTATCACAATTGTTTCTTTATAGTAAAGTACCTTGATTTTCTGAGGAAGCGAACTAACACCAAGCCCAGCCGTGGACCCTTCCATTTCCGTGCACCAAGTAGAATTGTTTGGAGGACAATCAGAGGTAAAAGTTTCATTTTTGTTTGGAGCTTATGATAAACAGCTGTTCTTTTGCTTATCATACATCCTTGCACAGTAATCATCATTGTTGTTTTCTCAACCTACATGTCACAGAGTGCAAACTTTTAGCATATTCTCTCTGTTGCTGATTGAGCTTTCTTTTGGGACATTAATTTGGTTGATGTAGCAGTATCCTCTTGGATGACTCAACTTGTGATTCAGTACACTGAAGATGTAGTAATATTTTACAAAATTATGCAAATGCTATTATAAACACATAATAAACATATTGGTAAATTTTTAAGTCTGTGAATATATCAGGATGACGTCTTTTTAGTTGGTGTAACAGTTAACTCAGAACAAAATGACATCTTGGCTCTTTCAGCTGGAGTCAAACCTATGATCTTCTAGTCACTACAAGTCCAGATACTCTGCCATTGAGACTTATGAGGTCTAAGGCCAGTAAACTAGGTTCTTGTTTCAAACATCTGCTATACTGCAAGGTCTGGAATGTTGATAGAAGACATATTTTTGGCTTATCAGAAACAGAGAATTTAAATTCCTCTGGAAGTATTTTGATTAGAGCAAGTGCCCCTGTGATTTTGTTACAAATAGTTATGGTAAGTCCTGGGACTCATCTTGTGAAAAATTGTGAGTCCCAGTTTAAAAAAAACGACCTCGCAATTGAAAATTCTTGGGCCTCTATGTAACCAGACAGTTAATCTGAAGACAGACTCCAAGACTCTCTATTACAGTAGACTGAAATTAAAATATAGTCCTTCCATGTTAAAGCACAACAAAGGGTAAAAGAAATATGCATAGTTAAATGACAACCATAATAACTGCCACAGAATTACACAAACGGGATATTTCTTCAAATATACATGTTCAGATGGATTGATTGATCTTTGCGTCCTACGGATGCATGCCATGAATTACATGTACTTTGCATCTTTGGGGCTTTTTATGCATCAGGGGTGCATTATGTAGCCTCCCACACAGGTGTTTTTAAGGGAGCTAGCTTTTCATCCCTCCCCACAAACGCCTGCTCAACCGAAAACAATATTCTTTCCCATTGTTTTATTTGCATGGTAAGTGACCAATCAACAGTTGTGCAATAAAGTGTTGACAGGCTAAACGCAACTAAAATGTGACCCTACAATTACCGTTTCCTTCTTTTCTTCCCTTCACAAAGGTTATGCAGTGCATGGAGTGTGCTAAAATTTGACTAAATCTTATTTTTGCCACTCTGAATCTAACATTAATTTTATTAAAGGTCAGAAAGCTTTCCCAGTGTGTCTTGCAGATCTAGTAATTATCAGATTACCTTGCGGTCAAGGTCAACTTTCCAGAATTTGGAAAGTACAATGTGATTGACTAAGCATTGGAAAGGAATGTTGTCTTCGGTTGAGCAGGCGCTTGTGGGGAGGGATGAAAAATGAGCTCCCCTATAAATGCATGCTTAGGAGGCTATGCATTATGCAGAGGTAGCAAAATTACTAGTGCCCATGGACTCTCTAGTTCTTCCAGTAAATATTTGTAGCTGCCTGGGTTTCTGAGGATACATACAGTCATGTATCTATTCTTGTGTTAGTAGATCACTCAAGTGTTGTTTACCTGTACCTTTAGGCATGATTCCACACAAGACGAAGAGAGGGGCCGAGGCAATGAATCGTCTTAAAGTTTTTGATGGTGTTCCTCATCCCTACGACAAAGTGAGTTATATATTGGCTGATACCAGTTATTCATACCAGCTCCTCAGCTGAAATTTTTTAGTCTTTCCAGAATCAACCTCTTTGTAGGTGACAGAAAAAAAGTACACTTTGATAATTTGAATAAGTTAACGCTATTTCTGCAAGTGTTAGAACCAGATGAAATTATCTTTTGTTCAACAATGACAATGATAGTTTATTTTTCATTTTTCTTTGTTCAGGAAAAGAGAATGGTTGTACCAGCAGCCCTGCGAGTTGTCCGTTTAAAGCCAGGAAGGAAGGTAAAAGCTGATCAATTGAGCTATCATGACATAATATTTTTATTTTAAACTTGATCAAAACTGTTTTTGTTACCATTAATGCAATAAAGGGACTTAAAACGATATTTAATTTTATGTAATACTCCACATGTATTAAAAAAAGGAGACATGAACTTTTTATTTTCTGGTAAATCGTCATTCAGGCCCTTTTCCAATGAGCCCTTTATTTCCTTCATACATGTTTCCCTGTTCATCCTGTTAATGTTATGTTGTGTTCTTGATACTTACATGCTTAATTTCCTGCTTCCTGTCACTATCACATGGCAATAATATTATGAAGTACTGGTAATTGGAAAGACACCAAAATAAGCGAATTCTTCCAGATTAGATAACATTTTTCTCTCTTGGTCACAAAGCTAATTTTGCTTCTGTGACATTTTGTTTCTTGTGAAGTGAAAGTGTGTAATGTGTAATGATTATTACAGTTGAATGTCTGCTAATGGCCACATCTGCTCAAAGGCCAGAAAACATTGTCCCAGTCACCATCTCGTGTACAGATACTACATGTAACAGAACCACTTACATGTGATTGATTGTTTGTTTTATTCTAGTACTGTGTCCTAAGCAGACTGTCACATGAATGTGGATGGAAGTACAAGGTGAGTTATTACTCTGTATGGAAGACTCGAGATTGAAATTAAAACTCGGCAAGCTATCATGGCAGAAGACTGACACATCTCATTGTAAAATTTGTCCAGGAGCTAAAAGGAAATCCTGGTTGTTTACCATTAACAAAAACATTTCTGGGAGCAACGGAACATCTGAAAGGTAGTCCTGTTTTTCTGGATGGAGTGTTCCAAACAAAAACTGTGAACCAACTGGTTTGCCCATGTAAATGGTAAACAACCCCTGTTTAAAAACCACTCTTGTTAAGCGTTAACAGTTGTTAAAGATTATGTTCATTTGCTTACATCTGGGCATTTTGCGTGGAAAATGCAGTTAGTGTTCCAGTAAGCCAACACACTTGGGAAACAGAATAGGAAACTACACGAGTGTTTCACGAGTGTTTTTCTCGTGGAATTTGCATGCAATATGGCGGATTTCCACGCATGAAACACGCGTGTAATGCTGCCCGTGGCCTGTACTGTACATTACCAGTGCCACCATGATTATTTGTTTTGTTGTCTTGAACAATACCTAATCAGTACTAGTACATACTGATCTTAGCAAACTGCTATATAGTACAAGGAATGACCATTATTGTATTGGCTTAGGAACAAACAAAAATCATAACTGTTTCTTTGAAAAGTGTCTCTCATCCACTTACGAGAATTGGCACCTGTAGGAATATGGAAATATAGAATTGAAATGGGAAATCAACGAGGATTTTATCAATATGAGAGCCTTTACTGTAGGACTAATTTGGAGTCCTGAAAAGTCGAATGAAATCCTTATGCTTTTGGTTTATGATATTTTCACCTCTGGAATTTGTTCTGATTTAGGATGTGGTTGAGACTCTGGAGGAGAAACGCAAAGCTAAAGCTGCTGTTTATTATGAACATAAGAAGAAACTCCAGGTGAGAACAAGTTAGGCAAGTTAGTGACTCCAGGATCTTTTTGGTGGAAGGCATGTCAGGGTTGAAAATATGAACTGTGAACTCCCTTTCTTGAGACTTGCATTGTAAGTTCTATCATAGTTAATTGAGTGGAATGGTTATGAAATCCGTCAGACTCCTTTGTTATATGTTTTTGTGGACCTGAAAGTGCACAACGTTCAAAAGAATTCCTATCAGTTTGATTGTATTGACCAATAAAAACGTTGCATTAATTTATTCCGTAACAATTTGCCAACAGAAAACAAAGGATTGTGCACTTTCAGGGTGCTTCCAACATAAACTGCAGCACTGTTGTTTTTATCTTTGATATTTGCCGCTTTTCATAACCAGTCTCCTCTAATAACTATGGTTCTATTCAGTGCCTAACTGCTGTTCTGTGTATTTATTTTTTTTGTTTGTCTGTTTAGAAACTGAAACAGAAGGCAGAGCAAGACAAGGCCGAAGAGCTCAAGTCTGTCAATGACGTGTTGGAAGGATACGGTTACTAATGCAATCGTTGTAAACGCTCAGCACGAATAAAATGCAAAATCTCTTATAAGGATATCTCTTGTTGTGATCTCTCTGTCAAAAATAAATCCAGTTATTATATTACCGGTATTTCCAGAGTTCCCCCCCCCCCTTGTAGCTGTGGGTATCAAAGACAGCAAAGGAGAAGTAAGTCCAGAATAGAACGGCATTCCAAGCACCTGTTTTGTTCAAAATAGAGAAAATTATAGCCTACATTCAGGCTTACACTTAAACTTGCTCAGAAATGGGAAGAAATTGACTGAAATCAGGGACCGCGGAGACCATTTTAAGGTGGTTGGGCTAAAAACTCTGGCCAATATACAGAAACATTCAGGTCGGTGTTTCGCCATTTATCTTGCATTTGCGCGCCACCTTATTTACCACCTCAACAAATATAACATAAACGTCCACACGTGTTATACTATCCAATATAGCCAATATGTTAAATAAACCTCCTGAGGTTGCTACTTTTTGAAGTTGCCCGAAGTGCCGAAGCTTCTCTTGCGATTCTTATTGCAGGAAACAAACTCTTGTGTAGCTATAGAGACATAGTCTATTCTCCGCTTGTGACCATTCAACACTGCTAGGTCACCCATCCTGGATAGAAGCCACGTCTTCAGACGCCGTGCAGGTGAGAATGAACGCTCGTCAACAGCGCTGGTTGCAGGATTTAAGCAGGCAGCTTACAGATAGTTTGGGCTTTGTCTTGGTTTTGGAAACTTTGACACCGCCAACAGGATTTCGTCAAAACATGCTATCTTCTCCTCTAGCATAACTTCCAAGATACTTAGTTGCATGCCCAGGTAACGCCCCTATATCAGCATCTTCTCTGTATGATGCTTCAAGACGTGAACTCTGCCTCATAGTCGTCACCATTAGCAGCTTTAATCAAGAGGGTCTCTATCTTGGCGTAGGAGCTGAAGCTTTCCTGATAGATAGCCCTGACGATAAGATCAACAGCCTCACAATAGACCCTTCTAAAGTGATCTTTGGCAGTTTAAGGGTAGCTTGGTGCAACAGCACCAGCCTCCAGTCTGGCCGAAGTGCATCGCTCTCAGTGGAAGCGTTGGCTTACCAAGCAGGCCTTCGCTCTTGCGCCAAATATTAGCATAGAAACGGTCGAAGCTTTGATCACTGGGCATTTTTTGAGCGTCTCCTTTGTTAGATATGCCAATGTCAGGCCTTGTCCACTGACAGCAGCCACCTTGGCACCCTTAAGATCCTTAGATAGATTATCGGTGTGGGAATGAAGCCACCCTCCAAGAGGCAAACCAAAGAAAAAGTCAAATCGTCCTATTTAGGTCTTACATCCTATTATCCTTGCACGCACATCGGGTTGTAATCGTTCGGACAAGCAAACATCCCAATCTTCCATAAGAACTGCATAGTTCTCAAGGATTCGTCGAAAACAACTGGCTCTAACCGTCCACCTTTTAGAGAAAAGTCCAATAATTCCACGATAACTTTTTCCATGTCAACTGGAGCCCTAGAAAATAAATCCCGGCAAAAAAGTGGTAGGGCTATAGCCCTACCAGCCCCTCCCCCTCCGCGGTCCCTGAGAAACTGGGATTCACTGGATTTGATGCGCTCACTCGTTGAATATTTTTCAACACCCGTTGAACAAAATTCGTATCTCCGTGCGACCATGTAATATCCACTATGTTAAAAAATGCAACAGTCAGGATATTGTCTCCTTCGCAGCCGTTTTTGGGGTCGTCACGCAACGCTCCTCTTCCTAAACGGCTTCTTTTATTCGAATCACATTGTTGAAGAGGAGTGTTGCGTGACGACCGACTCTGAAAACGGCTGCTTGGACATCCAATTCCGCAGGCCCTTGCAGCGCTTTTTTTTCTTTCATAATAATTTTAAACAGCATCCTGGTACAAATATTCAAGAGGCTGTTCACAGTACAGATTTCCAACACACCCAACTGAGAAGCCAATATAAAACAGGAAAGGATAATGATGGCCTTCACACCTATCAAGTGCTACGGAAATTATCATCGTTTTTGCTTCTTACAAAAATTCAACAAGCGATCACGAAACAGCGAAAGTCACGAAAAATTACCCCCTGCAAAAAGTGTGATGGCGTGGTTAATTTTGCACTTCCCTGGAACATATTGGAATTTTTACTTCGCAAAAGCGAAGTTGCATCATGATGGCGCGGTTACCTTTACAGGTTCTGTTACGTCATGAAAGATAGAGTATTATGGGAAGGTAACATTCGCCAGCTCTCGAGGTTGTTGTTGTGTAATCAGCTTTGAACAGCAGAAAAATGATGGCGCTTTTCTCGCGAAGTTTAAGAAATGTTACGAGAGCAGGAGTCAATATGAGGGTGGGAACTGCTGTTGCATCCTATCACAAAAATGTAAGTTTACGTTTGACTTGCTTATTTCTCAATCCCTGAGTATGTTTTGGCGTTGCTCACGTGCTGCTACGATTGCTGTGGGTATTTGACTGGAGACCATTGCCGATCTTTTTGCGCGGTTCTGAGATTTTCGCGGTTCATAAATTTTTGCAGTATGCTCTTCAAGTTACCAGCTTTTTCTCTTGGTTTTGAAGGGGAAGCATCTGTTTTGAAAGTTGTGATTCTTAACACTGAACCGAAAGCAACGTTATGTTCGTGACAATATTTAGGACCGTCATCTTACTACATTGTATCACTATATTTAGCTAAGGTAATGAGAAACACAGCAAGACCTAACGAGATTTTGAGTTCCCCAAAGAAATGTTAGAAGGTGACCTAATTCACTTTGTATATATTTATAAATCAAGGTAATAAAAAGAAATATAACCTGTAGTTAAATTTTGGAATTATTTCAATTCTCCAGATCTTGCACGTGCACATGTTGTGTTGCATAACTATGTGCCATTATTTTAAAAAAATCGTTAGGCCCAGTTCAGTCGCCGATCTTTTCATGGGCCAAACCTAATACATTGAAATAAGTACATGAAAAGTTTGGCGTCTGAATCAATTAGGAACGGCTCAGCCGTTCTTCAGGCCTAGCCCGGCCGGGAATTACGAATGTAGAACAACTTTGGAATGGCTTTGAATCAGACGCTGAACTTTTCATGTACTGAACCTAATGCACAAATTATAATAACATGTTTTGCAAGCAGTTTCACCAAAAGAGCATTTTTCTCCTTTTGAATTTAGTTCGGCTGGAATTAAGATCAGCGTCTGAATCAATTCAGGCGGTCTAAATAGTTTGGGTCAGCCTTGATTCAAATTAGGTTCGGCTCATGAAAAGTTTGCCGTCTGCAGCTTTTTCAAGCAGCTCAAAATACCACAAAAATGCAATTTTAAAAGTAAACTTTATTCATCTTTGTTACATTATATCAAGATTTTGGATTAAAAGAAGTTTCCTGTAGCTCAATGGTAGAGCATCTGGACTCGTAGGTTGAACTCCTTTTTGAAGTACTCAGATTTTTTCTTCCGAACCACCTATATCATTGACTGAAAAAACATCTTCTCGTATTGTAAATGTATGAGATCACTTATTGTGCATGACATCATGCTGCTTCAAACAGTTTGGCTGGTCTGCCCGGGATTAAACCGATAGCATGAGTCATGCTTGAACATGTCTTTAAAAAGTCGGACCATGCTTCTTAAATTTATTTTGAACCAAGATAACCTGAGTTAGTACCAGTACTAACATTGTTCTTACAGCTAATTTGAAGCATAATCTTTTATCGGAAACCTGAAGTCAAATTTATCTTTTTGATAATCTTAGCCAGTTTGTTTACAGTGGTTACCACCAACACACGCCCTCAAAGGGTTTTTTCTCCGGTTCAAACCTGCGTTTTGGTGGATGTCAATCAACCGTTACCATGGTTTTTCTTGCGTTGGCCTAGAGAGGATTCTTTCTCCGTTTCTTAAGCACTCGGAGGAATATGTCGGAGGAATATGTCGGCGTTTCAGCCGTTTTTGCAATATTTTGCTGCAGGATCTGACACCGCTTCATGTCAAGATTACGAGGAGAAAGAATTTGTTGAGTGTTTATCGGAGGAAACTCAAATTATCGACATATTTACACACTGTAAGTTACAACCACATAAGCTTTCTCAATCGCTCGCAATTCGTCTGAGGTCTTGCTAGTTCTAGTTTCTATTCGATAACATGAAGAATGAGTAGTAAAATTCATTTTCGAAAACAGCCTCCATTCAGAGGAAACTTTTTCCCTTTTCGGTGTGATATCTTTTGTTTCTGTGAATTTATACTAGCTTCTTGGCAATTCAGTCATCCACGGCTCCCCTGTTTTCATACATCAAATAAATAAACAACCTGAAAACTGTTACGTAAACTATAGAGAATGTTTTGGCTATTTCACTTAGCTCGCAGAGACCTTGTTGTTTTAACAATTTAATCCTTCATCTTAATAAAATAATTTAAAAAAGCGGTCGTCGTTCAAAATTATTCGCCCTTCATTCAGCGATGAGGGAACCTTCTCTGTCAGAGTGCGTGGAAAACCATGGAAACAGTTGATTGACGTCCGCGTAAACTCAGGTTTAGACAGACAGAAGAAAACCCTTCAAAGGCGCGTGTTAGTGGTAACCGCTGTAATAATGTTTGATACAGGTTATCGACCACTATGAAAACCCAAGAAATGTTGGATCAATGGATAAGGATGATGCAAATGTTGGTACAGGACTTGTAGGAGCTCCAGCCTGTGGGGATGTCATGAAGCTACAGGTAAATGGGAGTGTCTCATGACTTTACCTTACGAGCAGAGACTACTTTGTAACAATTATGTCCTTATGATTGTATTACAGCCATCTTTTTGTTGAAAAAATAAAGTCAACTGCTATAATTGTCAGCACGATTGGTCAGTGCAATAAAAAACTGAACTTTTGTGACATTCAAACAGTGGCTTTCTTATAATTATGTAATCATGAACATGCTGGGTGGTTGCTTACCAGAAACACAAAGCAAAGGAATTTATTTTATTTCTGGCCTAAAAAGTTGTCGCAGTCGTTTAAGAAATTAAAGCAGTGGTCACTTATGACAATGAGGAATTGTATTTGACTGGAAAGAAAAAACATTTATTTACAAAGGGGTTGTCTTAGGGGAAGTGGTTGCTATAAGAGAGTTGACTGTATTCTAATTTAAAATTTATCCACCCTGTTTTGTGCCCTTCTTGTAATTTGTGTATATCTGGTTGTAAATTTAGTAATTTCAGAAAATATGAATCAAAAAGGTAGCTTCACTCCCTGCATTGTTTTCAATTAGTTTCTAGTCTTGTTATCATGTTGGTTTGATTTGGTTACTTCCATATCAGGGCAATTCCACATGAGACAATGAAATTTTGAATTCTTTAAAATAAAATTTTGCACAATGAAACTTAACCAACAGAAAGCTGAAACAATGGGCTGTTTGAAATTACTGAGATCTTGCACGTCTTGTCCATGCACTTAATGTGAGAAGGCATGAAATCCAGAGAATTTGAATCTCATTATATTTGGAATTTTTGGAACGAAATTTTAAACAAAGTTTTAACATCTAAGAAAACATACAGTCAACATAAAAGTATGTGTGTATTATAACCTTTGCCTTACACTATCATTAGGCTATAAATTATCATCCAGCTACTGGCAGTTTCGTAAGAAAATTGACATTGAATTTTTGTTGCGGACATTACGTAATGTCCGCAACGTTAAGGTACCTTTTTTCAGTTCCTGTACACAGTGTGCTGTATTTTCATGTGCTATTGATGCTGCTCAGTTAGTCTGATGTATACTCTATTTTAATCTCAAAACATTTCCTGGGTGGGTTTTCTTTGCTCAGAAATTATAAGTTGAAAAGTGTTGTGGACATTACGTTGCGGAATTGTTACATATGTTAGATTTTTCATTTATTCAGGCTGTTGCAGATATTTAGTTCTTACTACCTCTGAATTAGATTCAGACAACAGCCCACTTAACACTAAATTGCTTTTTATTGATGTACAAATGTAAATGGCAAATTTAAAAGAGCTGGTAGCTTTTCTGTAATGTCCAATGAATTCAATTTACAATCAATTAAAAACATTCTAAATAATTTACGATTTCTGTGATATTCTTTAAAATGGGCAAACATAGTGATTTTCGAATTAGTCCCTTCCATAAAGTAGTATAGATACATGACGAATTTTGCAGTACTTTAAGAGAAAAATGGAAAAATGTTTTAAAGAGTTTACACGGCTTTGGGGGACGCTGTCACAAAATTACAGAGTGACATTTGTATGGATCTTTAACTGTGTTTCAAGAGTCATAGCTTGATCCCTGTTCAACTTTAGAGCACCAAACCTGCTCAACCAACCAGTCTCAACATGACCTTTTATGTGGTGGTGTCAGTTTATCGATTAGTTTAAATTTGAAACTTGCCCCAGTTCCCTATGCAACTCCAAAATGGCCAATGAGTAGCTGGTCAGGGGTTTTGCACTGCTGAGCATGCTCAGAACAGTTTGTAAGCATGCTTTTTGAGGAAAACCACTGACCATCATTGTTTCTTCTGCAAACTTGAATGGGTATTATTCTTTTAACTAGAATTTGTAATATAATGTGTAGTGAACAATGTGCAATTTTAGTGCAAATTTACATTTTATCTGTCAGACTGAATGACAAAATATGATAATTTCAGTAGCTAAATCAGTTTTGTAAAAAACAAAATAATATCCTCACTAGTGAGAACGTTTTTTTTTTTTCTCACAACATTTACTTGAGATGTAATAAAATCAATTTGGGAATTATTTTAAGGAGTCAGTATAGCAGAAAAGAATCTGACTGGTATTGCATGATACTAGGTCTCAGCAGGAGATTATATAATATTATAAAAGAACATGAATAAAGTAAATGATAATTTCACAGCTTCATTTTTAGACAAGTAGCTGCAGAACAAATGGACATAGCCACAGTCAGCAACACTGACTAGGAAGGGAATGATAAAAAATGTGTTCCCAAAAATGTAATGTCCGCAACAATTTTGTGTAATGTCCGCAACACAAACTTTTGTTTGTAGAATCACTGGAACAAGGTTGCATGGAATTTTTCTTTGACAGTTAAAAAATCTAATTATTGTTATGTTTTGAAGGCACAATTGTTTTCTGCTCATGGTTAAAAATTCACAGGAAAATCTCTTTAAAGAAAGTTACTTTAAAAAGTGGTTGTTTAAACTGTAATGTCCACAACACAGTTTCTTCAGCTCATACCTTCAAGGTCTTAAGAGCTAACCAAAGCATCTTTTTATTAGGTACAAAGGGAACACTAAAAATACTTTCTAGATACGTTTGAACACCCTCAATGAACATTTTGACATCTAAATTGGGGTTTAAAATATTAATTTTAGTATCTGAACGTAATGTCCGTAACATGGAATCACCCATCATGACATTTAAATCACCAAAGACTGTGAAAGGTAGTTATGCTGAAGCTTAAGGAATTGTTTTCCAGTATGACACCACTTTGCATGTAATTTGAACTTTATATTGTCTTGTCTTTTCAGATCAGAGTTGATGAAAATGGTAAAATTGTAGATGCCAAATTCAAAACTTTTGGGTGTGGTTCTGCCATTGCATCAAGTTCTCTGGCCACTGAATGGGTTAAGGGAAAATCAGTAAGTTTGTTTGCTTGTTGGTTCTTTTTTCTTGCGGAATACAGTTTTTAAGGCTAGCTCTTGAGTTTAAAAGTACCCAGTGGTTGCTTGACTTTTGTCAAGTTCCATGTGTCACTTGTTTTACTATCAATCCATCTGATAAGGAAATATAAATGAAAAAATGTTCATCATGGTATAAAGCAAAACCTTGAGTCTGTTACAGGATTGAAACCCATGACATACTAGACACTGACATTAGTGGGGAAATTTCACAAAAATCCTTAAAAAGACTTGAAATTTCTGTGCAAGTCCTTGAATTTACTTCAACTTTGAATGTAGTGGACTGGAAAGAGTTTTTGAAGCTTTTTGGTTGTCCAAGACAGAATATAAATCATAGCTTAGAGAATTTAAAGGTTATTTCCATAAAGTGCTCTATGTTTTATGCAATAATGAACTATCAATAAAGACCAGTGAACTGAAAAAAGTGGAGAAGTTGGTGAAGTAAATAGTTCAAGCCTTAAAGTTTTATTAGAATAGACTGGGAATGTGCATTCTCGTACAATCTGTGAAATTATATTCCTAGTAGGTGGTCTTTGAAAATCCAGTGTGGTCCTCGAAAAGTCCTTGAAAATTGGTTACAAATGTTGTGTGAACCCGGCACTGAGCTTTGGAGAGTGTAGGGGGTACCACCTGGGCATTTCACTAGGCTTATACCATTTATTATGCAATGCATGTCTCGCAAACCGTGAGGGACAGCTTTGTCACTGAAGTACAGCTCACTGGTTGGCACATTGCACAATGTAGGTGCTGAAATGTTGATGCAATAATATCACTGAACATTTCAGATTGATGATGCCAAAGAAGTGAAGAACCAGGATATTGCAAAGGAACTGTCTCTTCCTCCTGTTAAACTCCATTGTTCAAGTGAGTAACGAGCTGTACTAAGCTGTGTATCTGTTATTATAGTGATGAAGTTTTATATTGCAACTTCTTTTTTGTCTTAATGGAAATCATGAACTTGCATGAAGCAAAAGCAAAATTTAAAAAGACAATCAGGAAATGGAATGGAAAAAGTGTGGGTAAACGTTAATGGGGCAGACTCACTTTTATGTGCAAGTCTTTAAATTTTTGCATTCTGCGCATGCTCAAACTTGCATGCTCAAGCCATAATTTGGCTTCAGGAAAAAGAGCAAACACAGAGCTCAACTTGTATGAAATAAGTACTACTTGTAGTAGAGCAGTTTTGCTTCTTTTTCCCAAATGCTAACCAGGAAAGAGCTGGACTGAGTTTCAAACTGCATCTTTTGCAGCATGTCCGATAGCCTGGGGCTTGTGGATTTTGTTATCGGGCTAGTGAATTCTGTTCTTAATTTGCCTGATGGGCAAGTAAACTTTTAGGCTAAATCAAATAACAGAAGAACTGTAATCAATCCTTCTTGTCAAAATTTGGAGGGGGGGAGCTGATCAAAACAACTTTCGAACCAGCGACAGCTTGCCTGAAGGACAAGCTGTAAAACTGACTTTCTCTGCACTCTGTTTTGGGAAAATCTGCAGTGGTGGATGTGTTAAATTCTTTTATTTCGGAATGGCGCCATTTGGGAGCACCTTGACATTTCAGCAACATTTTCATTCAAGATGTTCCTGACACTCACCAGGTGCCAGTAACTAAATTAACTTGCATTTTTTTTTTAAACTCCTAGTGCTTGCAGAAGATGCAATCAAAGCAGCTTTGAGTGACTACAAAGTAAAGCAGGAGTCACTTGGGAAGAAAGAATGATGATGCTACATCATCAAAACCATCAAGATGTTATACAAGATTGACAGCCCAGATAGTACCAGCTATCAGTCAAAATGTCTTCCTTGTAAAACAACATTTCAAATGCTAGGAATACTCCTTGCTATCGACTAAACAAAACAATGTGATATGATATCAAGGGCCTTTGTACATCCAGTTACAAAGATCAGCTTGAAATCACCTATCCTGTCTTCATCTTTAAAACAATTGATGATATTAAGATGGACAAAGGATTTTCACCAGTTCTAGTTGAAGCCACCTTTATTATCAACATCAAAAAATGTTATAATAGTGGCTGTAGCAGTAGAGTATTTTCCAGTCGTACCAGTGAGAACTGTTGTTTAGAAAATAACTGACATTTTTTGGGACAGTTTAACTACAGAAGTCCAAATAATATACATGTGAATAAAAAGTTGTGCAGAACACTTAAGAAGATCGTGATTGCTTTCAAAAGTGTAAAATGTGCATGTGGTGGTGATTTTATTTTATATTTGCTGTTGTTTGCTGTCGGTCCTCTGCTAACTGTTGTAAAAATATGGATTAATTTTAGACTTGAAAAAATGTATTAAATATCAAGGAACAACAATAAAGTTTTCTCTGTAAAGTAAATCTTGTTGTTTTCATACTTATCTTCACTAGCCCATGTCTATTATATTGTTTTATTCTGATTGTGGTGGACCTGTTTCAATGTTGGTTGTGCTATTTTGTTCACAGACACCTGTAAACTGTACAGCTACATGTATAAATAAACCATTCCACTAATCATGGAACAACATTTTTCTCATCTTTCACTGTTACTTTAACAGTCATTATGGCAGAGTAAGTTGTAGAGGGCTTTTGATGTTATGCCACTGCTGTACAGCTTCAATTTTTCTTTCCAAATGTCCACTCTATCATGATATGGGTTACATTGAAGACACTTGATCAGTGAGCAAAACCCAACAGTCCAACTTCAACCAGTTTTTGTATCTTAGCCCTCATATCAGCATTGGCATTCTTTACTTCTCTGCAAGGAAATAGATAACAATACAATACACCTTTATGAGAGTAATTCTTTTGAATATCTACAAACCTTGGATCAGGAAAAGGCTGTTAATGTTGCAAAGGTAAAAAGTGATTGACTGTCAATAGACAGAGAGAGAGTTCATTCACCAAAAACAAAAACTTTAAGCCAAAGACTGAATAATAAGGTTTAGAAATAATGACTCAATAATGTAAAATCATTTACTATATATTTTATACATAAATATATTTAAGAAATGGAACTGGGGAATCCAACTGCTCATGGCACCAGAATTGATAAATAACCAAACCGTACCAACAACAATTTCATTCTTGCATATACTAGCAGTTAAATAACTTGCCCCACAAATAGCTGGAAAGCTACAGTTAGTTGTAGCGAGGCAAGACAAGTACTTCTCAAACTCATTAATAATTCATAAAGAAAATACAAAGAAAATTAATGTTTAATGAGTGTTTGGAAATCGGATGAAAAACTGCTCAGTATTTGCATCCTTAATTTCTCTTTCAAAAATGATTTTGTTTGAGAAGAAATATCAAACATTCGACACAGTGTTTGATCACCAGATGAAACACCTCGAAGTTCGTCAAAAATACTCCGCTGCGCGTCGTATTTTCAACTCTCTTCTCGGTGTTTCATCTGGTGATGAAACACTGCGTCTCATGTTTTGATATATTACATGAACAACATATCCTATAACTTGGGGGGGTTATAAATGGCAGTTTACAGTATGGTAACAAAATATTCTTTACTTACAACTGTGCTGCATCAGGATTGGTCTTCATCATGGTCAATAATTTCTGTATTTGATGATCTTGTAGAACTCTCATTACTTCAGGATCTGATAGAATTTCCTGCATTTTAGCTTGATCCTCAGGGGATGGAGGAACAGGAGGTTGTTGTCTAGCACTTGCTCTTTCAGTAAGTCCAATGTCATTGTCTTGACTGACTGTAGATTTCTATGGAAACATGATACATCCTAAGTCAAAACTGGAGTGAAATCTGAATTGATGGATTTACTAAAACAAAGGCTAACAGTGAACTACATCAATTTAATGCAATCATGAAGTGAAAATTGCCTTGATTCAGACTCACGAAAATGTTGCTGCCAGTGAGATTGTGGATGATGAAACTCTCAACGTTTTCCCAACTTTCATTTATGCATTCTTTAGAGAAATATGTTCAAAGAACATAATTAGGGCAACTACTGTGACAGTGAATCCTTTGTTCTGTTATTCCTACGACATAATCACTTCTTCAGTTCTACACCTTATGTGCTAGAGCTGGCAAATGTTGACTAGAAGATCCTGCTTGTGTGGCTCTAAATTTCACTACAAGTCCTTTCCCACTGCTATATATGGTTTGTGCCAGTGAATTAAAAATTAACTTATTTATTATTTATTAAAATTATTAATTTAACTGTTAAGATCACATATTTTGGGAATGTTTTTACCCAAACCTGAAATCCTGTGAGCCTCTCTGATGAGTCTCAAAGTCTGATTTTTGTAATATGTGCATCAGCATTAGCCATTCTTCCTCATAGACAACTTTTCACCAGGGGACTCTGTGTCTTGGATTTTTAATGATCTTATGCCATTGCTATAGTAACTCTGGTTCGATCCTGCTCCCTTTGTTAGGGTCATGTCAGGCCCCACCCAGGGCTACTTTATCCAACTGTTTCTTTCTTTTCATTACAAAATAATTTCCTCGCTTACCATTCCCACAGCTGAATTCCCAAGTGAAGTGAAGTGTTCTCCTAGTAATGCACTGAACTCCTGTAAAGCTTTCTGCATTTCAGGATTGCTACTGAGCATGGCCATAGCCTTCATGGGGTCTGTCTGAACTTGTGACAGTGCAGCAGTGAACTTAGGGTCCATAAGCAACTTTGACAGAGAAGGATTTCCTTCAATCTTCTTCAAGAGATCCTCAGTTATCCAGTCTATTGAAAAAAAAAATAGTGTATTTAACTATTTTTCAACAAATGTTTTCTTTTGTATCCAGCCAAGTTTTTGAAAATGATACTGGCAAAATTTGCAGCCAAGAGTGGAAAAGGGCCAAAAGGCAGGTTTTTTGTGTCAGGTAAGGCTGAAAATCCCACTAACTAAGAAAAAGGAAAGGAAAAATAGCAAGAGCGAGGAGAGAGAAAGGAGGTAAAGAGAAGAAAGCAGTGGTTGACATTCTTAAATGTAGTATTCATATTAGCCACTTTGGACTTTGGACTTCTGGGTAGAATAGTTCTTCTTGGTGGTAACATTTTTAAAAACCCAGCTAGATATATTATAAAATGATAGTACTCTGACAACATAGCAAATTATAATTTTGATTTGACCTAATCACCTTTGTTTTCCAAACTTGGTATATTTGATTTCATTGCTTCCTGTACTTCCGGTATCTCCATTCCTTTTTTTTTTTGCTCTGGATTCTTGGGCTTAATAACAGGGATATCATCTTTTTTCCCAGGCTCTGCTAAAGATGGAGATTTTCCCTTTTTTGGTTTGGGATTGTTCAGAAATCCTTTTTTGAATCCACCAAAAGATTTCTGACTTTGACTTTGAGCCAGTGATTGGTTCTGAAAAGACAACAAATAAAGAAATCAAATACTGGTACACACTCCCTTTGCTCCCAGTCCAGACCTCTGCATTATTAGTGGTTAGATTCATATTAATGAGATTAGTGACTTATTGAACATATCTACTGCTTGCTAACTTAAGCCAGACTTAACCACAGACTTGTTAATTATCTGTCAACAACTATAAAACTGACCAATCAGCTACTCCATTTCTGTGCTGATGGAAGTTTTTTTTACTACAAATGAGTCTACAGTCCATCTCTCTACCCCACAGACTTGGGAAAATTTTAGTCAGACATTGTCTGATGACCAAGTTATTATTATTTGCAGCTCTGTGTTGGTTATTTGTATAATTTGCGTCCTGGTAGTTCTACTGAAACAAAGCATGGAAAACCTGAATATTAGTGATTAACAAATAACTACTAAGGGTGGTACCAAGGATAACTAATTCAGTCCTTTGATTATTAAGAATTTCATTACAGACTCAAAACACTCAAAACTTCAAAAAATACTTGATATTTTGATATTAATATAATCAAGAACACAAAAAGTAGTTATCAGTGTACATCGGGAAAACCAACCGAACACTTTGCCAACTCTTTCCACACCAAAATTGACAGTAAACTATAATAGTTTATGCAATCATGCCAGTGCTTAACAGCCTTTCTACCCAACAACTCCATCTCAAACACTAATAGACCTTTCGATGGGTTTTTCAACTTTTCTCATGAACAAGTTCATGAAAATCTGCCTGTTAGCGCTGTTGGAAAGAGCGCCTTTAAATTGGTAAAATTACCAAGTTTGAAAGTGCCAGGGCAATAAAGTTTGTAGACCCCCACCCCACCGTAAAAACGTCTCTAAAATTTTGCAACTTTGCAGAGCTATTTCTTCGCTCACCTAAGACCAATCACTTTCAAACATGGCAATTTTACTAATATCACTTCATGGACGTGTTCTTTCCAGTGTTGTCAACAGATTTTCCCTAAATAAAATGGTACATGTCAAAGGTTGAAAAACCTATGAAAGGGTTTATTAAAGGGTCCTCCGAGTTCACAAAATTTATATAGAGTGTAAGAAAGAAGTGCAAAGAGTTGTTACCTTAGAGGAAGATTCAGTTTTTTTCTTGGTAGATGGATCTGTGGGTATTTTTGAAGACTCTATTGGTCTTCCAGGTAACACATCTTTATGTAACATATTTACTTGATCAATGAGTTCTGTCATATCCTCTAGAGGAGGTATATCTAAGTGTACAAAATCATCATTTATGGTCAGTGGAAGAATAATTACATCAGTCCATTCAAGCATAACTAAACAGTAAGTTTTACGGTGAAAATTATGGCACTTCATTTGTATCCCAAGCAATTAAACCATTTGCCCCTGGAAATTTTGCCCAAGAATGCATTTTGAAGCTAGTCAAGCAGTTTTCTGGTCACTGTCTTGCTGTAATGAGCTAAAACTTACCATAAAGCCATTTACAGGTTGTACACTTTGCGGCCATCTGATCCAGATGCAAAATATTAGCTTGCAAAGTTCGGGCATGTAGATCCGCACGGGTGGTTAGGGGCAGCTCAGGGGCGAATGGGTTAAATCACCTTTCAATGCATAACCTGGAATTTCTCGTTTTTGTGATTAAGGGCTAGATTTTATAAAATAATGTGTTCTCTTCCACACCAACACAACACCACAATTTCATCACGCATTGGCCCTGTTACTTGTTACACCTGCCAAGTGTCAAGTCTAAGCAAGGCGTGATTGTCATGCCTGCGGATCAAAAACTTTGATCTCACACGTGTGCTCCAATTTGTCATGCCTGGTAGAAAGGTTTGTGCCATTAGAGCATTAACTGACACATTTTGAAAAACGCCTATAACTTAAAAAAGTTGGCAGGTATAACTTGCTAATTTGAAAATACACCTCATTTTCTACACACAAAACATGCACTTCTCTAAAAAAGTCAACAGTCCTGATTAAACCATTGAAGTTCAAATGGAGCCTTTCACTTCTGTTAAAATTTAAAAAAATCCAGGCAAATAATTTTAAATTTTAACCGTAGTGAAAGGCCTCATTCGAACTTCAATATTGTTAGAAATTTGAATTTTAAGCCTGGTGAACACATGACAAAGATGTTTTTTTTTCTGTCACAGGAAGCTTGGAAGAAACAATCCAAGAAATCACAATAGGATTCAAACCTATGACCTTCTGGCCCCAGTTGTTTAAGCATTGAATAGCGCTAACCACCAGATAAATCACCATCCAGCTGAAAAGTATTCTGAAAACCAACTGCGCTATCCACTGGATAAAGATTTATCCGGTGGACAACGCTATCCACCTTTTGAACAACTGAGGCCTAGTTAACAATCCAGATACTCTACCACTGCATCAGCTACAAGAGACTTGAAGGAATTAAAGGTCAATAAACTAGGTTCATGTTAGAAAGACATATGCTGCATACAGCTGCTGGGCCTGGAATGTCAATATATAGTTATGTGCAATGATAGAAGTGTGAAGGTGAATTTCAAGTCTAGTGAATATTTGAAATAGATTTTTGTGTGTGTGTTTATGTGTGGTAGATCATTGGGATTAGCAACCAGAATGTAAGCTTAATTGAGGGTCATAGGTTCGACTCCAGTTGAAAGTGCTTGGACGGCCTAAAAAAAAAAACCCCTTTCTCAGATTCAATATAGTTATTTTCAACATGCTACCATCAGCGTACGGGGCGGGGGGGCTGGGGGGGCTGCAGCCCCCCCTGTCGGGAAAAAAATAGTATTATTCGGGCAAAACTGATGTACCGTTCGGGCAAAGACACAGTAAGGTGAGACACCTGCTGCAGCGAACGACAGCTCACAACAGACGGCAAAAGACCACTTTCGTATCACAGTTTATTACACATGTATTGACAAAGTCGTCAGTGAACTTCAATCAAGGTTTGAGGGCAATGACCTGTAGGTTTTGTGCGCATTGGGTGAAATCATATTCAGCCGTTCTCCAAGCATCAACAACATCCAAACTGTATGAAATTTCTGTGGCGTGGATAGTGAAATGCTATCAAGTGAGAAGTCAATCTTTGAAAACTACGACTGCGGGGGCCCATGCCAGAGAAAAAACGCAGCCGTGATGGTAAAGACCATGCATCAAAATGGTCTCCATTACATTTTACCTGGTCTATATAAAGTTATCTCCATCCTGGCCACAATTCCTGCAACCTCGTGCTCTGCTGAAAGGTCTTTCAGCGCCCTTTGCCGCATCAAGATATTTTTAAGATCCACAATGGGACAAGACCAACTTCGCAGTATCGCCATTATTAACATTGAAAGACAGTATGCAAACAAGACAATGCAGAGTGACATGCAAAGGATTATTGACACATTTGGGTGTCGAAGTAATCGTTCTTCATACTTCTTTTAGAGTTCAAATTGGTACGTTTTATCTCTCACTTCATGGTTTTGTATTTTAGAAATGTTCATCTCGATTTACCGAAATATTTGCACTATTTTGAACGCCCGTACTCTCACGGCACGGCGAAGAAAACTTGACGTCACGAAAGAATCATCTTGTGCATATGTGACCAACAAGTTTCATTCGGGCAAATTATGTTCAGCCCCCCCCAACAAAATTTTTCCCGTACGCCGATGCTACAGGAAAATATACAAGGTTGTCCTTATAAGTAAGCTTTCTTATTTTACAAGTTATGGTGCTCCGTGCAGGTTGAGATAACCGAAATTGACGTTCGTTTATACTTGCAAAATCCTGTGAAAAAATCTTGCATTTCCCTCATGTGGGTGAAACTGTATTATCGAACTGTCCGAACTGTAGGCGAAAAACGGAAATTTATGAATTAAGACGATGGAATACATACCGCTGTCATCCACTTCAGAACTCGCAGAACAACCTTCTGCCATCTTTTGTTTCTTTTTTCCCTGGTACACTACCTAAATGAAGCCATATCACTACGATCGAACGAAAACATATCGTGTGAATATTTGTTTCCAGGCGTTCCTTAACTGGACGCAAGAGACTGGGCTGGATTCCCGCTTCATTCCAATTCGCCAATTCCTAGATGGAATGTACTCTAATATGTTTTTTCCTTTGATTACGCGTCCCTCGAGAATTACTTCACATACTGCTACGTTAATAGATAATATTTTTGCGAACAACTTTTTTGAACGTTCGAGAAGCGGCTTATTATTTACTGACATTTCAGATCATCTACCCGTCTTCTCAATTCATTCAGATAACGTTAACACGTCGGTAAATCGATGTCGACAAGACCCCTTCTTTATTAGAGATAAGAATCCGAATAATATTCCTACTTTTGTTGAAAAACTAGAAGCTGTTGATTGGTCTTCGATTAAAACTTGTGATGAGCCAGATATTGCGTACAAACGCTTTCATGAAATGTATACAAAGATTTATAACGATTGCTTCCCTCTCAAGAAGGCGACTAGAAAGCAGAGGCGCTTTAAAAAACCGTGGTTAACGAAATCAATTAAATCAATTAAAACAAAGAATAAACTTTACAAAAAATATCTTCAAGTTCCAACAGTCGACAATTGTTCACTCTACAAAAGATACAAGAACAAATTGAATCACACCTTGCGTTTGGCTAAGCGTCGGTATTATGAAAAGAAATTGGAAGATGCTAAATCAAATACACATGCGACCTGGAAAATGTTAAACGAAGTCTTAAATAGAAAAAAGTCGAGACCTCAATTAAATACAATATTTAAGTCAGACGGTCAGGAGATTTCTGATCCAGTGGAAGTAGCAGATAGGTTTTGCAGCTACTTCTCTAGTATTGGTCCCAACCTCGCAAAGAAGATACAGCCTCCTCCTTGTTCACATAAAGATTTTCTATCTGGATCATTTCGAGAATCAATCTTTTTTAGCCCAACAACAGAGGATGAAATTATTACCATTGCTCAATCTTTTGCTTCCGGGAAAGCGGCTGGATATGATAATATTCCAATGTCTATAATTAAGGAATTCATTCAAATCATTTCGGGACCTCTGGCTCACATTATGAATTTATCGATCGCTCATGGCATTGTACCAGATCAAATGAAAATAGCTCGTGTGGTACCTCTGTTTAAAGCTGATGACCAGTCACTATTCACTAACTATAGGCCTGTCTCGGTTCTACCAAGCTTTTCAAAATTTCTAGAGAGAATCATCTATAATCGTTTGTATGATTATTTAACTAATTTACATATTCTCTGTGATAACCAGTTCGGCTTCAGGAAAAACCACTCTACGACGCTTGCCTTGATTGATTTGCATGAAAAAATTTCATCTGCTATTGATCGTGGTGAATTAGCGGTTGGTGTCTTTTTAGATCTCTCGAAAGCTTTCGATACAGTCAATCATTCCATCTTATTTGATAAACTTGAACACTATGGTATACGTGGCTTGGCTCTGAAATGGATTAAGAACTATTTTTCCAACAGACTTCAATTTGTAGAATACAATGGTTATGTTTCGTATCGTGCTAATATCATGTGTGGCGTTCCCCAAGGTTCAATACTAGGGCCTTTGTTTTTTCTACTCTACATCAACGATATAACCAACACGTCAACAATATTACAACTGATACTATTTGCCGATGATACAAACGTATTTGTGTCTCACAAGGATAAAGACTGTCTTACTAATATACTGAACGCTGAACTAAATAAGTTGTCAATATGGTTTAGAGCTAACAGGCTTTCATTAAACTTGAAAAAAACCAAATTCATTGCATTTAAACCATCCCAAAAGCGTACAAATCAAACTATTCAACTTTTAATTAATAGTCAAAAAATTGATCAAGTAAAAGAAACAGTTTTCCTGGGAGTAATCATGGACGAAAATTTAAATTGGAAATCTGAAATCTCACATGTCGCCAATAAAGTTTCTAAATGCACAGGAATTATTCGTAAATCCAGTTTCTATTTATCCACGAAAACCTTACGAACACTATATTTTTCTCTAGTCTATCCATACCTTTTTTACTGCAACTTAGTTTGGGCCTCTACTTACAGAACTAACCTTATTCGTCTTGAGATTTTACAGAAACGAGTGATCAGAACTATAGCTAAAACCACTTTCGATGCACATACTGATCCAATCTTTCAAAATCTTGGTATCTTAAAATTTCATGATATATACTTAATACAACTAGGCTTATTCATGTACTCCTATCAAAACCATACTCTACCTTTAAAATTTCATTGTAAATTTACCTTACAAAGTCAAATTCATTCGTATAATACAAGAAACTCGTGTAAATTTCTTCTGCCTTTCTGTCGTACTCGAACCAAGCAATTTTCCGTTTTTTATCAAGGACCTAAATTTTACAACACCTTAAACACCAACATCATCAACGCTTCCTCACCTTTCTCCTTTAAAAGAGCACTTAAGGCATTTATTTGTAATAATTATTAGTAATACTTCAACAAAAATCTTGGGAAAAAGCCTTTTAATATTCAACATTTGTACATGTAAACTTCCGTAATATTGATTAGTTTAATTTTTCACCTGATATTATACTGTACCCGTCGCCGTAATTTTTATGCCATCTTCGAAAAATTGTAATTGAGGAGGCCTAATTAACATAAGCTCTATAGTTTCTTTTAGGCCTCCTCGCCATCTCTTCCTACATTTTTTTTTTTTCTTTTGGCATCTTTAAGTAATGTAATTGTGTGGCAAATAAATAAAAATACCTAAAAAAAATACCATTCCCGCGGTCCGCCGAGGGACAGTCCCGCCGAGGTCGTTTAAACGAGCGAGGGTTAGGGTTACATACATCCATGCTATGCTCGAAAATTTGAGCATTATCCTTTCGAGCGTCATCATCCTCAAGACAACAGCATTATGCCTATAATCATGCTCGAAAAGTAGCATTATGCTTGACTGATCGTACTGCATCAATTACAAATTTACAAGAAATAAACGACAAATAATGCTAGAAATTGAAAGCACTCAAAATTTGTTCTTTCAATGGAAATCTCCATCGTTAGGAGACTCGCTGATTCTTTAATACGCCAATTAGTAACCCTCTGATCGGTTTACAGCCTGGCATGATGATGGCATAACCAGGCTTTGAAAGTAACCAAGCCTTATAATAAGTTGATTTCTTACTAAAAGCGCTTGAAAGTTAGACTACAAAAAGGCCCCATTTTTCCTCAGGGATAATTAGAGCGAACGAATAGAGAGCGCGCGTGAAAATCACCCCTCGCGAGAAAAGCCAGATGCGCTTTTCTCGCGTTTCGCTCGCTCTACTATCCCTGAGGAAAAATGGGGACTACTCGTGGTCTACTTGAAAGTTGAAATGTCTCATACTTACATTTACGGAAATAGCAAATCTTTTTACTTTAATTCTATTTTTACCTTTTTCGACTGATCACGATCTTGTTTGATTCAACGTTTAGCTACACTGATCGTTCACAGTTCTTGCAGCGGTTTTCCAAGCCTTAGTTTACACTACTAGGGTGCTCCGACTATAGCATTATGCTCAATTATACGCTGGCATAATGTATCTATAAACCCAAGCCAGGGATTCAATTTGCACTCGGAAATTTTGCCGAAAAGCGGCATTTCAAGCCGGGGGGGTTAGCCCCTATAATAGCCAGTACGACCAAGAGCGATAATGGTACGACCTATACCAGGAGGCTCGGCTATATATATATATATATATATAAATGGGTTCCTTTTTCAGTCTTCAGGTATATGAAAGGATACGGATTTCGACTAGTTGAAGTATGTGAAGGGGTAGGGGAAAATCTGTCATTTCGGTCTTTAATTAACCTAAAAGGGGGCTACAGAAGAATTTTATGACTGTGAAAAAGTCGAAATATTTTGTAGTTCTGTGATTTATTCATATTTAAAAAATTGCATTTACAGCAGTTTAAAGGGATGCAAAATAGAAAATCTATTCAACAGAGTCCAATATGGAGGCATAAAAATATATATTAAATTGGTTGAACCGGAAAATGAACATATTTAAAAGAATTCTGTGAGTGCATTAAGATAACTCGAATTCTACGGAGGTTTACTCTGTGAAGTCCTTACTAAGGGGAGAGTTTTTTTAACACTTTCATGTAATTGTTACGTTACTTAGGTATTTTTAGGTATTTTATTTATTTGCCACACAATTACAATAATTACTTAAAGATGCCAAAAGAAAAAAGATATATATATAGGAAGAGATGGCGAGGAGGCCTAAAAGAAACTATAAAGCTTATGTTAATTAGGCCTCCTCAATTACAATTTTTCAAAGATGGCATAAAAATTACGGCGACGGGTACAATATAATATCAGGTAAAAAATTAAACTAATCAATGTTACGGAAGTTTACATGTACAAATGTTGAATATTAAAAGGCTTTTTCCCAAGATTTTTGTTGAAGTATACTAATAATTATTACAAATAAATGCCTTAAGTGCTCTTTTAAAGGAGAAAGGTGAGGAAGCGTTGATGATGTTGGTGTTTAAGGTGTTGTAAAATTTAGGTCCTTGATAAAAAACGGAAAATTGCTTGGTTCGAGTACGACAGAAAGGCAGACGAAATTTACACGAGTTTCTTGTATTATACGAATGAATTTGACTTTGTAAGGTAAATTTACAATGAAATTTTAAAGGTAGAGTATGGTTTTGATAGGAGTACATGAATAAGCCTAGTTGTATTAAGTATATATCATGAAATTTTAAGATACCAAGATTTTGAAAGATTGGATCAGTATGTGCATCGAAAGTGGTTTTAGCTATAGTTCTGATCACTCGTTTCTGTAAAATCTCAAGACGAATAAGGTTAGTTCTGTAAGTAGAGGCCCAAACTAAGTTGCAGTAAAAAAGGTATGGATAGACTAGAGAAAAATATAGTGTTCGTAAGGTTTTCGTGGATAAATAGAAACTGGATTTACGAATAATTCCTGTGCATTTAGAAACTTTATTGGCGACATGTGAGATTTCAGATTTCCAATTTAAATTTTCATCCATGATTACCCCCAGGAAAACTGTTTCTTTTACTTGATCAATTTTTTGACTATTAATTAAAAGTTGAATAGTTTGATTTGTACGCTTTTGGGATGGTTTAAATGCAATGAATTTGGTTTTTTTCAAGTTTAATGAAAGCCTGTTAGCTCTAAACCATATTGACAACTTATTTAGTTCAGCATTCAGTATATTAGTGAGGCAGTCTTTATCCTTGTGAGACACAAATACGTTTGTATCATCGGCAAATAATATCAGTTGTAATATTGTTGACGTGTTGATTATATCGTTGATGTAGAGTAGAAAAAACAAAGGCCCTAGTATTGAACCTTGGGGAACGCCACACATGATATTAGCACGATACGAAACATAACCATTGTATTCTACAAATTGAAGTCTGTTGGAAAAATAGTTCTTAATCCATTTCAGAGCCAAGCCACGTATACCATTACATCAGGTCATTATACGTTGGGTACAGTAGGAGTCACACATCAACAGAATAAAAACGTTTAAGTTCAGTGTGTGAGCCGGTCAGGCACGGAGAGGAGCTGAGCCTTCTTGTGTGCTCAGTTCGGACAGAGATGAAAACTGAGATGAGATTACGACCGAATATTGTTGAAGGAAGCTTGATTCGGCCTGAAATTCACAGGATGAAAAAATGACCTGTAAACATGATCGACGCGATTTTTGTTCGAAGGCACGGGTGGATTTAGGGTTTGGCCAAGGGAGCCTAAAAATTTTGTATCTTTTTCAAAGAATTCTCAGTAAAATAAAAAGTATCTATGAGATATATTTTCAAGTGTCCTGGCCACCCCTTTCTGAATTTTCTGGGTATAATCCGCCCCTGGAAAGGAAGTCGGAGAGTCAAAGGAATGTTCTCCACTGATAGTTTATATTTTGTGTCAGTGCTGAAGATTCACGGGCCATCGTGATACAAAAGGAACTGAGAAATTAAAAAGGTCTCTGTCATGTGACGACGTTTAACCACTCACTAAAACCCTGTGTTGGGTGGATTAAAAATTCGAAATAGACTGTAAGAACGAGAAGTCCGAAGACTACAGCAAAGCTGATTTAAAACAAGGTGTATTGTTTTTTATAACAATATTTCGGCTGGCCATATCAGCCTTCTTCAGGTTTACAGATGTTACTGAACTTATGTAGTAATCACAATATTATATAGATGGAGAATGTCGCAATAAATGAGGAAAAGTGGAAATAACGTACAACATAAAAACTGGAAAGGAAAAATACTAAGGACATGGATTACAATAATTCGTCACGGCGGTTTAGGCCATGAGGTTCAAGAGTCATGGCCTTACCTATCAAATGCGAAATAATATTGTGATTGCTACATCAGTTCAGTAACATCTGTAAACCTGAAGAAGGCTGGTATGGCCAGCCGAAATATTGTTATAAAAAACAATACACGTTGTTTTAAATCAGCTTTGCTGTAGTCTTCGGACTTCTCGTTCTTGTTTCTTTATATTTTGGCTGATTTGATCTCTTTTCTAGAGATCCAACGTTTCCAACTAGCAGGATCTTAGTCCACGGTTTTTGCAGTTCATTTAATCCTTTGAAATAGACTATCCCGTTTCCCCGCAACTTCTAGTGTAAATAAATAGATACTGTACTTCTGGCGCATGCAGTTAAGCTGTCTACATTTCCTAATCTTAAACCCTAAAATGTTTACTCGGATTCCTTAAGTCAGCTCAGGCTCGCCGTCCGTTAATTAGTTTTCTACCCTAACTTCTGAACTAAATGGCAATAACATTTTTTTGGTATTGTACGGACATTTCAAGGGAGTGATTTTTTTTAGATATACAGAAAACTCGTGGATTTGTACGTAGGATCCAGATATCTCAAGCCTAAATTCTACAGTTTCAGTTCGAGGTATTTATATTTATGATGAACGAGAATGATCACCAACCTTATACCAGGACTAAAAGAAGGAGACGTTGAGTTTACCCCTTTGAATGAAAATAAACTTGAGTGTCTCTTTAAAAAACACTATTTGAAATGACAATATGCCTCCATATTCGATTTCTTTCTTTCATTTTTACATTTCTTTACTTCTTTGGACGAATAAAGTAGGTGTAAAGTCTGGACTTAAAATCCTGACCTCGTAACATTAACAACGAACCATTTGGCGAATTCTCACGAAGAGTTACCGACAAATTACGATTAATTGCGGCAGCGCCGCTTAACTTCCTGTGACAACCAAGATGTGGATTTTAATTTCAGCGTTATACAAGGCAAAACACTTATGAATTTATTACGAAAAAAGGACTTAGCACTACATCTCAAGACATCAATTTTTTTTTTTATATTTATATTAACTTTATATATTTTTTAAATATTGCAAGAAGCCACAAAGTAGTCTCATAATTATGATAACAATATATTTAATGTTCCTGGGAAAGGAAAAATCTGAGTAACAATTTTTATACATGGGAATTTAACCATATGGATTCAAAATGTTTTAAGATATCCTAAAACCGAGGGAAAGCAGTAAAAAAGCCTTTGAATGCATAAGTAACAATAGAGATCTTCAAAAACAACCCCACACGCGGCGAAAAGCTGGTCTCAATTTGGTTTAATTAGTGACTTGGGTTAAATTTGATTCATTGGACTTTTACAGATGTCTCTTGTCGACATGTATTTAAAAGCCTCTAGTGGCAATAATAGATACTTTTAAAAAAATGAAGAACAAAGGTATTTTATCTAAACAATGTATTAAAGGACTAAAACCTATTAAATCAACAGATGTGAAACAGGCACGCGTTCCCACATTCAAACGCAAAAATAAAACCCAGTCAAGTATCAACAAATTGTCATTTCTTTGGCGTCTTCTGTGAATCAAGTAGTTATCTTATAATTATTTCACTTCAAGGGATGAAACATTTCCCCTTTCCACCTTCAGTGACTTTTTAGAATTATCTAGACTCTTCAGATTCTACTGAATTCTGAAAATTTCAGAGCAAGAAATATCTCAGTTAAATCTTTCTTGGCCGCAAAGATTAAGATGTTTAAAATTATATTCGCGAAGAACGAAAGTCGAGTGTGGGCGATGAGTTTTATCGCCGAAAATAATTTTTTCGGACCGTTTAATGGTGACTTCACCAGATTGATCAAAAGAATTCAGTACCTAGAAAGATCTAGTGCGCCTTTGGAGGTAAGTAAGAAATTTCATGGTTATTAGATTTAGGACCATATTAACCCTGCTTTAACAGCAGGGGAAAAAACGGAACGCGAAGCTCTTAAAGCAAAAATAAGATCAATTGCACAGTGTTACTTACCTCTGAGATTTTGCGATTTTAATTTCTTTATCAATAATCCTGATGTATAGATACACAAAAAAAGACAAAAATCCCAGATGATTTGAGTTAATCTCTAGGTTTTTATCCCGATTTAGTTTTATAAATTGGGATATTATTCTCTTTGCAACTAAGAACAACAGTCAGAATACAAATTACGGGATAACCTCAATGAGTTATATACTGTTAAGGCTGAGTTTATTCTTCAGAGCTTGTTCCTCAAAATCAACTGAACTTTTTATGATTCACGCAAGTTACGAAACATCTCTTCGAATTACTACATGAAAGTTAAACATATGCAAAAACACTACGAGTCCCTTTTTTGAAATCTCTCTTATCCGGACCTTTTGAATAAAATAATTAAAAGTCTTTATCCATGATTCCCATATCACCGAGTATACTTCCAGATAGAGCCAAGTTACATCTACAGATAACAGGTAACGAAAAATTTATTTCAGGACTGCCTCAAGGTTTTCTTGTATTTTTTTGCTCAAAACGTTAGGGATATCTGACTGTGTTTTCATGGCTTTGAAAAGCTAAGTACAGAGAAACGGAAAGTTTCATGCACAATTCAAGTGAAAAATACTAAGTAACGAAGTCGCACGAATTGAAAAGCATAACTCGTGCGACAAACGTGAAGTCGGTTAACTGTGAAGATAAGATGAAAAACCGCACTACCATTTTTAAGGCTATATTTAAGTACAGCTCGAACTGATTATTTTTTTACTAGGTGCATAACAGCAATTAAACGAGAAATTGAGAAAAAAACTCATTATTATTTTAATCTATCGGGAGTTTTGCCACGACTATGCGGAAATTAAATGTGTTTGATACTTCTGATTTTAGTCCGAATGCGCAGTGAGGAAACCAAATTAAGAAGATGAATAGGAACTAGTTCAGCTACTTATTTTTGACCTAATAATAATCAATCTGTAACAGGTTTGTAATTAAGCTAAAAACGGAGTGCTTTAATTTTTCCCTTATTATAGTTGAAAGAATGAGGGTAACTTTTTCATGATCTTCTCAGCTGAATAAAAACAGTTAAGTCAAATTTTCATTTTCAAGAACTGTTTGGGTCATGCATTGCATAGATCGTTTAGACGCATTAAAATGTACGAGAATTGTTTTTCCGAGTGCGCACGAACAAGCTGCTTTTGAATATCCGAATATTTTACCAGAGAAGTGGGAAAACTAGTATATAACGCCAAATTGCTGGGATGGGTAGACAAAGAGCATATTACTTGATATTTTAAACTAGCTTCCGCCGCGGGAACGAACCTGATCAGATACTTTAATTTCAATTCAAATTCTTTAGAAGAGTATTCATTCCTGAAAAAAATTTTTATGGTTCTGCCTTTAATGTTTCCAGTATGATATTTTCTTCCGTAAATGACTTATAAACTGCTACAATTAGTTTGGGAGCCATTTTTTACGTTCCTCGAAGACTTGTTAGCACAAATAGCGCCAAAAAGTCAATGGCACTCGAGTAGGTTTACTTTCCATTCACTGCGTGGTTTAATATTTACTCTTTCAAGAAGAACAATGTTGTACGAGGCCTTCATTTTGCTGCATCAAGACTTTGTTCATCCTCAGACTGAAATCAACTTTCTTTCTGCTCAATAATGAATTTAACTTTGCCCATCTCATCTCAACGGATGGTCAATCAACTCGAATAATTGACAAGGGGAAGTGTAACTTTTTTCTTTGCTGTTAGTAAGACCTTAAGATTGAAACCAAAGTTGTTCCGGGATAAATGGAGGTCTATTTACAAGGTGTTAATGAAGTTTGAGTCAAGATTTAATAGCCAACATACTCAACACAACTTGAAAACATATGCCAAGTTCTCATCTTCTAGTAATAATATTCATCTTCATGAAAATGTTCTGTCTATTTTCAACATGATTTATACCTTTGTCATCGTTAAAGAAAACGAAACGAAAACGATAGAGAATAAGCTGAAAGTTAAGCTTGATTTTACAATAGCGTCGATAGGATTTGTTTTTCGAAGGAACTGTTGATTGTTTCTGCACGAAGAGGAAATTAAAATGAAACAACACCAAACAACATAATAAAATACCGTATATTGTCGAAATGTCGTTGTTAAAACGATGTACGACAAAAAGTAGAATAAAACAGACAAAATCACACAACAAATAAAAATTTATTGTAAAAATTTTCAGAAACACGAGAAATATTAGGCCTCCAGTTACAATGTTGTCCATTTTCGATCCAGTCTTCTTTAGGAGTGAGTGTGTACAAGGCATGTGTTAAAAGAATCAAAATCAAGTTGCTTTGTGACAACTGAAGATCAGGTTTGAGAATCAAACATTTGGCAAACAGCAAGAGTACATTAGTTGGTGGACTCCACAATCAATATATCAAAGCATTTTACACCTTTACAATGCTGATTTTAAGTGGTGTTTATTTAAGACACTTACGATCTGGCTAACATATTGTCATTTGTCACTAAATGAAAAATGCATAACGAGCTTGGACTGATTTTCGCGCCATGAAAATTAGAAAAGCTTCTGAAGAGGACGGATACGCAAAACACTCAGTAGTTTTAAGGATGCTATTGTTCCTGGACACGAATTGTAGCTTACAGTTAATAGAGACAAATTTCTCACAGAAGATAACTCTTGAAATTCTCACAGCTACAAGAAGAAAAAGGTTACAAGAATATAGACTTGAACAAGTTAAACCACATCGAAGAAAGAACAGAAAGAAAATACGAGGTAATGTAAAATTAGGCATCAGAGATTATAGTTGAACTTAGGTATGTGGCAAACGTGAATTTAAAAAGATTCCTTTGCGATGATTAAAAGATATATCCAGAGAAAAATTAGCTACAACTAATTAACGATTGTGTGTATTGCCAAGTCGATAAAAAGAACTCTTTGTAACATTGGTTAAACATACGTATGTCGTGTACTGACAGACCTGAAATTAAATCAAGCTTAGAAGGAACCCTATTCATCTTTAGGGACATTCCTTTCTAACGAAATCGAATGAAAAACTAAAAATGACATGTCTAATTAAATGCAATGCAGACGCCTCGTTTGCAATCGCCCATTTCTTTTCTCATTGTCTTGATGAAATATTAAGCGTCAACGGTACACATTTTGTAATCCTCCGTGTTTATCATTTTTAAACATATTTTTTGTAGGTGTGAATATTGTTGACTTAAGTGAAACTGCCGGTTTCAAAATTTTAGCCTCTATTCTCTACTTTTAAACAATAATTCGATTCCATATTTTCCTGGAAAGGTTTTTAACCATTTCATTAAATAGGGTCTTTCATTTATTTTAAAGTTATTGACGCTTCTTCCTTTACATTTTAACAATGATGGGTCACTCACTTCTTTTTTAACATGTTTTCCCTTTTTTCGTGTTTTGATCGGGCCTGATAAACTTTTATTATCTGGGTCTTCTCAATCCGTAGCTATACTGAACATGCAAAAGGTTGAAATGGGAGTGTAATAAACTTCAAAATACGTGAATGATTTCACATTCTGGTCAAAACATAGTGATTGCGACTTGAAGACATTCAAATGGCTTAAAAATTAGTCAAATTTTCGCTCGTTTTCTATGTTCATCTCGATAAATAAGAAAAAAATTCGAATTTGCTAATCCATCAAAAAACAAAGCCTGCGCCACAGACGAAGCTAAACATCTGGTTAAAGGGGAAATGTGGAGCTTAATTTGCTATCTTTTCTCAGTTTTAAAAAGCTAAAACTATTTTCGCATTTATTGAATTCAAAAATTAATGGCTTAGTTTTGCTATTTAAGACAATAATTTGGCATTAAAATTGTTTCCCTTTGTCTGTTGGCTGGGGATGGCAAGGCTAAGATGAACGTTGAAAAAGTTGGGCCACCCGCGTTAAAGTTTTAATGGTATACCTGCAAAAAAACACTCAAAAGCATCATAGTTAGAGCTCCCTGGCTAAATTTGGTTGATATCCTCTCCATAACTCTACAACAGCATTTTCTGCCTGGGTTAAGTTAGCAAAGTAATGCGGACTTCAGCACAGAATTCATTAACATTAGACTGCAATATCCTCGTGACAATAGCCTCTTCTTCAAGTCTGTCTGCGAACTAGGGCCGAAATTCCCCCTTCTGGGCCACCAGCTGTGTACCAGGATTTTGAGCACGCGCCTTGATTGGCCGGCTGTTAAAAAAGCCACTATACGATTAGCCAATCAGGTTAAAGGGATCGAAACGCTCTCACGTAATTCATTAAGTCCGTCGCCGGGGGCAATTGTCGGGAGCCCAGAACAACGATCTCGGCGCTGCTTCAGTCCACAGACGTTACTAACCGTAGTAGATTTTCAAGGAATATTACAGGTAATGCCATTAGTGTGGACTCTGTTAAATCAATGAAGGGAATCAAAGGGTTTTCTACTTACACTGACGTAAAACGATTATATCCGTTAACATTTGGCAAAAAGAAGTATTCAGTTCCAGCAAGAGGTTCTACTATACGTAAGAATGCCTATCAAAAGTTTTCTTCACAGAGACAACGTTTAGAAACTGTGGTTTCTTTATTAATACGACACACCTGCCGATCCGTTTGCACTTCCTTGCCTGAATTTGAAATAAAATTGCAGCGTACCCCACACAGTATCTTAGTGTAGGAAGTTTTCGCGCATTCAAATTAGTGCAATAAAATCCTAAGTACCTAATGCTGCCGGCCTCAAAAACCATGTTCCTAATACCTTATAATTTAACTTTGATTGAGGTATTTTCACCCACCTTTCTCTTAAACGTAAAACTGAACAAAACACTTTCTTACTGCCGGGGAGAACGGACAGGAAAACTTTCATGCACTTAAAAGGTGATTTAGTAGTTCAGTCTGTGATAAAAATTGAACCATACATTTCCTGACTAGTCAAATGCTTTTGTTGTGATACTTGAAACACTTCGTTGTTTTACCACTCGATATGGCAGCCATGATCGATCACCTCGGAAGTGCATAAGTACAAACTTTGAAAATATTCGTGCTAAGAATAAAAATACTGAAGCGGTGGTAATACATTCGTAGAAAACATTCTTGAGACTTACGATCGCCGTATGATTTCTCTGCTCTCCATTATCAAACGATTTTCAGCAGCTTGAACGTACAAAAGCAATATTTTCCAGCCTTCTTCATTGCTAAAAGCGAGCAAAAAAATGACTTGATTTTGTGCTATCAGAGGTATATAACTAAGAATTTATCAGAGGGCATCATTTCGAAGCAAAAGCTTTGAAGTCGATCCAGGAACAAATTATGTTAGCGTTTCTCGACTATTTTCAGATGATCAAAACATTTACTGACATGGAGACTAAGTAGTCGCCTATAGTTAAATATGTTAGGAAAACCTCTATTTTGGCCTGTTTCTCTTTCTTTGCTGGGAACGGTTTACATTTTAAAGAGGCCAAGAAAGCTAGCAATCAGAGTTTTTCGCCGTTAGTTTCTCACACCAGAGAAGAAAAACGATGTGGGGCTGATTCATGAACCAGAACATCTATATTTTGTTGCATCGTAGTTAAAACTAACGAAAATATACTGAAAATCAACTCCAGCCCATGGCTGTCAGCTCTCCAGCAAAAATCAAGTTAGCTGAACGGTGTTGACAACGTTAGTTCGCATTATTTAGTGATCACAACTGCATTGATCTTGAGTACGACTTGGAACGAGAGAGGCTTCATAAGAGCAAAATTAAAGTACTTAGTTATTTGGTTTAGAAAAGTCCCACCATACAAAACTCGTTTTGCCTTTCGATTTCTTGCGTTCATATACTTATTTCATATTTGTATTGCAGGATCCAGAGGAAAAAGACTCGGTCACTGAATACGATTCTTTGCAGCAGGACGATATTTCCTGGATGCAGAAAGCCAGGCCAGCTCTCTCCGAAGAAGAACAGAACATGGAGGCGATTCGATCGACAGACGATAACATTTACTTCAGATCCACAAGGGACATTACGGCTGGCGAAGAATTAAGATTTTGGCTGGGACCATCATTAGTAAAAGAATGCGGACTATGTACACCAAAACCACGCCAAATGCGGAAAGGTGAGTTCAGTTTTAGCAGAAACTCATAAACCGCGTTATGAACTTCTGGTTTTAACAAATAATTTTTTAGGCACTTTTTACTCCAACTACATGTGTACCATTTTAAAGATAGTCTTTTGCTGTTTTGCTATCGGGTTAATTGAAATACTATGTTCTATTGCACAACAGACGATTAGTTCACTAAAATCTTCCTCAGTCTACGAAGAAAATCTTTATCACTTGACAGGAGTTCGCAATCAGGTGGACCTATCTTTTCTCTATAACTACTGACAACAAAAATTAGCGAATACTGACGCGACGACGAAATTATTCAATATTCTTGGAGTCTCTTTCCTACAGAAAATAAACACTGCAATCGTCCTCAAGAAAATTAAGGTGTTGGTCTCCTTTTCACTTCTTTTAAAAACAGAGTTTTGTGCATTTTTCAAATTAAAAGCTTTCAACATAACACAAAATAAGTTCCAAACAAACCCTGTAGGTATTGGCTCAATAACTCCGAATGATGATTGGATTCAGTTTTAGACAAGTGAAATATTAAGCCGACTATTTTTAGTCCAAAATGCTTTTTGGCAAAATGGCACCACTCTTAATTAGCGACATGATGTTGAGACTAATTGGTATATTATTTTTGTGGCTGAGCCTTTTAAGTTAATAATTTAGAAACTGTGAACAACTCGAAACTTGTTTGATAAGGGGATTGGCTACTAGAAAAAAAAACGGTTGTTTTACATTGTCAACAAAATATTCAAGAAAGTTCGTGACACAGATTTTTTGGACGTAGCCGAGGGAACGTGTTTGGTGACCATTTTTTGAATGACTGTTTTTATAAACTGATGTTTTTTTTTTTCACGTAAACTTGCCTTAATAGCTCACGTGACTTGATTTGCATATTGTCTGATGAGCATTTGCACAAAATTTTAGATTCCTTTTTTCGATATGCGTTAAACTTCAAAATGTACACCATTCATAACTTTTTAAAGGAATTTCTCATGCAGAGAACCCATGCCCCAATTTCCTTGAGCCCAAAGATTCTCTGTCATCAGACAATTTAGCTTAAAGAGCTTTTATCATCTAATTTCCTTGTTCTAGAGTCTTCTTTGGTCTGCCAGATTTGCCAGGAAAGCTTTGAATATTCACGTGCATTTTCCGTGCACACAGCTTTTGGCTGTGAAAAACTTGGTTCCGGTTCGTTTCCCCAGTGTGAAGGTGAAGTGAAAGACGATGGTTTAGCATCAACAAATGGTGTTGAGACAAATCATTCACATGACCAACTGGAAGAAAAACAACAGCACGGAACTGAATTCGAGGTTAAGAAGTCACTCAACGAAGATGTTCCGAGTACAAAGAGAGAATTTTCCGAAACAGTCGGTAACAGTCGCGTCTTATCCAACCCCAGACTAGCCAGCCTTATTTCAAGCTTCTCCCGCCCTCGTTTCCGTAAGCGGTTAACTAACGAGTCTCAGTCATTAGCTGAATACCACAAACAGGAGTTCCGAAAGAAATTCCAGGGTAATGAGCACTACCTCCGAAGGCATCTTTACCGCGAAAACATGGAGACAAACGGCGCAATGAATTATCGTCGTCCACAGACTTTGAAAGAAACCTTTAATTATTCTGACAGCCATGGCGATCAGGACGAAATTGATATCCAAGAGGAAAGAGAGGAATACATAAACTGCTTTCGTAAAGACTACAAGCTAGCTGGAACCACCATGTCTTCGTCAACTCATGAAATTTTTAGACGTACAAAAACAGTTGACGAACAAAAACACGACGCTCAAAGGGAAAATTTGCTATCGAGTGACTCTTTGAGAACTTATTGTGAAGTATCAGGCTCGACGGAAAATAAAGCGACTTTCATCACTGATAGCTATCCTACTACAAAAACCAAAAAAACCCAACATGTGGACGAGGAACTATTATCAAGTGAAACTATTCGCAAATGCACATGTAACGAGCATGACAACGCACGCGGTACTCCAAAATCCCCAACCGCATATAAAGGGATGTATACAGTACAAGACGTTGCTATGGAGGAAGATGAAAAATGTAATTTGAATGATCCTGTCCAGACACATCTCAATAGTTTTGAATCATTCTTTATTTACCAGAGACTTCAAACAGAAGACCAAATTTCATACCGACAGCACTCGCACTGTCCCTGTTACTCTACGCCAACACTGTACAAACCAAAGGGACATGTCTCAAGGTATTACGAGCCCGCGTTTTTGTTGGACTCAATGTATCGTTACTCCCCCTATCCGCGCATGCTTCCTTTTCTGACGCATCAACCTGTTAAGTCTTTTCAGACCTCCTCACGTAATAAAGGCTTCACATGCGAGTACTGCGGCAAGGTATACTGCAGAAAATACGTGTTGAAAATTCACATGCGCACGCATACAGGATTCAAGCCTCTCCGCTGTAAAGTTTGCGATAAGTCGTTCAGTGATCCTAGCAACATGAAGAAACATGTAAAGCTACATGAGAATGAAGATACAGTCCACAAATGCCGACATTGTGGCAGGAGCTTTGTGCGATATAGAGGATTGCTAAATCATATTAAATCAAAGCATTCTGAACTTGCTCCGACAGAAACAATGTAATCCTAGAACAAGTAGTAGCCCAATTTTACTCCGACGAAACCCCAAGCAATCTGACCTCTTCTGACCTGAACTGTAGCTTAAACCATCAAGCTATAGGGTTGTTTCTGTCGGCCACATAGTCTCTACGTATGTTCCACAACATGCATCCATGCTGTGCAGAAATTGTTTGATCAGCACATGACAGGCAATGTTTCCTTTTCAGAGGCACTGTGCTGTCTTTGTATAAGTGGCAAAAAAGAGGAAAACGTCGCTATGATTCTGTCAGCGTCTTACAATAAATAATCAAACAAAGATAACTTTATTATTTTATCGATTCCAATAGAAGAAATATAACGTCATTTGTAGCTTGTGTACGTGTGATAGTTCTTTTTTTCATGACATAGCTGCACTACCCCCGGCTCTGTATATAAAGATTTCTACAGGATTACAGGAGTTTCCAGATTTTACTGCCAATGGACCGCCAGCCAGGCTAGAAAGCGTTCTGACGTAGGAACAAAGGGGAAAAGCTAGCGCGCCGTTCAAACTGGAGCGCTTCTTAAGCGGGGGAGGACGGGGGATGGGGGAGCAGGGCTATTGAATTTATCCGGTTCCATTCCTCATTCCCTTTTTCCGAGGGACCGAATACAATGTATAGATATCCGGTAACTAAACTCGACCCCAGGACCTGACGGCAACTGGAGGAACCGCTGGACAAAAGGTACAAAAAGAAATTTATAATTTGTCACTTCAGCTGATTTCAATTGTCCCGTAATGGCCGTGAATTGTTGTAATGACAAATGACAATTTAAGGTAACGCGCGTCGCATTGAAAAACTCCTCGATTATTTTAGTGTTTGTTTGTGTGGGTGGGTGGTGGCCATTAAGTAAGCGGTGACAATTTATCAAGTTTATGAATCAGATATGTGAAGTTAAGTATAATCGTTATGTCAAAATATTTTAGTTTTAAATCCGTTCTACGATCATGTGCCTCGGCTACAGAAGCAAATTGCTTGCACACTGAATTCGAATGGCTAATTTTATTGTTTCTGATGAAATATTGCTCTCCGCTTCCCCCAAATAAAATGTCGTTGTAGCGGAGAATTTTATAGACTATTACATATTTTTAAGTGTTTTTAGTACCCCAGGACTGCATGCAGACAAAACAGATCAAGGGAGTGTGATACCATGTGAAAAAACATTTTTTATCGGTCATCACAAAGCTCAAACAACAAATCTCATTCGAGCAGGTATATCGAGGAAGTTTATAGTGATCGTACAAATACAACATCTCAGAATTATTCTCAGACGAACGAACGCCAGACCTAAGTTTGTCCTTTGGGTCATCGGTTTTAAGAGAGCGATGACGTAACCGCCGGCGACTCTAAAAACCGCGGCCGTACTTTTCTAGATTTGGGGCTGATTTAATTGATCGTAATTGAACCTATCAATTGAAAGAACTGTATTACCATTTTCAATTATGAAAATCAATTGACAAATAACACCTGTTAAGCTCTTTCGTGTCATAAATACCTCAGGTTCCTAAGAGCTGTCGGCCTCCATCGTTGTGCTATTTATGCCACATACCACAATATAGCTGTTTGTAGTAGATTTGCGCCGTGTCCACTGTTCTTTGTTCTGTTTTAATTACCTTCGTATAAAAAGATTTGATCGATGGAAACCGCTGCCTGATTTACATTTTCAACTTGGATTATTGAGATATCGAAGTGACTCTCATTCAGGAATGGGTAAAATGTGATATGGTTCTTTCTGCTCAATTGAAAGATATCCAAAGGAAGGGAATAATTTAAGGTCAGTAGCTTTCACTTTTGCTTAGTTTGTAAATCATAAATGAGTCGCTGTACCACAATTTACTTGTGGTGCAGTGCTACATTTGTTCAGTGTTGACTAGAATAGTGAACTCGCTGTTTTCAAGCATTGGTGGCGATTTTAAGAAGCAAATTCAAGTTTGACCTTCCTTTAAGAGCGCTCTCTGAATAGCTGTTCTTGTTACAGTTAAGTGATCTCCGCTCTTATGGCTCTAATATTAATAGAAACGGCATTCCGCGGCGGCCATTTCGTTTTGCTCCTTTTTTACGATGACACAGTTGAATATTCCTGAACTTAAGAAACAAATCGCTCCGAGACCGAACTTAAAATTCTTGCGATTTCAAAAGCGGAGATAACCTTTGTCTTTCTTTTTTTAATTCCAAAGAAACACTTCTTAGATTTCATTACAATCGAACTAAAATGATTCATAGAAAGCAAAAAGCAAACAATATGTCCGATTTGTTTACAAAACGCGACGATCTTTTTCAAGGAGATTGTGAAGAGGTATCTTTAACTTCTTAAATTCATCTATCTTTCTTATGCATAGTCCGACTCGTATTTTATTACCCGCTTATAGGAAACGAACCATTCAGGACACGATTTCGGCCTCTGGGGTACTTAACCAAAAGCACGATCAGCCTTCACGAATTTGCGAGTGAAGCGAACGAGCAAATAAATTATTTACATTTGACAATAATTGTTACTTTAGACTGAAAAATACTGGTTTATATGTGATCTGTTTACCATTTAAGTTCTGCCTCTAATGATAAAGTTCTCGTTGATTCTTGCCGATGTTTATCATGAAATGCAGATATGACGATTGCCTCAGAAATCGCTCTTAATTGATTATTATTGGCGCGGATTAATGGGCCAGGCCTCTTACCCGACTCTAATGACCTGAGAACAGTTGTTTAAAAAGCAGTGACATCCTTGCTTAAACGTTTTCTTTTTCCTATTACAACAATAAGACGAGATCAACACTGCAACCCATGTAATATACGACCCCTCTCCAAAAAATAAATGAGAGCGGAAGTCATTTTTTGCTCATAATGTGTCTTAATACTTGGTAGAACGAGGGGCGTGGCGGTTCGTGAAAATATACCTCAATAATTATGCTGAAAGCTTGTAAGCGGCAGTCATGATTGGTATGCTTTTTAAACTTAACAAGAAAAGGGTTTCTTCGAGTTTGTGTAACATAACACTTGTCCAGACTTTGAGAGAAGTCAGATTGCAATCACTCTGAATTTCAGCAAACTAAACTAAGCTTACCCCTCGTAGGACAGACTGATAGGTAATGTTTCGTTAGATCAAATCTCACGGTTTTTGCAAAAAAAAAACATCCAAAATAAAAAAAAAACACAGAAAACTATTGCTATCAATGCTCTTGCCTTCTACTTTTAACTACTTTTAACAACTCTTTTTAGTGTATTTTCTTCAATATATCGGCTATACGAACACGTAAAGGACCGGCAGCCGTATTATAGAAGTAGATCTGTCTGTCATGGGGATATGGGTAGGGATAGGTGGGAGGGGCTAGTCTGTACTAAGTTATCTCTGTCATTCCGCCGCATTGCGTTAAAGCAAGTTCTTCAAAACTAAGCTTGAGTTAAGAAAAAAGAAATGAGGAAAACTGGAGAAGAGAGCCAGTCTCTTAAGCGGGATTGTAATAACCATCGTCTAATCTAATTGGCGAAGTGGTCTGATCCAAAAAGAGCTTACCCTAGCCAATGGTCCTCGGCTGCACGCAGTATTTTCTAATTTTGTGATTGAATTTATCCACACTTCCCAGACTTACATGCAGGAAGTTGCCTCGTCCCCATGCAGTCGCTTGAGATCACTTTTTGGGGGATATTTGAGTTAACAGAGACGTCAACCGAAAGGAGGACTTGTTGCATTCTTGGGCAGTGATTGTGCCAGCTTTTCGGGCAAACTTTCTCTACAAGAGGAAAGAAACTTAGCAGTGCAAATTTGGTAGCGTCAAGGCATGTTAGATAAGGAAAGAGCTCATTTCCGGTTGACGTGTGTCTTTGCTTAGCTCCCTAATAGATTAATCAAGGAAAGTGCTCGTTCCCATCATCCCCCTTTGGCGCTTCTCGCTCGTCTCCAGCTCTCGCGCTTCTCGCTTGTTCAGTGCTGGCTCTAAACCGTGGGAAAGCGTGTGGAAGAGCCACTGCAGAAGAGCAGAACTTTTAAAAGTTATTTAGAGGACGCATTCGAACAATTGACACTCTTGTAAAAGATGCACCTCCAAAGACTTCATTTCCGTTTCCGCAAAACTATTTTTCAGTGGAACGAGTGTCGTAAGTTTGGGGTGTAGTGGAAAATTAGATATATCTATTGATTATTGGATAAGAAGATCCGGAAAGTTTTGAGTGTTTTGACGGAAATAAACTCTTGACGGTTTATGCTCTCGAACGAACCACGAGATAAAGAACAACATTCTCAGTTGAGACAGGCAAGCGTTGTGACTACATTTAAAACTGCGGCTATCAAATGGATTTTCGAAATCTTCGCCTAAAACTGTTCAGACGACATTCACCCTAATAGCATTTTCTCAACCCGTAGCTTAGTTTTCAAAAAAACCTTTGAATGCAGAGGTCGACTCAACACTTAAATAAGACCCACTTGTTCTTTCTTGTCAGATCTCTAATGTAGAGATGCCAGAGCCTGACGTCACTTGAAATGGGAATTAAAACAAAACTGAATGCAAGGTTGGCAATACGGTAAAGGGCTTATTTCTCTTGCCCTGAGGAAGGCTAATTTTGTTAGCTGAAATATTGGCCCCAAATAAATCAGCCATTTAGTTTTCATATCTGGCATGAAAAAGTCGAAAAATTGATGCCTTTTTTGCTGTTTTTAAATACGAATTCTTGTACCCACAGCCCTCTCGATCACGTGAAAAAAAACAAAAAAAAAACATCAGTAACCATATTTTGAGTAACGATAGAAACTATCATCCTTTCTAAAGTCAGGCACTTCCTATCCTCTCAGACATTGAGACTGACTCTCTCTATATACTGATTTATAGAACACATATCCTTCGTAATTAGAATCAATTAAAGATTTAAAAAATAGTAAACAAGATTATTTCATTTCCAGATTATTGAGATCCTTCCGAAAGATGTTTTTGAACAATTTTGAACAATGAAGCTTTAGTGTTATTTTCATTTAGATATTTAACGAAAACGCTTTCTGCAACATTCAGCCACTTTTTCTAATCAAATATATTACTCAGTATTTTCGCAGTCACGATTCAAGGTCATCATCTGAAATCCATAAAGAATACGCACCCTCAACTTATAAAACATTCTATCAGATTTACAATTAGATTAGGTGAAATTTGGAAGCGACCTACCCATAAATCAAGCTAAATCAAAAAATATTCTCTCGACCTACAACACCAGTTTAAGGCTACAGTAGCCTTTCATACTGGGATCTAATAATTACGGAATTTACCAAGTCCACAGATTTGTTGATCCTCTACACATCCCTGGCAACATACCAAAAAAAAATCAAGGAAGCTTTCAATAATATTTGATTAACAGAGATCGAGTGAACAATAATGTTCATCTGTAGTCGGATGGTCTCATCTTGTATATATATGAAGCAAGATATTAGCATAATCCCTCAGTAATTAAATTTAATTAAAAAGCTTTTGTAATTTTCTTCTATTGTATGACAGGGTTTATGATTCATTTTGGGGGCAAGGGGATGGGAGGGAAGGGGAGGGAGGGGAGGAGAGGAGGGGAAGGGGTATATGGCTTCTGACCAAGAGAGAAAAATACAAACTAGGGCGGGGAGGATGTTTCTTCTTTAAAAATATTTGCTTTGTTTCAGTTTGAATGGCTATGTATGATTGGCGGTAAAGCTTTCTTACTCCTTGAAAAACATTAAAACAAGGCCACCGGAGTGTTTAATTGACGGTCCCATAAAAAAGCATAGCACAGGGACATGAATCTTTTAGATACTTCTAAATTAAGCTCAGATTTCTCGCAACGTTATCTACAACATTCAACAGATAAAGAGGTCGACCCGAAGTTACTGAACTAGTTAACAAAACACTATATTTCAATGTTAATTTCAATTATTTAGTAATAGAATACATAATTTTCAATATAATCTGATACAATTGCATTTAATACACACTTTATTAATTTGTGATTAGGGACGGACCAATAGAAAGCTTATGGGAGAGGGGGGGAGTGGCAAAGTACAATAAAAAATATTCAAGTAAGGGATAATTAAATGTAAAAATTCATGCTTGCCAAGTAACCCTAAACAATATTCATGCACTAGCCTAAAAAAGTTCATACAAGAGAAATGTTAAGGAAACTAATTGATGGCCCTCGAAAATCCCCCTCCCCCCCTTCCCTCCCCACCAAAACTTTTCTGATGGCTCGTCCCTCTGATAGTTGTGCAACCAACTGTTTGCTGGATCATTTCCAGTTATAAACAGATTACATGTTGATTTAAGACCTTAGCGTAATTTCAGATAAGTGACAAACGTTCTGGGGATATTGAGAAAAGAAGTAATAATATACAAAATGTGTCGAGAGTCAATTCTGTTTAAATCATCATGGAGTAAATGTACGTCAGGGTAGGGAAAACTGAATAACGCTAAAACATATTCATTTCTTACTTCCTTGTGTTCAAATTATCATGCTATAAAACATATAAAATGTACACTTATAACAACAACAACAACAACAACAATCTTTATTTGTACTCACTGTTGCTCAAAAATAAATTACAACAATGAAAATATTACAAGTAAAAATTAGAGTACTATTCCTGCCTGGAATAACCATGGGGGCTAGCGAAGCCAGGCAGCCAGTTGACATCAGCATTAAATAAAATCAAATTACTGGTCAGAAAGAAAACTGAAGCACAAATGCACGCGAAGCTCAAATATTACCGCCACCTTTCTCGCTGACCTACCGCTGTCATTACTGCCTTATGTCCAGTAGTGCAAGAAAACTCGCCTCTACAAGAGCAAATCCGGCGGCTCCTGATCAAGAAGAAAAGAAAGGAGATTCTGCTGGCAGAGGGTGGGAACATACTAGGTACTTCAAATGAGACACAAATTTTTGTAACTTAAAATATGACTTCATGTAGACAGAATTGCTTGCCGGTAGTTAAGGATTAGGCCTAGATATCGATATTGCTGCTGAAAGCTAAAACATGCTATGCCACGCTATCTGCCCCTTTTCAAAAAGCTCGAACTTTTTTCTCATCAATTGAATTCCCAAAATAATGGTCCAGTTTTGTTATTTTCGACTATATTTTGGCACTGAAACTGTTTCCTGTCTTCTGTTGCAACGGATGTCGATAGACATGGATAAAAAATGGAGAAAGTTGCGTACATTTTTTCAAGTTTTAATGCTATGCCCGCAAAAGCTATTCAAAAACTATTATAGTTAGTGCTCCCTGATGAAGTTTGTTTGGCATCTTTGTTATAACGCTGCAGGGGCATTTCGTGTGCGAGTAAAGACACTAAGTAATGACTTCACCACTTTAAAATTGACCCAAAACGACACTGAATAATGTCCTCGTGACAACGCCTTCCAACAAATACTGTCGTTAATATGCAGTGCTTTAATTTTCATTTGTGTTTTTTATTATGAGCTATTGTGCCCACAAAGTACTTTAAATTAGAAGTATGTGGATGAAATATTCTACTATGAAGGATTTTGAGCAAAACTGCCTTGTATTCCAGCTTGTTTATTATGCTGTGCAAAGTTGTTATTCAAATTCGGGATAAAATTCATATTTGCCCCTTATTCTTACGGCTTGCATTGTATTGTTGTTGAGTACGATTCAGTATTTGTATTGAATCAGATGTCTTGCTGCGTACAAAACACTGCTCAGCTGATTGCTTTTTCTACAACTTGATCCCGATAAATATTGATAATTGTTTCTAGACATTCGTTTTTCTTGTTTGTCTCAAACTGAATAAGGCACCGAATAACAACAAAAAAAAAATAGAAATTTTCACGCCTTTTGAATTTCTGTCTAGATTTAGATTTCCTCTTCAATTAAGATGATATAAAAGGAGATCCCCCACCGGTGAGGAAAATCTTCGAGAAAACTTGCTGGGATATGCTACCTAAGTTATTATCAATAGATCAATACTTTTACGGAGACCCACGAAATACAATGACGGCAAATTCACACGTAGAACGAAAATAATACTAAAAGGCAGTGATCTCGATATTATTCAAGTGTATTTGGCCTTAAAGTAGAGTACCGTGGTTATTTTATGTCTTCTAATAAATCAATAACTTTAAGGCTAAAAAGGTGTACAAAACAATTCCAACGCCATCTTGTCTACATCGCTTTCCGTTCACGCTCAAAAGCTGACCCTCGGTTAGTATTTCAAGCAAGCTGTGTGTTTCTATAACTGATAAATTGACTAATCATTACTTAATCATTGGGTTTGTAATCGGCTTAACATTGAAATATGGCAGATAATGTTAAGGATTTTCAAGAATGTCCACAAACGAGACAAAAAAGAAAATGTATATTATTCTTTCAACAAAAGGTCAAGATTTCTATTGCGTTTTTGCCTAATCTCGTTGAGAATATTGATCATATCTCGTCATTTTCTTGGCACGCGTAAATGCCAAACGTCTTATACGTGTTACCTTTTTATTCATTAAGGAAAAGTCGTTTATGAAGATAATCAGTTAAAATTGTGGCAACTTGAAATAAGTGATCTTTTTAATGAAAGAAGCCGTAATCACTCTGCCAGCCTACTCGGCCATAATTTGCTATCTACAGAACAGTAAGTTATTGGTAAATTAATCTTTTTTCAAACAGGATTGTACGTTTTCAGTTAAGGTATTTCATACGTCACTTAGGATCGATTAGTATTATCGCTTGCGAGTTTCAATTTTTCTTTAAAGGTCAGTCTTGTCTCGGCAGTGTTCTAGGCAAGTATTTTACTGAGATCAGCAGTGAATCTGTCTCCTTTGAACGAGTTTTGCGCTCCCTGTTTCCTTTAAGAATTCTCCAAGTGAATGTTTGGTACTCATTTCATTGCAGTTTTCTTAGACCATAAATCATCGCTTTAAATTCAGAAAGGCAATTGGGATAACAACTCCTGTAAGTGTCATTTGAAAGAACCACAAGATACTCACAGCAGTGCATTTTTACTCGCAGCACTGCAATTAATTAAGAAGTCAAAGCATCAAGCGAATGGTACAGCAGCCGAAACAGCTAAGCTCCAACATGAAGGTGAGCCTCTTGTTGTTTTAAGGTTAGAAAATATTAGATTATATCAATGAAGGACGGCGGTCATCTTTCTGTTGCGAAAATTATCGCCGGTTGATTAACGGATTCAGATTGTGGTCTGGGCCGGCATTACAGTCAACTCCCTCTAAGACGGACACCTTTGGGACCGGGAGTAAGTGTCCGTCTTAGAGAGATGTTCGTCGTGTAGAGAGTCAAATAAAGGGAGTAAAGAAAGGCAGGGACCAACTCTAGGTGTCCGTCTTATAGAGGTGTCCGTTAAGAGAGAGTCGATTGTATTCAGCGTTCACGGTTGCCTGGTACATCATTCATTCATTCCCATAAGCATTCCAAGAAACTGCCAAGAATTGCCTGTGAGGTATTTTACTCAGCAATGGTGTCCAGTCATGAGAGGTCACGGTTTCTTCATCTGACAATTGAAACCGCCGAAATTTTAAACGTTTTCGTTTGCAATCCATGTTAATTTCCTGCATCACAAACTATCCTTCATCCTTTATAGTTTACAGGGGGGCCTATTGATTGGCTTTTGGTTACCATGGTTACTTCTTCTTTCTCTCAGTTAATTTACTCAAGATAATTTTGAACGCCACAAAAAAAGAATCCGTATCGCAGCAAAGACGGATCGTTCCGATTTACAAGAGATTATAACTACCACAGTCGCTGGCCAGAACTCGATTAGGATCTCGATTAGGATTACGATCTGTGACGTCTTACGTAATAACCAATCCTCTCTTAAGGACTATGACTCATGTTACTTGACGCTACAAAATTCAACATCTGCAAATTTTATATTTCATGTAATTATTTTACTTGGGAATTAAAATTGTATTTTTTCAACGAGTTCATGATCATAACCCTTTTCCTGGGGCTTCAAGTGCAGAATTCTTGGAATTGCTATGTACTCTCATCTGTGTGTGCTTCAAACTGAAATGAACCACTAACGTCCCCGGATATACCTTTAAACTCCGAAAAGAAACCTCTTCGCATCTCGCCCTCGAGGCTTATACCTGGCAATTGCTACCAGCTGTAAAGGAAGCAAAGCTTTCGAGAAACGACCGGCACTGCTACACTATAAGATACAATGCGAACAACAAACTAAAATCCAGAGTACAGTCAAAGAGGCCTCAGGGGTCCTTACCTCCCCTTATTTTTATATTTGATTAAAACGAGGCCCACAGGGTCGAAAGGAATTATTTTTGTGTGTAGGCCGTTCCCAGGTTATCTTAAGGTCTGGATGAGTTGGCCTCCTTTGACCTTACCCAGGCTGTCCAGAGAAAATAGAAGGTCTGTGAACAGGCTAGACCTTACGTGACAATCCTCGACATCTGCATTAGCCACTGAGGGAATCCCATTAATAGAAACAGAGTTCATTGCTTGTGGTTTTCGAAGTAGGAAATAGCGTTCCCATTCTTTGTGCCCCAATATTACTCTGTCATTGAAAATTGCTGACATAACTATATATTTCGCTCCCTTTTACAAACTAAGCCCATTTTGAAATGTAAATTTCCTTTCTCTGAAACTTTTAAAAATATAAGCCCTAGAGCTCATTTTCGGAATTTTATTGTAGGACCTTTCTTTAGGCAATTATATGAACTAATCATTTTAATATTGCAAACTTTCTTGACCATCCTGAATAACTGAACGACAACAGCAAAATCTGTGTTAATCGCGAGGATTTGGTGCATCGCTAGGCGTTGCATTAAAAAATTAAACGAAATTCGTCGTATCAGACCGGTCTCCTTCTGTGACAAATACGGCGTAAGTGCCCTTGTTATCAAACCCGCAAATTGTCGTTATAACAAAGTAAACAATCATTATTTTCTTAATGGAAATTCCAATTGAAAATTATTGAAATTATTAACCAGCTGCGTGAGATTGTTTGAATATGTGTCTTTCCAATATCAATATCTGCAAATGCATAGCTATCCGCAATTCTTGCAAAGCACCTTCTAATGTCGTGATTGTACTTTCCTGTCTATGGAATCATTCCTTGAGAGTACATGCATGTTGAAAAAAACAAAATACAAAACCTGACTGAAATGCATGAGTTCTACTGATTAGCTTCCGTCATGTAACACAGTTTACAAGAACAAACTAGTATTTTCTCTGTTAAAGGTGCAGGTTGTAATGCTCCTTGGACAATGTCGTTCTGGTTTAAAAAATGCCGGTTTCAGTATAAATGGCTAGACCTAGGTCTATCAAGAAAATCGAACAAAATTATGACATCCATATCCTGAGCTTTTCGTAGAAGCAATTTTCATTTACAATTGACAAGTTGTTGAGTTGATTCCTGCAAACTGAATTGGTACCAGGTCACGGTGTACCTATTTTCTGATCGTTTCTTCTCTAAACTCATGATTAATCTACTCTATATCTTTACTGACAACTATACAATAGAATACAATACAATAAGTTTATTAACTTGTTCCAAATTGGGATTTTCAATATTAATTTACAATCATCAGAAGAAAACCTACAACTAGGAACACCACTCTGCTACGCTATTGAGATCGTTAACAATCTACTTAGGGCATCTAGTTTTTCGTTGGTTGCAAAGGAAATAAAACGTTTATTGTAATCAACATAGGAGTAGTTCGATAAAAGAGAGGATATGAGGCAAGCAGTCCTTGATGACAGAGACGGACACTTTGTCATATGCTGAGACTTTACTGTTGGGTATGCCTATAATCACTTTACGAACATCTGAACAGAGGACAGGCTTAAACTCGAACAGTCAGTTCATCATGACCATGATAAGATAAGATTGGAATGAAAAAGTCGGATGTGCTGCGGAGACCAAAAGTTTCAGTTAGTTTCTCTGATGCACGGAAGGCATTCTCGCCTACGGATAAAAAGAAGTGATTGCACTCTTCTGCTAAACTGGACGTGCCTTTGGAGTACTGAAGACATATGAAACTAAGCGCACTTTTTTGCTACTCAGTATGGAAGAGAAATGCTGGAGTTAATTTAGTCGGTTTTATTAGTGAAACAAAACAACTCTGGCGAAGTGATTAAGGAGCTACATGAAAAAAGGGCTTGACCTTCAGTGACCTTAGCAGTTACGACCTTTGTTAGCCTCGATCACCACTCATTCAAAGCAACATTTTGATCTCTGAATAAAAAACACGAGTTTGTAATTGGGAACAAAAATATAGCAAAGTGTGTAATGCCCCCCCTCCCTTTTTTTTACTTATTTTGTAACACTAGGCTAGATTCGTCCGCTCTCAGCTAACTGTGATTGTGAAAAGTTTGACTAAAACAAATGAAGGCTTGAAAAGAACCGCTTCGCTCTTAGGAATGAAGTAAACTATGATCCTTCATGGTCACCTTAAATCAAATAGATAGTTAGTTCGGACCCAACTTGATTTTACGGAAAGATTTGTTGTTTTTTTTCCCTCCGCGGAACTAACTCTACCATACCTCAATGATGACTATGGACAAAAATGGAATACATTTCCTTGAATTGCCGAAAACATTCGTTTTCATTTATCCCACAATTTGTAAAACTTCAACACTGTGTGATGGAAACCATATGCTGAGTAATAATGATCATCTGTGGAATGCAGCTTAGCTTAGTGCTGTTTGAAAAAGCGCAACTCTAAATGCTTGTCAGTCTGACGACGCCTTTACCAGAAGTGAAACCTTCCCTTGCAAAATGCCCACGCTGCTTCTAAATCTTGTGATTTTCTCAGTAGCTTCTAAAATAGCGTCCAACCAAATATAGCCTCTAAGTTTAGGCTGATTACCAAATAAAATCAGCATTACGACGTTTTTAGTAACACTCTCGCTGGTTTAATTCAGGGCAGAACTGCTGAGCTGACAAGCCTGGAAAAGACGGGGGTTTTACGATCTTCCATCGAAATTCTGACCAGTGCTGTTCACGCTCTCTCATCTTTTTACTAACTTTACCTGAGGTCTAAGTCGACGCGATTGACCCACTTATAACAACAGCATTAGCTAAAATTCCTGACCAGTATTATTGTAAAACCTCAAAGACCAAGTTTGTTTTCTTTGGGGCACCTCCTATCGATATTATCATTGAAGTAAACAAGAAATTTCGAGTGATACTTGCGACTTTGCTATCTTAAGCTGTATATGTCACGACATTCTTAACTTGATCTGGTATTTGTACGAGGGGAGTATCTTTCAACTCGGCGATTATTTTCCACAGATTGGCTTTCTGTAGTGCTCAAATAATGACTTATATTAGCCCTGTATTTTCATAACATGCCTTAAGAACCTTTTTATGGATAAAGACAATTCGAGGACTCGGCCATTAGAGACGAAGCGATGATTTAAGGCAGTGTATAAACATATGTGATCTTAAGTGAGTTTTAAAACCTCGGTGAGACGATTAAGGAGACCTTCGTTAAGTGTTTTCTAGAACCGGTTTAGAGTTACGAAAATCATTTGTGTGGTCCTCGTTCTTTCAAATATCTTAAAGTTTTAGCCTCCTATTTTTGATGCAAAATACTCTGCGATATTACACGACCTCAAACTAGGTTTCGTCGATATAGACAGGTGATATGTTCATTTACCGAACGTATCTCATTGGGAAACAATTATTCAAGGGAAGAGGATTTCATTCAGCTATATGTCCGTAAGTGCTTCTTTGTATACCGGCACGGGTTGGTCAGACGCCTTTGGTCTTTGCCTTTGCCTAGGTAAACCTTGCGCCACCTTAGGTTTTTTGGCATGGAAGCTTTAATTTGGCACTGAGATGGACTGAGGTAAACCGCTAACTGACATGATGTCTAATCTAATTTTAATGAATCCAGGCCCATTTTAGAGGGATTTATATGGAGTCATCGGAGCATCTCCCCACCTATTTGCGGCAATAGCAAGTGAACGTTTTTCATCTTTTTCATTCTGGATATGCCAACCAATACCATAATTTCCCACATTTAGTTTCTGTGACGTCATCACTTCTCTTTTCCTTTGCGCCCGCGATGGTACTAAATGGCGTTATTCCCGCCTCCATGTTCCCACCAGTCCATGCCAGCTTTCTTTTCATTTCCCTACCTAATGATAGTTGAGTCAAGGGCTCGCCTTTCGTCAATTATCTGCCGAAAGAAATCTCGAGTTCCTTTTCTAGCTGTTAATCAGCTTTTGTTTCACCATCATCATTTAAGTTATTGTGTAATTTATCATTCCTTTGCATGTCTATTGCCTAGAGAATGGAGGTAAATTTTGACATTTAACTCGGAAAATGATATCATTAGTCTCTCCTAGACCTGCAAACGAAGCCCGTTCTTTATTTTCACACAGATCCTTTATCTTTCCCTCTTCTATCCGACAGAGTTAACGAATGATAAACGGTTTAGGTAGCTAAGCACGAAAGAAACGTAAGAACCGCACCTTTTTAATTAGTATTTCTCCCTTGATTGTTTTGGTCTACGTTTGGAAAGGAAAAACCAACTAACTTATCGGTTATCATTTTTCCCCTTGATTTGTTCTGACCAGCGTTTTTGGTCAATAATTTACGTGTAATTTTGATCAGTAAAATATACCTTACAAACCGATCTTAATATACGACCGCACCACGACTACGCCCTTTATTTACGCATGCCACGTGCTATAAATAGAAAAGACGGAAACTGTAGCCCACAACCGCGTCTAAACTGCTCCTGCCTGAAGGAAATAGGAAGTGGCCACTATATAGTTGCTCTTACTTAAGCGTTTTCCATCTTATACTGAATTAGCGAAGGGTTTTATTCATAAATTTTGATGGTGTTTTCCTCACTTGGCCGGTAGAGCCACGCGCTGCGAGTGAAAAAGTAAAATTATGCAAACTGCATTTGATTTTAAAAAAGAAAAATAAGAGACTGCTCTTAGCCTATTGACTTGGTCCATTGCAGCTTTTTTTGTGCCTCTACTGTCGGTTGTTCTTTTCTTTTTTTTTCTGTTTCTGACGAAGCCCAGAAGACTTCATGTTCTCGGCCAGGTTTTGTTATTGATCGAAGTTTGTGTTTGGCTAGCAGGGCCAGTAACAGGGGCACCCAACGAGAATATAGTTCAAAACCACCTAAACATACCATTGTTAAAAGTGTTTTAGTATGTAAACGGTGGATATGGGCATATTTTTATCCCCTATAAATTTTTTATCTGTTCGGATTTCCCAGCTGAAAGTCTAGTGATCCGAAAATTATAGGGATCAAAACTTACCTGTTCGAAAATTTCAGCCAGAAAAAAGGCTCCCGAAAATTTTAGGTGACCTTTCTAGGGTAAAAATCCCCTGAAAATGGGCAATTTTACCATTTTTTAGATGTTCGAAAATCCTAGGAGAGGCAGGCAAGCAAAAAATTTTACAACAAATGTTCCGAAAATTATAGATCTCAAATCGTCTTCCGAACAGATATTTTTCCGAAAATTGTCGTTGGGTGCCCCTTCAGTAACCCCTGGGCTTGCCAGGCTATAATTGGACCGGATGACCACGCAACACATTCCAAGGCGGGGCTCAAACATGCATTTATTTTATTTGAAAACAACGAACAATCGCAGATAAACAGGATGAAGGAGTGAAATTATTCCTCATAACAATGTTAACGCAATTTATCGGTATAGGTCAATTTGTGATATTGTTTTAAGCGTTAGAATTGGTATCATTTTATGTTTGTCATCATATTTGCAGTTGTCGTCTCTGAACGATACTCAATCGCAGCGATTGTATTTGCGGGTCGCCTCTCCTTTTTCGGTAGGCACATTTCATATGCTGAAAGGAGTAAAAGAAAATTTTTTATGTCGTTTTTGTTGTTGGAATTACCTTAGGAATAAACGAATTTTTTAATTTTAATATTTCTCATTTTATTGTTCAGATTTCAGGTCTCCTTACCTACGAACAAAATTATATAGGCTTGCAAGAATTTTGGAATTTTCGAACTTCGTAATTATAGATTAATAATTGCTTGTTGATGCTATATAACAATTGAGAGCAATGAAAGCAAAATTATAATAATAATTGACATAAAGACAGCCACAGGGAAAAAAGAAAAAAGAGAGAGTTTTTGTATTTTCCCAAAGTTTATTTTTCATTCCCGGTGGGTTTAGGCCGGGACGGAAACACACACATTCAAAAGCGAAAAGTGACAGAGGATGTGTGTCTGTTTTTTTGTTTTGTTTTTGTTTTTTACAGGAAACCGAAACATTTTTTGTAAAGGATGTTGATTGTAATTTCCTTATGAACGCCAAATTCTGATTTTCACGAATAGAGAGAGCTTCAGGGCGTATCAAATTGCTGATAAATCGACCGGACCTTCATTGTTTTGCACATAGTTCACGGACCAGTGCGCACGGCTGAGTCAAGTGACTGACAAATAATCGCGTCAAAACAGAATTAACCAGCGAATGTAGAGTATGCTGGCGATTAGTGGGTCAGAGATTTGGAAATGTTCATAAATGCAAATACGGCCATTTATTTATGGATCCGTTTTGTAAAGGAAGGCTGACTCTTTTTCCTTCTCGGTTGTTCTGACTGCAGTCCATTGGAGGACCGGGAATTCGTGCATCAATATGGCGGCGACCAGCGCAAGCACCAAGACAAGACAGCGAAAACTTTCGTTTACGTCCACGATCCCGCTGTTAAACCGAACAAGATCAATGACTGACCAAACACTGCTTGGAGTATTAAATATACTTCGCATGGACGAAGGGCAAGGGCAGAGTTTTATGGTGAAGGCAATTCTCCCCGATGGAAAACCGAGATTGGTAAGTCGGTTAATTGTTCATTTCATGGACATTACCTTTGATAGTTAAAAACGATTTAAAGTTGCTGCAGCTTTAAGCTTGTATTCAGAAGTACAACGCAGCTCTCTATGTTTGTTTAGTAGTCTGTTTGATGTTTGTCGGAAAGCACCTAATTTGCGTTTAACTAAAGTTTGTGTCCGAACATTTCAGCTGACTATGGAGCTTAAAATGCAGAGTTCAATTTCACTTGCGGCATGTTCATTTCAAAACGTCTGTCATCGATTCTGCAGAGTTTTGAGACTGATTTAGCTTTGTTTGGGTCGGAAAACTTGTATTTCGTTTCCTGGGGTTGAATTAGTTTATTAAACTGACGGTTTCATGCGGAAATGTTTTCCTAAACATGATGATTCCACTCCGGTGTGGGCTTGCATATTTCAAGTGAAGTTGTATGTTGTGATAAGACATACAAGAGTGGCAACATACTGAGTGAGAGATACATGCCAACTTGAAAAGACAAAAAGCGGGAAGTTCAGTCTATAAACAGCAACATTAATCCATTTAGAACACTTGCAAAGGATTCGCAAACTATTATAAACACCCAGATGATCGGCATTAAATATCGTGATTTTGCGATTTTAAGCGGCTCTGTAATAAAAATGTCGACCTCTTGAACGTCATTTTCCAGAAGTTAATAGCCATTTACCTGTCTGCAATCCCTTCCATTGTATATACAGTGAATACGGTGTACATGTTTTAAAGATTTTGCATAATGATGTCGATCCTTGCTTCAAATGTCTTCAATATCTAGCCGAATTGCAAATTGCGTCCCTGAATGCGACGTCATTTTCCCTTTTGGAAAGGCTTATCGAGATCCAAGTCACTTTCGAACTAAGAATGTTTTTCTAGTTATTTAATGCATGATAGGTCGCGAAAAGCAATTGAAATTCTTGAAAGCTTTCGTAATTGGTGGTTTTTGTGGTACTTTACCTTCATTTATGACACGCGAGACCCAACAAAGCGACTAAAACAAAACTTCATAAAATGTCTGACATGTTTGATCATTTTCGACATGAAAATGAAATGATGTAAAATGTATCGTACGAGTATACAGTATCACGGCGGAGTGGCATGAATGTACTATGTTTGCTTTAGCCGTCTGTACCGTTTTTGAAAGTTGTTGAACTGAACAGGATATTTACATATAAATTAGCTTATTTTAATTTCCACCAGTCCGTCTCAACCCGCTTAAATTTAATTGCTACTGTAATTAAGGTATGAGAAACAAATTAAAATGAGTATTTTAGAGTGTATCAATAATCCTTGTGACTTAACGCATCAAACCTTTGCATAACCTTAATTCAACATTGTCAGCATGCATGTTTCATTGAAGAATAGTTATTTCCAATTGATTGATTGGTGATTGTGAAAATATGTGCTCTAGATTGTTAATTCTTATTTTCCTACTTTTAGTTGATGGTATAGTTTTGAATGATTCATTTTCCATAATGTAAAAACTTAGGAAAGTACTTTCAGCAATTCTGAATTGTAAATCTTAATAATCTCATGTAAATATAGGAAAATTTCAACTTTTCAACTTTTAAATCTTCAAATACTGAATCCTCCTTACCCCTTCCCCACCAAAAGGCAAGATTTCCTTGTAGTTATACAGGAGTGTTCCTCTTTTCCACTGTGGAAATGTAAACCAACCATTTAATGCCTTCATAATTCTACAACTTAAGCAGGGCACAACAAAAGTGCTGTTTGATAGCCAAGGTCTAGTAGAGCAGCCAGTAAAGCTAGCAATGCGTTTTCATCATGAGTTGTCCAATGGGCAAGCAACAGGTGCTCAGGGGCAGATCCAGGGGGAGAGTGACCTGCGGTTTTCTAATACAACTGGTATTCTGCCAAAAAAAAAAAAGCTATGTGGTTTATTGGTGTTGAAGTAGAGCAAGAGAAGAGTGCACCCCCTCCTAAAAAAAAATCCTAGATCCGCCCCTGGGTGCTGAGATAAAAAGTAAATGTTAGTGAAAAAGGGGGGGTTGACAAATGGCTGGTAGGGCTGGATGACTGTTCCAGACTAGCAGATTTTTTTAAATTTTTTTATTTCACCCTTTTTAAGATTCTGTATTCAGCAGTGTAGCATTCATACATGTAAACTAATTAAGTCTTATGGCAGGTACAACTTGACCATAGATTTTAAGTTTTTGTGTTTTTGCTCTATTGATTTCTCTGGGAGTCACTGCCCAAGTGTACTGGAACCAGAAGTACAACACAGTGCAGTACTGTACATCTGGGACCAGTGCATAGGGGTTGAAATAACAGCGGGTCAATGGACACTGTCTGGTCAAATAGAGTTTTTGTCCTCTCAAAAGAAGATATTTCATAAAATAAACTACATGTAGAAACTCGTGATATGGAAAACCTTGCAATTCCCCAAGTTGTACCCTGAAAAATGGATTTAAGAATTGGATGGGTGAACATCTGCAAAGATCCTTTCATGAAAACTCTGATTTCTTTCTTTCTGTAATTCCCTAAATACTTTTTTTCCTTTCTCACTGTCCTATTTTATAACTTAATGCATATACCAAAGCATATTATGTAATTCCAGATTGAAAACAAATGGCAGTAGGTTTACATGCAGACTAACCAGCTGGCTAATGTAGAGAGCTGAAACCAGTCTTTAGTCCATTGGCATTGATTAAGGGCCAAGTTTCTAAAACTGGTTGTTTCCAAGCTAGAATAGGTTTGGTGGGACAACTTGACTGGCACCAGCTGGATAATTATTTCAAGATAAGTGTAGAAGTTATCACATATACTGGCATGAGGTATTGAAAACAATATTAAAATGCTTACAGGCCCCACTTACTCGTCTCTTCCCAACTCCCCTTTGGTTTTTGTTCAACTTTCCTCTATGCCCTTTCCCTATTATCTTGAAGCCTGGAACAGGTCATTTGTGACTCAGCCAGGTAGACTAAGCATTAAGCAGAACCTTTGAAGGTCAGTAACATTTTGGTAATGTTGCTGTTTATAGGTATCCATATAATATAGTTACATTGTAAGATACTCAGTCATAGGTAGAGCACAGATAAACAGTGACCTTAAAGGCAGGTTGACGAAATATGAGATTTGTGACTCGGGAAATAGAAAGTCTCCTATTGTCCGTATTTATTAGTGTCGGTATTCAGTGGATTAATTTTAGAGAAAATATGTGAGCTTTTCTTCGGGACCAGTGAAACTGTCCATTACATACATGTTTAGAGGTCTGTATTAAGCAGGTGTCTGTAGAGCGGGGTTCCACCGTACCTTTTTATGTAGCTCATGGGCGTAGCCAGGGGAGGGTTTCAGGGGTTCCGGAACCCCCCCTCTCGCGGCAAGGACCCCCGCCTCTCCTATTTTTAACAGTGATTTTATCCCAACAAGAGTGTAATGCGCTTGAGGTAATGGCAAATGAACGTCAATTTGCTGGCCAATATGGCGACGCAGCATGGAGCTGGGACACAGACACCAAGAATAAAGCGAGTGGACTTGCGAAAGCCATTTCAAGTTTTTCTTTTATAATCACCTTGTTGACGGCAATGAAATGCCTTTCCGTCCTGAAACCCCTGAGAAGAGAGATCTAGATGTCTACGAGGCGAGCACTAACAGTAATAGTGTCACGGACGATCTCCAGGACATCCGAGACAACATCAAAGACATCTGGAGCGAGTGGTTCGATCTGGCGGTCTCTACCGCGGCAAATGTAGGTGTTGTGCCTTCCATCCCGCGCCGGACAAATCAGCATCAGCATTGCGACAATTTACCAGCCCAGACGCCATCTGATTACTATAAGAGGGCAGTTGCTATTCCCTTTCTAGACCATCTACAATCAGAGATGAAAACATACTTCAAAACTACTAATGATGCTGTGTTGTCCAGGCTCTTTAATCTTCTTCCTGAGCTGGTAGCCGTCGGAGACAGAAATCCTGACATTGAAGCAGCGCTGGAGTTTTATGAGAACGACCTTCCGTCTCCTCATGTGGTTGATGTTGAGCTCCCGCTATGGAAGAGAAAATGGTGCAGCACTGAGGATGCCGACCTTTCCACCAGTGCAGTTCAGGCACTCGCAGCATGCGATCGAGAGTTCTTTCCTAACATCCACACCTTGATCCGCATTTTGTGCACGTTGCCGATAACGTCAACTGAATGTGAGCGCTCATTCAGTACACTAAGAAGGTGTAAAAACATACCTGAGGTCCACCATGTCAAGCGAGCGAGAGTCTGGGCTGGCGTTGATGAACATCAATTACCACCGAGACATAAATATCGAGGAAGTGATAAACACGTTCGCGCAACGGCAACCAAGGCGTCCTCTGTTTGCGTAGCGTAAACGCCAAAGTCTCAATAAATTGACCTCGCTCCCAATGTATGGTTTCATAGCTCAGTTGGTAGAGCAACGCACCGGCAACGCGGAGGTCACGGGTTCGAATCCAGTTGAAGCCCTGATTTTTTTTTTTTCAGGCTTCTTCTTTCCAGTTGCTTAGATTGGAAAATTTACTGCGATGATCATTCTTCACTTTCAAAGTCTTGTACGTACGTAATGTAAGGATTTTAGACCAACCGTTTTCGTTGGAACCAATTTGGAACCCCCTTCCTAGAAATCCTGGCTACGCCCCTGTAGCTTACACCACTCCTTAGTAACCATAGAAATGAGGCAGCAGTTTAGTACAGATTAGAACCTTCCTTTTTTAAATTTGTGTCAAGTATTGCTTTCTCTGTGAAAGTTGTGCTGTTCTTTGGTGGATTTTAATTTAAAGTTGAAAGTTCCTCTTGTCTTTCAAGCTCTTTAATACTAGAAGTTCTAAAAATTTGTAATCACTTGGAGACCACCTGATTGTCATTAGCAGGAAGTAAATTAATGACAGAAAGTAAGGAGATTTTTATTATTCATCATGGGAACAATAAGTGCAGATGCCTTTAAGTTAGCATCTTGAGCTCTTTGCACATGGATTCTGTGTGCCATTCCTGGGATACAAGTTTGTTTTTAACGGTTCAACATCCTTCCAAAAGTCCAGTGGGAAGTGAAAAAAGAAAGAAAATATTGTCACTGAAAGATATTTGTAACTAACGTGAGGGAAAAAAAATATTCCCAAGTTGGGAATAAACTTTGTCTTTGTTCAAATTCTTTATATCAACTTGGCCTTGGCGAATCTTCAACGTGATACAAAATTCCTTATGACAGACCATGTTAGATATTAAAAAATGATTGCGTTTATTGATATTTCATGTAGTTCCTAGCTAAACTGATAATATATTTATTTTATTGACTGAATATAGTTTAGTACTGAAAAGCATTCTTCGAAATGAAGGGCAAAGGCAAGACGTTTATTAGTCTCAGACTGAGTGATGTATAAGTGATTATAGGAAGTCTAATTAATGTCTGATTAATACACTGGTTGCCTGCTCAATATTCCTGGTGGTAAGGGGGCGGGGGGGGCGGGGGTCCTCTGAATATAGGTTTCAATGAAGTGAACAAAGCTAAACTGTTTACTCTTGTTAGGGTCTTGTCTAGTACCTAGGCGTCATTATTCCGCGCGGTCAATGCGTTTTAGGTCACGTGGTCCGAGCGAAGACGTGAGGCCATTTCCCGACCTTTCGCCTCGGATACGTCACGGAAGTGAATTGACCGAGAAGGCCTGGAAAGACGCCGTACAGGGACTGGGCAAGTTATGGTTGTGTTTCGGGTTAGGCGGCACTGTTTGTCTTTATCTGTAGTACCGTGATCTGTACTCTGACCTGTGACATGCAATATGTAAAAGAAAAAAATCCTGCCATTGCCTTCCTTCATTAAGATGCAGGGCAGGCTGAATTACAGAAGGAGAAAATGTTATGTATGGTAAAATTTACATTGTTCCTTTCAGTTAAGTGCTGAACGTAACATGACAGTTAGGGAGCTTGTTGCTGGAATCTGCCAAGAATACAACTTAACTAATTATCAAGTTCGAACCTTGCCTGAAAAAACGTTGCTTAATCTTGAAGCAAATGCCACCACGGTAGAGAATGCAGAAATAGCCATAGAGGATGTGGACAAAAGGCTTTCAAACTTCCAGCTTGATAATCTCCACACAAGTAAGTTGAAAGACTTCCAAATATATAAGCGATTACATAATTTCTAATCCTTGCTGTATCAATGTTAATGTGGATGAAAATATTTCATGGTTCACACAGGCTCCACAAATAAATTACTTTCTTGCTTTTTCGCGAGAAAAGAAAAGCTTTGAAGGTTCAATCACACCCAAAGTTTCTTTGCAAATTTGGGTGAATTTGGGTGTTGGAAAAGAAAGGAGACACAATTTCTCTGCTCCTCATGAGAAATTGATTCTTGTTGCGTGTTGGCACAGTAAATAAATGAATACATGAATAAATAAGTATATAAGTTACTGGCAGTTACTAGTACTAATGACTACAGGCAAGGAAGGACCTTTTTCCACGTGGGAGAGCTAACCAGCGACTCAAAGTGGGATGACTGAGGAGACTATCCTCTCAGTAGGTATGCCCGCCCCCCTCCCCCCTGGTTCCCCTGGTTCCCCTGGTTCGGTTCAGACGCCGAACTTTTCATGAGCCCAACCTAATACCAATTAAGGCCGACACAAATTATTAGACTGGCTGCATTAATTCTGACGCCGATCTTAATTTCAGCTGAACTAAGAGAGAATAGATCATTCTCTCTTGGCTGTACTAAATTCAAAAGGAGAAAAATGCTCACTTCGGTCAAACGGTTTACTACGGCTGAGCCGCGGTCCCAAATTGAAACGGACGTTCCTAATTGACATGAATTGATTCAGACGCCGAACTTTTCATTTACTTAATTCAACGTATTAGATTCGCCTTATTAAAACGTTCAGCGTCTGAATGGCGCCTAAGTCCTTGAAAAGTAGAATTTGACCTTGGAAGTGCTTGAAGGAAAAGTAGAAACATCAGGGCACCACGGCGAGGGCGGCAAAAAAACTTCACTTAAAGATATTGCCTTCACGTTCTCAGGAATGTTTCGCCTACATTTGACAAAGTAAGTGAGTTGGAATAATAGCGATGAAAATTGAAAGAACGCGAATTCACTTTTTAAGCAACATTTTCGCCGCCATTGCCGTCCTCCGGTCTTAAGGTCTCTTTCTTAAACTCCCTATTAACGGAACCCAAGAAATGTCATATCATGAAAGCTGAGTTGGATTGCAGTGTTTCGGACTCATTTCACTGTGTTTGTTATGCTTGATGTTGCAGTTAAAGACGATAGACTTCGTTGTGTGAAAGAGCTGGTTTATGCTGAAGAAGTCTACAACGAATGCTTAAAAAGCCTGTTCGACTTGTATGCTGAACCATTAAGGTAAAAGCTTGTTTTATTTTGAATGGTTTCCGTAAATGGTCAATAATTAAGAGGAACAAAACATGAAATCGTAACTTGCCCCTCGCTCCCCTTGCTTGCTGATTCGTACAATCTCGCCAGGTTTTGTTTGATGAAATGGAAAGGTTGTGGTTCTTTACAAGGAGAAAAGATACTTGAGTTATTTCCATGATTACTTGACCTTGAGTTTTTTTGTTTCTATCGGCCATTTTGAAGTAGTGTCTGAGACTGGGTCGGTGTTGTGTTGAATTGCACTATGGGAGTGCTTTGGAGGACGAATTTTGACCCAGTATCCTATGCGACCTCGTAATCCCATCCAATATAAGAAAAAAGTCCCATAGTGCAATTCGACACTACACCAACCCAGCTGTAAGGCTCAAGCCGGCTCAGCCCGTACAGTAAATAAGTTATTTGCTTTTGCTTGTATACCGTGGTTTGATGTACTCAGTAGCAGTATTAGAAGTAGCCATGGCGTGTTTATTATGCCAACTCGCCATTATGAGGAGCGAATCCAGTTCGGGTCACCAAGTCTTTCAGGTGAAAATGATCTGCTTTGGTGAGCTCTCCCTGATTAGCACCTATGAATGACGGGCTACTTTGTTTTGAAGATTATCCACAATGATCACACACTTGGATTTATTTTGCGCGAGACGAGTGAGGGAGAGAGAGTAGGATCGTAGTGTCCGCTGTTGTCGTCCTACGTAGTCTACTGAAATTAAATTAATTACAAGAGAAGGTTACTATTACAAGATCAATCTGATCTTGGTTGAAGCGAAAAGCAAATTCAGAACTTACAGTTTGTGTTCCATAAGCGTTAGCCTTCTTCGCCTCTTGATGAATGGCACTTTGAAAGTGTCGTTACATGACAGAATGTTTCTTTTAAAATCCGAATCAACTGACATAATTTTTCCCGGGTCGCTAATTTAAGGTGTCCGCGCTTTAATCAAATGTTAAAAAACTGAACAAACGGGATAAACTTCAAATCACTCCCTGTGTTAGGCAAAAGATGCTTCTTTCAATTTGAAAAAAAGAAACGGTTTTTGGAGTTATTTCTCTCATGTATGTGCTTTTTCTCTCGCGCGGTAGCTCCGCTGTGAATCAGCGGCTGCTATGACAAACTGCAAATTTGAATAGCTTCCCATAAGAAGGAATGCAAAAAAAGCTCAATGAGCTAGTATCACTTTATAGGTTAGTAACAATGATTGCCGATGACACAGTCTGCAGGGTATGATTCCTTGCTTGTTTCTCAGCTCACAGATTTAATCACTGGTGTCTGTCACCTTAGACTTGCTACAAGTCAGTCGACCTCAAGACTTTCTTAAGGCTGGTTTTCACTAGCGACGGAGTCGTAAACAGAAGCGTAGAGCTTATAATCTAGTGAAAACAGCGTTCTCATTCCGCTTACGACTCCGTCGCTTACGTTCCGCTTATGATCTAGTGAAAACCAGATTGTCGGAGTCGGAAGCAGAAGCGCAAGAACTAAACCAATCACAAAGCGTGGGAACGTCAATTGTGATTCTCTTCTGCTTCCGACTCCGACAATCTGGTTTGCACCAGATCAGCGGAACGTAAGTGACGGAGTCGTAAGAGGAGTCGGAAGAAATGGAAACGTTCTCATTCTTCTGCCTCCGATTCCGTCGCGCTTTTGACTCCGCTAACGACTCCGATTTTTTATTTTCACTAGGTCATAAGCGCTCTTACGACTCCGCTTACGACTCCGCCTACGACTCCGACTCCGACTCCGTCGCTAGTGAAAACCAGCCGTTAGCGAGCGGAGCGAGCTTTTAGGTATTGAAGAACTGCGGCACAAAGGGTCAAACACTGGAAAAAGACGAACTGAGCAAAATGTCACGCTGATTTGCTACTGTTTTCTTAAGAAATGTAGTGATATTAACCCGTTAAAATCTGTCGTTATTTGAACAGGGTACAGTGTCTACAATTAGCACATAATTGTGACAACATTTATTGTGAAAAAAGGAGACAATGCGTAGATAATCAGTGTCCGACAGATAAGCAGTGTCCATATTTCGCGGGTTAATTTAGAGAAGATATATGAGCTGTCCGTTATATACGAGTGTCCGTAGAACAGGGTTACGGGGTGCCAGTAGACTTTCAAACTGAATTCCTTCGTCAAGACAAGTCGACCTTCGTTGCTCGCTCGGCCGCTTCGCGGCCTTAAATCCTCGCTCCGCTCGCTAAGAAACTCGTTAGGTCGGCTTGTGGCAAGTCTCAATAAAGTGTTCTGCCCCCTGTTACACAATTTTCACCTCCTTGGCTGTGATATCACTGCATTCTTGCACAGTAACATACATGCGCGCCGTGTAGGAGGAGCAGTGATTCCTGGGGAAGGGGAATTCGATTGATTTTAATTTTAACTAAGGTGTTTTGTGTAGGAGCAAGATCAGCCGAGCAGAACATCACACACTGTTTGCCAATTTGGAGCCCATTTGTTCATTGAATGCTTCGCTTTATTCAAAGGTAGGATAGAATAGGATAAAATATTATCAACTACATTTAATCACACTAACCTAAATCAACATAAGGGCTGGTTTCCAATAGAGGCGTACCGAGTAAATTAATTCCGTTTTTTACTTCCCAAATATATCCAAAAGATAGTGAGGGGTTGGACTGTATTTCAAATAAAAATTACGGTTTGGGGATTTTGTTAGAAAATCAGTGAAATTGACACTTAAGTAAAATACTTTTTGTTTCGTCTTTCTACTTTTTCTCCTCTCAAGCAGTAAATATTACTTTATATGAAGGAAGATCATCGCAGTTAAATACGCAAATTTTTCAGTTGCGAAAAGAAACCCTGAAAAAAATTCAGGCTTTAAATGACGCGTAAAGCTTTTTCGAGAAAGGTTGTCGGAAAAAGTGCACGCGACAAAAGAAAAAAGTTCACCTTTAAAGAAAAAAAATTCGAAAGGCTTGTTTGCGAGTGCTAAAGGAAAGGATTCGACAGGAAGTCCAGAAACAGTGTATTGATCATATCCCGATACCCGGTGCACATTTTTCCGACAACCTTTCTCGAAATAGCTGTATAACTGCGATGATCTTCCTTCATATAATTCTTCACTCGGCAGTTCACATATATGATTTTCATATATTCATAGCTTCAGTAAATATTACGTTGTGTAAAACCTCTATTGGTAAAACCCTATAAGTTGTCCGGTGTTATAACTGCTAGTTCATTAGTGGCTGGCCTGTGCTACAGACGAAACTAAACCAGGCAGACCTGTGGTTACAAGCCTGGGTTAGTTTACGTGTGCGACCCAAATTATAAGATGATTCAGTCTGGTTTTCGAACGTTCTATGTATTGATTTTCACTTCTCAAATAAGTGATTTTTTTTCTTTGCAGATAGACGAAGCCGCAAGCAACTGGAATTCAGCATCTACAGGGATAGGTACCTGCTCATATTTTATGTTTACAATTCTTCTTTCAATGAAATTCATGTTACTCGACTACAGGTTAGCGCAACACATTTTAGCAATCCGTTTGCCGCACACGACTCGCCTTACAACCCCTAATTTGTGTTGGGTGTTCTGTGCATTATTGGGTATCCTGTGCAATTAATAAGGGAGGTTTTTTTGAGATTGCATTTTCGTCGTCCACACACATTTGCCTCGCTTTGAGGCGTTTGCTTACGTTTTGCCTCACTTTGACGCGCTAACTCGTGGTGATTCGTGTGTCCTCGGCGTTCATCTTTTAAAGGTTTGCTGAGGTCTGATATTCTGTCTTCGTAAAGGCGTTCATCTTTTAAAAAGTTTGCTGAATCTTCGTAAACCGTACATCGATCTGTGTTTGCTGAATCGTCTAAAGCGTTCATCTTTCAGAAGTTTGCTGTTAAATTTTACTTCGGATGAAGCCTTCATATTTTTAAGCATGATTCGTCACTGTCTTCGGAAAATCTGCGACTCCTGGTGCATGCATCAAACCGGGTTTAGTTCGGCGGCCGTTGTGCCACAAAGTAAATTTACCGACTTGTGTAGCTCGGCGGCCGTTGTGTCACAAAGTAAATCTACCGAGTTGTGTAGCTCGGCAGCTGTTGTGTCACAAAGTAAATCTACCGAGTTGTGTAGCTCGGCAGCCGTTGTGTCACAAAGTAAATCTACCGAGATGTGAAGCTCGGCGGCGCTATTTGATCATGACTTGTGATATTTTCGACACCGGACAAACGAACACTTTAACTCTATGATATTTATTAGGAAAAACTTATAAACCAGCCCACAGTAGCGCCACTCTCGAGTCACTGAAATCAACACGCTCGACCAAATTACTGGAAAAGTTATTGAGGTGAGCTGCACACACATTCCACTGAAGGCTTTGACAGGGTTAGTGCGAAGTTTGAATTCAGATGTGAAAGCTTTTAAAACAGTAAATTCAATGTAATTCATTTTGTCAACAAGTTGATGATTGGATGATCTTAAAAATAACAGAGAAAATTATCTGAAGAAATGTTTTTGAAGAAAGAAAAGAATCCCGGGTTAAGCACTAATCGGCCTTTGAGCTTGTAACTGCGCCCTGTAACTCGCGCCAGTAAAACAAAATGTTCTATTTAAACGCCCGACGCGGGCTAATGTCTCCCGATTACAAGCACTTGACACCGAACCATACGATATCTTTTCAAAACCTTCTCATAAGGATACACAGTTTAAATAGAGGTTTCGCTGTACGCAACCCTTACGTTCAAATATGCCATAATCATATTTACCTATATCGCAACCACCCTTTCCCCTCAACTGCTACCTGTACGCCTAACAAACATAACGAACGCACTCTCCTAAGCTCCGATTACTCCTAGTTTTAAAAATAGGTGCATCGGAATCTGGGAAAGATTTAGCTGCATGGTAAATGCTGACTTGTTTCTTTCCTTTGTTGAACGGAAAATTAATAATATTCACTACTTTCTAAGGATCTTTAAGAAAAGAGAAAGCCGTTGTTTTTTTTGCTAAAAAGAAAGCAAGAAATTCTCACTATTTATCTCCCCGCCCTAAAAATGATTTAAATCAAAAATCAAAAAGAGGTCAACCCCCTCTTAGTCAATCAAGATGCCCCCGAAGCAATTGCGTGGGTTTGTTGAAAAACTGAGTGACTTTGTTCTATAGGAAAACTGAAAATCAGTCAACGAATATGTAAAGGTAAAAATTCGGTTTCAGGCTAAGAAGGTGCCAGCCTGAAAAAAAAAAAAGCCGACATTTTGCGACGCCACCACTGGTTTGCCCGCGAAATGACGTTTGAGAAACGAGCACAGAAACTGATGACGTGTCACTACTCAGATCTGGGTAGTGCTTCTGATTGGTTGAAGCAAATTTCTCTCGCGGCACGACCAATCAGAATCACTACTCAGATCTTGGTAGTGACGCGTCATATGGGACGACGGCGTGGACAACGAGAACGTCAAAAAAACAATAGATTTAATAACCAAAACAACAAATTGCACGTGGATCACGCTTTTTTGTACATTTGTTTGCCGTCACTGCACGACTATTGATTGGCTCAGACAAGCTGTCCCATTTTTCTTAAATTGGACAGTTTGCCTACTTGTAGTCCTTCAGGCTATCCAAGTTAGTCCAGTCCTTAATTTAGCAGTTTATAAAAATTAAAGATTAATAGCTTTGCTGACAACATCGGATTAACTACCAGCTACACAGTGTAACACATTTGGTCAAGAGTATTAATTTTTTTAAAAAATCTGATGTTCTTTGACACAAGCAACACATTAATTGTACGTGACGTAACAGACGATTTGGCCAATCACATGCGCGAATTCAGCTTGAGCCACTTGGATCAATCGGCGGCCTACTGCTATGAGATATACGATGTTGACAAAAATCATCTAACTGAGTTTATTGTGCAAAAAAGAACTTAGACAAACTTGCTTTTGTGTACTTTCTCTGTTTGAGGAAATATGAGCTGGTTTTACGATCCTCTCTTAACTCTGAACGTCTAAAACAGATACCGTAAATCCTCTATTTATCCCCCTGGGGGGCTTATTTATTTCAAGCCTATTTGAGGTGGGGCTTATTTGAGAGGGGGGGGCTTAATTAATTTGAAAACGACGATGGTATCAGTTCTCCATAAAGAACTAGAATACAAAGTGGAAAAGCTCAAGTACAAGACATTTTAGGTCATGCAGCCGAGGACTAGGATCAAATCCGATCTTCCATTTGGTAAATAAACCATCCCGGATCAGTCCACACGACGTTTTACAGCCGTGATTAATTAATACAGTCTATCATTTATTAGTGAAGAATAAATAGGGGAGGGAAGGGGGGTTTAATAGAGAGGGAGGGCTTATTAACTTTCTTCCCCTGAAAGGGGGGGGCTTATTAGAGGGAGGGGGCTTATTTGAGAGAGGGGGGCTTAATAGAGGATTTACGGTATTTGTACACAAAATATGGCAGACGTTTGTCTCATCTCTTATCCCGCCCCTCTCATTTTCAAAAACGGTGAAAGCCCTGACATCAGGCGTTTTTCCACAAAGGATCGATCGAGATGTGTTTCTTGTCAGTAATGAAATCTTGTACATTGCAGGTGCAATTTACGCAGAATTTCCATTGTTTTGGGAGAGTTATAACGACTACTTCCTGGCTTACAAGTTTGCAAGAGCGTAAGTTTTCGTATTTTATACCGCAAATGCTCGAACTAGTTATATTAGTGCCTCTTGGACTTTAAGTCGGTAGGAGGTGCTTATTTCGTACTTCAGATTGCGGGCTTAAGGTCTCTGGCTCTGAACCTAACTGACTGAAACACTGGAACGCATCCAAATTTGTGCGTGCATTTGGTCTTTACTCGAAGCTCGTCCATCTTTAAGTTAGTGTATCCCTTCCTCGACCACTGTTAGCAGAGGAGACGCGTTTTCATTGTCTAACCGAGTTGATGTCTTCACATGGTTCATTCTCCACGTGCTGTGTATGTCAAGATTCCGTAGTATATACCATAAATCCTGGCAGCAAGGAGGGAAGATCGTGGGGTCGACGGTTTTTAGTGACAAAATCACGGCCACATTACTAACAGAGATAATAAGTGTGGTCTACAAATAACACTGTCTGGCTTTTCTCCAATAATGACCGCATAAGTCAAAAGCTGGCCCCTCCTTCTCCCTGTTTTACCTACAAGAGTGTGCAGCTGAGCTCACGTACATTCATCCTTAATCCACTTGTAAGTGTGAACTCCTTGACAAAGCATAGGACGGTTAAACAACGAAAGTAGTATCGTGGGAGTTAAGAAGTAAGACCGGGAACAGGCTTTGACTCAGTGGTCAGGCATAATATGGAAACTATACGGTGAGCCGGATTTCTGCGTTACATGTAATGCGGCTTCAGTGCTATGTAGTGTTAAGTCTTGTAGATCCTTTCCATCACCACTGACCACTATAAAATCGCAGGACAGCGTCTTGTCAAGTTAGAGGTACATGTAGTCAGAGTAACCATGATTTAGAAAATCTTTCTCTGTCTTTGATATGTCCGGCGCACCTGCTGTATAAAATGAAGTTGTGTTAAGTTGAAAAATGCTTTTACTTAGAGAAAAGTCACGTGTCACGTGCATGTTGCGTGTTATATACAGTGTTCCCGCGGAAATCGTTCGGCTGTATTTAACTGCAGCTTGGCATGTTTATCACTGAACGGATGCACTGAGGTTTTTGCCAGAAATGTTGATGAGCTTTTTTATCTTTTGTTGTTGTGGGTACCACGAAAACGACTTACCCGACCCTAAAGTTATGAACTTTTCTCTTGATTGTAGGTTAATGAGACAAAAACGCGACCATGATAGCGAGTTCATGTCCTTTGTTCATAGCCAGAGGGGATCTCACAGACCACAGTTGGATGCCTTGCTGCTCAAACCGGTACGCTGCAGCTTGTGCTCTGTTTTACGGTTCTGCTAATAGTTGTTAAGCAACTTTTGTATAAAGGAATATTGACGTTTCTTGGTGATCGTTTTCATTTTTGATTGTAGAATGTCACACCGACGATGGGTAAGTGGTTAAGTTGGGTTTATTTGGCAATGAATTTTTGTACTTATGTTGTTGTTCATACAAACAAGCTGTATTCTGAAAACTGATAAGTCAGTTTACCTGTGCGAATAGTAACAAATTGCCTGTGCGAAGTACAAATTCGTACAAAGTACAAAGGCCTAGGTTTAGGCTGAGAATCGCAATTACGACGATATGTTGCCAATACGAAACCTTAAAATGTTTTTCTTTTTTAGTGCGATGTATAGTTAGCCCATAAAATATGATTAGTAAATGATCACCGCTATTAATGCTGATGCGATGATTGGCGAAATACAGTTTGATTTTGTAGGAGCTGCGTTCTATATTAGGAAACTAATTTAGGCCTTGAGCCAAGACGAAATATCGCGTGGTTCGTTCTTTGTGTAAAGCACAATGCTATCTTGCGGTATCTTTGTAGCTTGGATAGTGTCGATGGCTTTGATAGTGGCGACAGTTTTTCTAAATACTTACGTGCTTGATATTCTTGACCCAGCTCCTGAGCTTAGCTTCATAGCTGGGCTATTAAGGAAGGATATGACATATAAGTTTTGGACTCAAATCAACTCCGATACACCCAGGAATTTCGCTACACCTTCCTGCTCACGTACTTTGAGGAAAACTATTTTCCACTTAACAGTTCTGCATTTAATTTGCTTTCAGCGTCTAAAACTCCATCTACTACTCGTATCTTTAAGTTTGCTAAATTGTCAGTGTACTCCATTATGATAATTATCAATCGTACTTCATAGTATCTGATTCTTAAGGATCAATTGGTTTATATCCCAACTACAATTTCCTTATCTACTCATGATCATGGAGGGAGAAGTTATTTTAAAAATGTCGAAATATTGTGATTCAGATCTTACGTCCTGCTTTGTTTCGTTATAAGTCACAGTTCATTTGTCAACAACTTGTTTTTGTTAAAAAAGACGTACAAAAAGAATTTATGAGTTTATCTTCGTGATATGCAAAATTGGAGTGTCATTTGTCAACTAAATGGTAACAATTTACGTGCATGGTCACGTTATTTCTCTGTAAGAAAAGACACTAAAGACCGTTATTTTAAAGCAATGTAACACGTTATTTCCTTTTCAATCAAACGTCATAATTCGTGATTACCCCGCTCAATTTATATCTTTGTAGTTTCTCAAAATAGCCGGCGAGTAACCAAAGCATACTGATCACAACTTTTTTTCAGTCGTGCTCAGATTTTGCTTATCGATAATAATGTTACCCCAGGAAAGTTTGAATTTGCAACAAAGCTATCTAATAATTTTTTGTGTGATGGCCTGGTGTTATTTTGCGGTTTGAGCTCATCTTACGAGGCGATTTTAATCAATTTTTCTTGTCACAGTAATAATCAGTAGACCGAGTCATGTTAATAGTTTCTGAAGTTATACACTGCAAACAAAGTGCCGCAGACACAAAAGAAGTTGAAAAGTAATTATTGTTTATAAAAATTGTTTTTTAATTTCTAAAACGGACTTAACATTATCTTAGTTGGTTACGCCTAGACGGTCAAGGTATGAACATTTAGAAATATGGGGCTGTTTACAAATTCTGTGTCCATTAATTTTTAGAAATGAACCACATTTGGCATCCGGGCATATTTTGTGGCTCTTTAAGTCTTTGTGCGGTTTGGCTAAGCGTATTTGTGCACGATAGCACGGTTGTGGAAAAACAGAAATCTCGGATCTCTTTTGAAGTTAACCTTAATTACAGCAGTGCTATTAATAATTGCGGGCTATTGTGTTTTATTGTTTCTTTTCGTTTTGACTTATTTTTATTTGAGACATTGTTATTATTCAAATGCCTCACTCAGAAAAAGAGAGGTGCTTTTCAATAGAAAAACATAGAAGAAATGAAGTGAAATTGGAACGTTACGTTTTTTTTTTATAAATGATGGTCGTTGTTAACGTAACATAAGCCTTAATATGTGCAGGTAATGTTTTAAAATTGACCAAATGTGGTAAAACTGAAAAATAGATCATCATATTTATGAAAAAGTGCAATATTTTTCTCCTGAATAGTCCGTACACTTGATTTCATCCTGGTGAAGCATAGTTTAATTTTGTAAATTATAGATACTGTATCTAATTTAGAATAGCCTTTTAGATGAGATATGATCCACACAGATTTTACTGGTTCGCATTAAGTTATGTAATGCATGTCTATTTTTTGTTTTCTTCGAGTTAAAGTTAAGTAAAAAGTAAAAGTGTGACGCAATAGATAAATACATAAACCGCAATAAGAAAACGACGTAAATAAAAAGTAAATATGATAGAAATATAAATACACTACATTACTCGTAGGATAAAACGCTTCAGAGAAAGTCGTCACCAATCGCTTTCCAAATGTGGTGTTCAGCAAGCAGTCAGTTATTCAACGAAAGCCACTGAGCAGTAATAATAAATATGAAGAAGACTAAAAGTATCGCAAATATTTCACATTAATTTTATTAAGTAACAAAATTTATTATAGCTTTCAAGATAATACGCGCAGCGCAGCATTTAGTTCAAATATCTTCCTGGGTGCTGTAAGTGCTAACTTAGCAGAGTGTTTGTCGTGTTTTTTTTTTTCCACTAAAAAGTGGATACGAAAGTTGATATTATTCCATGTTTTAGGCAAGCGATTAAAACATTACATTTGAAAAAATATTGTGCCGCACAGCACAGTTTGGTATAGATAAATCTAATGCCAAGTAAGAGTGCGTTGAGCGAATAGTATTTCTCTGCTTCACGAAGGAAACTGAGATTCTTGTGGGACGCATGTGACGTTTTAGCAATGATATATGAAAAATATTAGACATCAGTCGCTAAAACGTAGTGGTGTCAGGTCTGTCAAGAGCAATATGTAGTGTGGCTTCCACTGCTTGTTGGTATTAATTACGTTTTGCTGTAAAGAGCATGAAATAAGTGGCCGAGAAACCATCTTGTCATCTTGCTCCGGGAAAATTTTTGTCACGTGGCTGGTTTGGTGTAAGATAATCGAACCCAGACTCAGCTCCAAGTGAGGAACTGAGGAAGATGTTATGCTCATGATGTCACAAGCGCGCGTGGGACAGAAAAAAAGTCTGACTTCCAGTCGCGATTTGAACCCATTTCCTTCCACAAACACCGGCTGGCCGATGGCGCGGCTCTAATCACAATCTAATCGCTTTAATGACCTCTCAGTCATGGTGACCGCGGTAATTCTACGAGGTTCCTATGTGACACGATGACGGGATAATATTTTGTTACAAATGCTTCATCTTCGCCTTCCTCATGTCCATAACGTTATAATCGCTTTGAGCCTGTAGCGTGGTTCAACTAGCGAGTACAAGTAGTTCCTTGTTTAATTTACTAGCAGATCACCGGACGATTACCAAAGCAATCTTGCAAAATGCTTCAGAAGCTTTGGTTTTGCATGACTGTATTTTCTGATTGGCTCGACGATCCACCAATCGAAAAACTCAGATGATTTGACTTGCTTCCACAAGGTTTCCCGCGCTTTGCTTTGGCTTCATGTGTCTGCGAACCTGATTGGTTCTTTGGATTGTCGTGTGGATTGTGGACCGAGTAGTGATGAGTTGTTCGAAGCTTGGTTAGGATAACACAGGGTTAGTGTGAGATTTGAATTCAGATTTGAAAGCTTAAAAAGCTTTTCAGTTTTAATTCTTTTTGTCTACAAGTTGATGATTGGAAGCTCTAAAACTAGCAGGGAAAATTATCCGAGAAAATGCTTCTGAACACAAGAAGAAGAAACCCGGGTTAAATTTAACCCCAGGTTGAGCGCTAATCGGCTTTCGAACAACTTGGCCCAGGAGTCTATCATTTTCCTCAGGGATAGAAGACCAGCCGAAAAAGTGACCGGGGAGAGTCTCAAACGGGCGGAGATTTTAACGCGCCCTCGCGTGTGTCGCTTGCTTATCCCTGGGGAGGGGAGGGACTTTTGGTGGAGTAGTTATGTAGTTCTGTAAGCCGACCTTTCTTGGCCCGCAAACACGATTACACCACCTTTCATTGCTTGGAAGCCTTCTCAGAAATTTTTGATCGTGTACCCCCGCGTTAAAGCCAAGTTTATTGTGTACCTGGCCATAGAGCTCTCCAGGTTATGGCAGAAGCGGATAACAATTATTCCAATCATTGTTGGATCGCTGGGATGTGTAAGGCTCAGAAAGACCTGTTTACTGAAGCCGAGTGGGTCAGCTACACCCTGCAAAAGACAGCTGTTCTGGCCTCCGTATATATCTTGTGAAGATTTTTAATCTGCTAAACTTAGAGGACTGGCAGTACTCCGCCTAGTTGATTTCCTTATCCAGTACAGCAAACACGCACACGTACTGTGAAACTTGAACATAATAATAATAATAATAATAATAATAATAATAATAATACATAATAATAATAATAATAATAACAACAACAACAACAACAACAATAATAATAATAATAATACTTAGGTAGCGCAATTTCCATATGTAGCGCAATTTCCTTATGCATACGCTATTGCAAAAACCTTCTTACAGCTAGTTAGGGATTTGATTCTAACTGAAAACGGTGACGAGCTTTTAAGTGGTGGAAATTTAAACCGTAGCAAAAATTTAAGCATGAGGTTTTTCCTTTGTGAATCCCTGACTAGACACGCATTGTTTTAAATATTTATTTTTAGGTTGGACTGTTTATAAGCTAATCATCGCGCGCTTGTCTCCCCTTTTGTTTCGGAATCATGACCGTGAACAAATGTGGGTGGAAAATAATATTCACCAAGAGGGGACAATTAACAGATTATATTACAGAATTGGCCGGAAGAGATTCTTTCACGTCTGTATGGTCTGGAGTGTTCAGGAAACTTACAGAATGTTTCACTCTCTATCGAACAAAATTTAATAGCCTAGTGCAGTTGGTTCTTTAAATTTTGTCTTTTCACACTGGACACTGCAACTCATCTTTCCGTCAGATAATTTTTCCTTTCATTATAAAGTTGAGCACATTTAGTTTTTTCTTCGTTTAAAATATTTTTAAATTCAGAAAAAGTGTCTTTTGTGACATTTATTAGGCGAGTCGTGTGGCAACAAGGAAGAAAGTTCGGCTCTCCCACTTTGATTTCTCTCAGTGTTTTGAGGGCATAAGAGATCGTTGTGTGTGTGGGTGGCACTTATACCTCCCATGGAACAGCGGCAATAGTCGTCAATATATCATGTTAACGCGAAGTTATCACCGAAAAAAATCAAGTGACTGGATGACTCTTACAGGAATGCTTCCCTTTTCTTGTCTTAGACGTCGTCGAAAGAGGCTTTCATTACAAATAACAGGAAATTTTGTTTGGGGTAGAGCATATCTAATCACTGAGCAGGTGAAGGAGATATTTTTAAACATATACATGTAGCATGTTTATTGTCCTTCTAGACTGTTTATATTTCGGATATATTTTCCTACCTTTGAATTTTTTTAATCGAAGACATATATTTGCATGCGAGTAAGTATTTGCACAGAGTAAAAGGTTTTTTCTTCTCCTTTTCTCAATTGGATCCCGCAATATCTTGCTAAAAATACCCTGAATTTTAAGAGCATTCTTTCAGTTTTGCCTTGATTAAAAACAAACTTCTTTGTACATATTCAGTGGAGGTGACAAGAATTAGGAAATTCATATTCAAGTGGAAAGTATTTGCCAGGTTTTATTGGAAAAAAAGAGAAAAAACGGATATGATTTTTAACTGCGGAGAATTCAAATTTTGTTTGGTCAAGTAGCATGGCTTTCGTCAAGTAGTGGCTGTATTAAGCATGGTTTGTAATTTAGGATCTCATCAGGGCAGCTATAAACCAGTAATCTGGGCTTTATCTCTCGACAAAAATGATACGTTCTTTTCTTTTTTTAAACGAAGCTTCCGTCACCCTCTGACGTCTATTTTACTCAACATGCGCTGGCATTTGCGTTTGTTTGTTTTCTATGTTTTCGTACTCAATGTATGAAAATCTGTCACATGAGCTCTTATCAGAAGACGTTATTTGATATTAGATATCAGACTTGTCACACGCTCTCACCGCACTGTCCTAACCGCTGAACGCTGAAATATACAGTAAACATTCGTCAGTATTCCTCGTTTCTCGCAACTTGGATGTCTCCTCTACGGAGAAGGCGCTTCAGTAAGTTTCGTAGCAGAATAAGGAAAAGCTTTCGAGCCGCAAAGAGATGGAAAAGTTCGTTTAGGACCGGTCGCAGAAGGAGTTCGATGTTTCGGGTAAGACGCATAATTGGTTAATATTATGATCATCACGAGCCATTTATGAAAAGTTGCCTATTTTTTGTGTACTAAGGTTTTGATTCTCAAGCAGTTAAAACGCCTTGTTTCTGACCTTAAAACCATGCGTTTTTTGCGAGCAGGAATTGTTTATTGCCACTGATTCAAACGGCGAAGCAAGTGAAACATGCTTATCTGGTTCCTATGAGACAACTAAAGGAATGACAACACTCTTACGTGATTTTTTTAAGTGTATTGACCTCCACTTTGTTAGCTTTTTTGACGAAGAAAAGTGTTAAAATTTATTTGGTATATTTGATAACTTATGCCATTTTAAATTACCTTCATTAGAGGCCGACGTTTCCGGTCCAGGAAATACCAGGAATATTGAAATTTATTTAGAAGTGATTCGCACTTGATGGTGCATTGCCTTCACAGTCGGTGTTTGTCACTAAGTTTGTGGAGTGCAAAAAATGTTCCGTTTTGTTTGTTTGTTATAAAAACAATGCTGCCATAACTACCTCTAAGTAAGTCGCTTAATGCCGCTTAAATGCCTGTCATCCCGATTGAAGGTTGGCCATATTTAGACGTCACTGTTGTAATTTTTTAGAGTGCCACTGAGGTAATTTTCGATTGTTTTTCGAAAACATTTTGCAATTGTGGTCTCGTATTTATGCATAGTTTGCACTGACTTGGCAGCGCTGACGGAAGATCATAAGTTGTTCAGCTTAGCAGTTAAGGGTTTTGTTTTTGTGGTTCAGCTAAAATTTTTATCGCCGGTTCATTTCCAAGTTGTTTCTTACTGTCGTCCACATTTTCGTTCACGTTGTGGGAAGTGTGGTCGTTGTTGAAGAGCTAGATGGGTGATTGTAAACGTCAATCATGTAATACATCCAACAGATTAAACAGCTGCCGTTTGTTGGATGATTTCATGCTTTTTGCAAAAAGCCCAAAACTGTCAGACCTGGTGTGTTGGTGTTAAAATTCGTATTAAATTAATGTGTTTGGTTGTCCCAAACCCTGTGTCGCCGCGGATCTGATGCGAAGACCGCCCCCTTAGTTAGCAGTATTCTTGTGTAGGCTTTTAAAAAGCCTGTTGTATTGGCGACCTCATTGGCACAATCAATAGACCAATGTTGATGTGATTTTGTTCATAGTTGTTTCCGAAGCTTGAGGGGAATAAAAGAAAAAAAGGTTGCATTTATTCAAACTTTTTGTGTCATTCCCAAAGCCACGGAGCTAAATGAGAGTTTTAATCAGGGGTGAAATTAGTCTCTTACTTGGAGTCACATTTTGCGTAGGTGTTTGGGGTAGGTTTCCAGATTAATGGGATCCACTTAAAAAGCAAAGCCACTTTGAAAACGACATCAAAGCTTGTCCGCCGATGAGAAACTTAAAAGAACCGCCGAGGGTCAACAACTTGAAGGATTTCGAGTTATCATGGTAAATTAGATCAACACCGATCAAGGGAAGCGAAATTTTGTTCGAGTTATCGGGGTTCTACTGTAATATTTTACAAAGACGAATGGTGCACAAGTGTAAGCAAATCGTCGACTTATTCAGGTAGAATAGAGAAAAGAGAAAAAACTCGAACTGTATTTTCTTTCTTCCTAATAATTTTCAATGAGAAACATTGATTCCTTCTGGAACTACCGAACTAGTTTATCCCCTCAAAAGACGCTAGAGTTGTACAACAAGACCTATAGGATAATTACTATAAGAGATGTTGCCTGATTTAAAAATAAATTGCTCTATATTTTAGGTTCAACATGTGGTCGAATGTGAACGTATTCTGTCTAATTTACTGGAAAGAACATCCGAGACTCATCGAGATTACAATGAACTGAGTAAAATGGTCGCAAAATTCAAGCAGGTGGGATTTTATCCTTTATTTTTCCATACACAATAAAATTATGGATTTTTGAGGGAAGCTCTGGTAAGCCGACACCCTAGCGGAACGCGTAAAAAGTGTCCGTATCTGGAACTGGCCGCTTACGAGAATGGATCTCGTATTCTGCGGCCACCAGAGTTATAAGGGTTAGATGGCAGCTTACGGGAGCTTATCCAACCGCAAGTAAACGTTTCGAAAACATTGGACATGCAAGAAACTGTTTGTTGGTGTTTGGCTATACCGTTGTCCTGACAATGTTGTAATTTAGTCACAGGCATAGAATCCAAGTGGTCTTACTCTTTTGAAGTGTAACCGGGCGGATGTGTATGTGAAAAAGCCAACACTAAAACTGATGTAAATTCATGATGAAGGACAGTGATTTGAAGTTGATTTGTTAAAGTACAATTGGAGCTTGAATCAAAGCCAAAATTTAACTCTTAAATCCTGAAAGTGTCCGCGGCCTTTTACGGGAATGTAGAAATAAAGAATTTGTATGGGAGTTAAAACGGGGTTTTGTGAAAGCGACCGTGAGTAGAGCCGTCCGATTTGCAAATGGCGAATGCGGGTTAAAACCGCATGGAGCAAGAGAAAGAACTAACAACTAACTCAATTTTATGCACTTGAACTAATATGACAGGCCATTTTCACCATGACGAAGACGACTGCAACTACTAGAATTCATTTCGTTTTTTCTTTCTTGTTTAAATTTGTCAATTATCACACTGAGGTTTAGGAAACAAAAACAACAAACTAAAGGAGTAGTTCGAGCAAAATGACGTCATCATACAATAAACCTATTGAACTTGTTTTATTATGTACGTTTATACCAATAATTCTTCGTTGTTTATGTAGATTGTCAAAGAAAGACAAGAAGACGTTGTGGAGGCTGAAAACGAGGTTTGCATAATTGTCATTTATTTTTATCGATTTTTTTTATAATGGTCTTCAATACCTAATGGAAAGTTACTATTCTCAGAAAAATCTTTAAGTGACCACAAAGCCGTTAGAATGATATTGTAGCAAAGTTTAATCGATTACCATGTAGAGTATGAACCGTTATTATCGCATTTCTTTCTTAATTGCTTTGGTTTTGCGTGTACTGATGTGCACAATTCATTCAGAGGTCACGTGGACATTACTTTCAGCCATTTAGAGACAGTGTTAAACCAGTCAGCCAATCAACGCCTTGTGTTTTTCCCGCGCTTACCGCTGGATTCAAGGAGTGCTTACCGCCACTTGAACAGGCCATTTCCGAGTTCCCCCAGGCCTCTGTATCAAAACGAGGTTGAGTACTCAGCCTATGATATGGAAATGATTTTTTATTTTGATGCAAATAAAATTCATTTTTTTAAGAAAGGTTGTATACTTCGCCTCATTTTGAAAGTGAGGGTTTTTGGAAGTGGGAAGTGGCCTTTTGAATGACGGGACGAGCTCAAAAATTTTTTTGCGATCAATATATGGACAAAATCGAACTAAAATGCAACGCGTTCAACGGATGCCATGTATGTGTTGTGGTTCAATTTTATCCTTGGTTTAAATTTTATTTCCCTTTGTTTTTGGGTATGGTAATGTATGATAATGAGTTTGAAACAAAGGAAAATACAATTTAAACCAAGGATAAAATTGAACCACAACATATGCAAATGAATAAGAGGGGAGAAGGTTCTGCAGTTTCAATCTGAATTTTGACATTCTGTGTTTCGATTTTAATACAAACCTGATCCATCTAGTTAAGTCAGTGTCCGGCACTTTGGTTAACCGAATGTAATTATCAGACATTGCTGGAGTCGTTTTACCTTGACCTTGTTGCTACTGTTTTTAGATTTTGTTCGTGTATTTTATCATTCTCTTGTGGTTTCCTGGTTTACTTCAACTCACTAGACTTTAAACGTAGCATGATAGCTGGGTAGTTACTCGAAATTCTTGAGCTCTGCTCAAAGACTTTGTTCTTTGTATCATTTACTTATGTAGCATAGATGATACACGTAATTTCTCTGCCGATACAACAACTTCAGTAACATTTTCCAACGGTGTTCAGGAATTTTTTTGTTTCTTAGTAATTCATCAATTCGAAGCCCTTTTCTCTATCTTACTTTCTGACAATTTATTTTAGTTTACGTGTTTTGACATCAAGCACAAGTGTTAATTTAATTTGCGTATTCATTCGACCTTCTTAAGCTGTAATCCTCTTTCCGCTGAAAAATCGTACGTAAGCTTTTTTTTAAATTCAACATTCCGCTCTATTTTGTGCGTGGTAACTTGATATTAAATATTCTAACCGGTTGTTTATGTCTGCCATATGTCAGTATTAAATATTTTTCTCGAGGTTGTGAAGTTTTTAAACTTCCCTTTTTTCAATGTGTCTTAAAGAGGCAAAGTTAAACCTAAGTGTTAATGCACATACGTTGACCTTTGGAAGGATTCAGGTACTAGTTATTGAGCCCATGGGGGCCAGGTTATCTTTGAAGTAGCTACTCGGGGAGTTACTATAAGTAACGAGTATTGGTTGCGGATAAGGGATAGGGATCTTGGAATATGGACGTCTGTGTTAGGTTTCTATCCAGGTTTTAAACTCATGGAAGATACAATAGCGCACAATAAATACGTAAGTAAACGGTATAAAAATTTAACACAAATTTGATTTGACAAGAACAGCTTGAGTGCTTTTAAACGTTGTATACAGAAACGAAATTTAACAAATTTAATTTCAGATGGGGGATGTATAAACTGTCAGTTATGCAATAATTGAATTCATCACTTGTACTATTTTAGTCTTTTTTTCGGCTTTTAATTGTTGCATAAAGAGATTTAACATATTTAATTTTAGATCGGGAAGAGTGTATAGACTGTCAGTTATGCAATAGCTGAATTAATCACTCTTGCTATTTTATTTTATTTTTATTTATTATCAGTGTCACCAATTAGTGTTTTATACGCTAGCACAGTTGACACTTTAATAATTAAAAGTTTTACTACTACTGCTACTACTGCTACTGCTACCACTACTACTACAACTACTACTACTACCACTACGGGTAGGTGATTCTGCCTCGCTCTGACGTCCACAGTGCCGCGCCCCAAGGTCAGGGAAAAGTCAGGCAAAATCAATTTTTTTTTCAAGGTCTGGGAAAAGTCAGGGAATGTGAAGATTAGAAAACTGAACACATTTTTGTCAAGGAAAAAATAATGTGGCCAAAATTAATAGATACGCAATGTAGAAGTACTGTAAAGCTGAGAAAATGTGAAATGTAAGGTCGGTGAAATCGTTTAGAGGTTAGGTAATACTCAGCAGGGATTTGTCTTTTTTTTTTGCGGTTATGGCTACCACTTTTGTTTCATTTGTTGCTGTAACCTACAGTTTGTTTTAGAAACTCTGGGGGTTTTCTTTTTTAATTCTTCTTTCTGCCAACTTGGGTTGATCCCAAAAAGTGTATTTACGCTGGCGGATTACGGTGCGATAAACTTTTAAGTGACAGATATATTTATTCCTTCGCATAATCATTTTGATTGGTGACGTATAATTATTCAAACACTTCCGAGGGATAGTTAAGTAACGCATGCGTACTTATTCAACAAACGCAACAGACATTGCACGTGAAAAATTCTTTTTTTTGCTTAGTTTGTTTGTCTTCTTCTGTCTTCTAGTTTTTACAAAGTAACTACGTTTTGGAGCAGTTTTTAAAAGAAAAGAGCGTCTTTCGTACGCAGTGAGAATTTCTTGAAAAGGAATGTTTGTAATCTTTAAATCCTGTGAAATGTGACATATTTTGTATGAAGTGTGACATGTTCATTAGATGTTGACCCCGTTCGTGGTGATCATGGAATTGTTAGCAGTGTATCTTCACTTTAAGTACTTTTAAACTTCCCCGCAATCCTTAGGCCTCCAGGTGTCGAGTGAAGACATCTTAAGTAACTGTTGAAATGTTTGAGTCGTCTATGTCGTTAAATCTGAGGAATTTGTAACGAGGTGTTCAAATTACCTATGGGATATGGGGGGATACAGCATTGACTTAATCATTGACATCACTATAGCCGGACGTTTTCATGAAAATGGTTTTTCATGTTTTATCGCCGCAGAGTTAACATGTCTGATAGTTAATGGAACAAGAACGATTTTACGATACCAGGATATCGCGAAACCTTTACGAGACAGAGACTCATACTAAGCTAAAAAGCTGTGGAACTTTCCACATTTCTTATGTAATATTTCGTGAACGTTGTTGTTTTATATTTTATGTTGTAAGTAAAAGCGAAACTATAAGATCTTGCTCATACCGCAATGTGTACTCATTAAAACATTTAATCAAGCGGTTATACATTTGTTGCTCAGTCTTTGTCAGTCGTCGTTTGATAAAGAGACAGCGGTTACTAGAATGGCCGCTTAAAACACTGCTGTTTGGTCGAACATGTCGCAACTTGTTAATAAAGGATAGTTAGTTCTTTTCAAACGTTGATTGAGGTTTTACTCGTTCAACATTTGCGACGTTTATCCAATTTTCTTTACATTAGCCCCCTACCCCTGTCCAATGTTCTCGTGCCTTTTTTCTTTTTGAAAACTAATTGAGCATCGTTTAGGCCGCGAAATCCCGTGTTTAGTAAGTGATAATTGAGTGATGAACCTATTGAAGAAAGGTTAGGAATTTGTTCAAGAGGTAGAAAAACTATAAATTCAGAAGGTAGTGAAGGTCATATGAGGTGTCTGTTACTCTAAAGTTCAGCTCGAGTTCTATTTCGTCTGATGGTTGCATAAAGAAACTTTTTGCTGCTTGTTGCAAAGTACTTCAAGTTCCGTTTCTTTGTGTTTTCAAAAAGTTCACAAACTAAAATGGTGGTGGATTTTCTGGTAAGTGAATACCTCTTAACTTTAATTTGCTTTACCCAAAACAAGTTTAAAGGTAGAAACGGAAAGGCTTGTTGTGGAACTGCGTTGGCGGTGAATTGACTGGTTTGATGTGGTCTTTATATAACCTAAATTGCCCTTGTTAAAGAGGGCACAAAGGCAAACGTTTCGTACGTCATTGTAAAGTCATGGCTTATTCAGTTTAGTAGAGTGAGTCGTTCAGAATGTGCTTTCTTTTTAACACATCTTTTGTGATCATTTTAAAAGCTCGCGCGTGAGTTCTCATGATACGACCCCCAGATGGAGAGATGGCAGACATGCCACTGAAGGCTCGATTCGACTCGTAACTTGAAAATCTCACGTTGAAAGTTCAATGAAATTACGTTCTTTACCTAACTTTGTTTTCATCATCCTTAAAAAGCGATTTTTTGTACTTGCGTAACACCGAGCAGATCACAATACAATAATCGTCTGGAACTTGATCTGTACGAAAATGTTTTCTTAGAAGACGTCTTTGTAAGTTATGCATTTGTGATTTAATGTTTCTAACTTTATTTCTGGTTAATTGCCTTGGCTTTTCACCTTGCGGTATATATATTCCTTTTGTTTCCCTTACCACCGGTGACGCTAATATTTAGCAACAACGTTGTCATTTTGTGAAAGCAACAACTTGAAAAAAAGTGACTTCTCGTCATTTTCTCCTTCAAATAAATTTTTCGTGTACCCATTCAAGTATCGTTTTATTGGAAAGAGATACTAAAGGGACATTTTTCGGCGTCAAATGATTATTTGCGAGAAAAGACTGGGGCGATTTTCAAGACCACCTTCTTTTTAGCCGGAAAGAGTTATTTTTATCGCGATTTAAGACTTTTGGACCGGCTGCAAATTGAATGTGGCCTTTGTAACCTGTCTTAAGGCGTCCGGTGAAAATCACTGCAACCTTTGATGTCGTAATGTTATGTACATTAGGTATGTGCAGTGCAAGGGAATTACCTTCGAGATCTTTCTTTTTCATTGTTCTCTTGAGTCAGTCAAGGAGTTTATTCAATGGCTACGAAGGCCTTGTCCACTCATATCCGGACATTTTTTTAAAAAGGAGTTGTTTTTTCCCCTTTTTGAAAAAGTAGCGTATTCGAATCGCTTTCGCCCGTTCACACGAAAAAGCTAAAACAATGGAAATACGATAGCATGCAGGGCATGCGCAGTATGACGTATGAAATCATCGTATTCAAAAGGCTTCGTTTTCGTCCGTCCACACGAAACGATAAGCCGGCGCGAATTACAAAAAACTCCTCTCTGGGGACCGTTTCCGAAAACCTGCGTTTTTGTTACCCGCCGTCTACAAGACGGAAGGCTGAAAGGTAGAAAAAAAATCCCCGTTTTCAAATATATCCAGATACGTGTGGATGGAACCTAAGTTGAAAATGGTATTTTTAGATCATTTTACACCCCTTGAAACCCAAAGAGTGAGGCGTTTAGCTTAAGTTAAAAAAAATGCAGTACTTTGCTCCTTTTGATTGGTTGTTGTTGTCAGGGGTGAAAATCTCAGCTGTTTTCAGGCTGTAAAGTGCAATGGTCACCAAGCCGGGTGATGACACACGTGAAATAATGGATCAGTATCGAGGTTTTTCGTTGTTGTTTGTTTAATGAATATATTGTTACGTAAAGGGCCTGTGTCACCAGGATGTTGCCGTTTTAGGTTTAATCTGTCCTGAAGTAATTTACCCAAACACAAAATGCTCCTGTAGAGTTATGAAAAAGATATCAACCAAGTTTCACCAGGGAGCATTAAGCCGGAATACAAGGCAGTTTTGCTCAAAATCCTTCATAGTAGAATATTTCATCCACAGACTTCTAAGGAAAAATACTTGGTGGGCACAATAGCTCATAATAGAAAACACAAATGTAAATTAAAGTACTGCTTAGTAACGACAGTATTTGTTGGAAGGGGTTATGTCACGAGGACATTATTCAGTGCCGTTTTGGGTCAATTTTAAAGCGGTGAAGTCATTACTTAGTGTCTTTACTCGCACACGAAATACTCCTGTAGCGTTATAAAGAAGATGTCAAACAAATTTCATTAGGGAGCACTAACTATAATACCTCCTTGAATGGCTTTTGCGGTCATAGCATTAAAACTTTAAAACAGGTGGCCTGACTTTTTCAAGTTTCAATCCACATCCATCTTAGCCTTTCCATCCCTAGCAACAGAAGACAGGAAACAGTTTCAATTCCTAAATATGGTCTTAAATAACATAACTGGACCATTATTTTTGGAATTTAATCGATGCGAAGACACATTTTAGCTATGTAAAAAGACATCAAATAGCTTGACATAGTTCCTTTAACAAACCCAACCTTACATAAATCATGTTGAGAAAACATTACATCACTCTGATTAGCAGAAAATGATAGTGATTCGAGCAATGGAAAATAGATGACGTCATAAACGATGACGTCAGTTGCTGTTTGGATCTTTCGCCTTTTAGACAAATTTGGAAATGTCTACTCATAATTTATGATGGGAAGGAAAATCTTTAAAATCAGTGCTAAAGAAATTAGTATTACACGAGGTAGTACTTTTACACGGTTCGTTTTCAAAAAAAAGCATAAATGGTCGTAGAATTTAATTTTTATGTTACTGTAAAAAAGATTGTTTTTGAAAGAAGCAAAGTGATTTATCTTTTGTTGCAGCCTGACCTCAAAATATCAGAAGAATATTTATTAGAATGTTCCTTATAGATTTTTTAAATCAACAGACCGTAAATCGTGCACGTGATTGGAGATATCCGCGTGCCGATGCGTTCATTTTCTCTACAGGGACGTCAAATACAAAAATGATGTCGCAACATTATAAAAGTGGAAATTATGTTACGACTAAAAAAGCGGAGAACGGATGCATTGTCCCTGTACGTAAGATGGGATTAACGTTGTGGCCATATATGTCGTCTGTGTCTAAGCTCACCTGCACGAAATCAGCTTAAACGGAAATAATGTAAAAGCGTCACCTTGAACAAGGTTTAGTGCAAAAGCCTCGTTGTTTTATGTTTTACCAGTCTTTCGAAAACAATGTTTGAATCTTATTGTTCAGTTGAAAGGATCCGGCGAGAAATTAAATGTATGGGAGCGTGGGAAGTTAGACTGAGGAAGCGATCCTTCGTATCTAAGGCAAGTAGAGCCGGGTAAGAGTTTACTGACGTTACATGAAATGTTACTGTCTGACTGACCCCGAGTTTTGGGCTGCAAATTGAAAACTTTTGTACCTCGATGTGTTTGTGATGCAACGGGAAGTAATTTCCTCTCAGGTATAAACTAGGTGCCAAAGCTAGAGTATTTAGCACCTTAAAAACGTCTTCACTGATCAGCCTTCGTATTCTCAAAGCTGCTGATCTTACGGTTGTGTTGACCGGCTGGATTTGCTTAATGATCAAGACTTTTTTTTCTTGGTGATCATCGCATTATTATGTTTGGCTGAGAAGTGATATTGAGATTCTTAGGTGGTTAAAGAAGTCGGCTTAAGGACGTGAGAGTTGTACGAAAACATTTACTCTAAGTTACTAGAAACTCTTCAGGCATAAATGTGAGGAAAAGTATCCAAGAAGATAATAAGGGATGTGAAAGGAGCTACTAATTTTTTCAGTTTATCGCTTGCAATATATGTAAATGCCATGCCGCTGCCATCCCTAACCATCCTTGAATCCTTCGTCTTTTGATATTTTTCTGTTTTACTTAACTAGTGTTTTAAGGTTCACTTCAGTCGCAAGAAAATTTACGCTGCAAAATGATAACTCCATACTGATGTCTTTTCAAAGAGTACATCAAGAGGCGCAATCGATTGGCCGCATACCCTGAATAAAAGAACAATAACTGTAGAAGTCTCTAAACAGCGAAGATATCAATCTTTTGAAAATTTCCGCAAGTATATTACAGTTCAAATCTGCCGGAAATTCCATCATTTAATGTGATCGGCAAGAGTTTTCATTCAGCATCTAAGTAAATAAATAAAAATGATTTTTATTTATTTACTTAGGTTGGTCAATTTTGGCCGGGTCACCCCAACAGCGCATGACGGCAATTACTGCTGGCCTGTAACATTTCCTTCCTCCACACACCGGCCGGAACATACGTACCCTACTCTTTTTGAACAGTGTGCGGGTTCTTTAGCATCATTCAGAATTTATATATGTGTGTGTGTGTGTGGGGGGGGACGAAATCTAACCGCTTGCAGATGCCTTTACAAAGGCAGCGCTTTCTGCTCAGTTATCTGAAGACTCAACAAAATCATCACTTCATAACAAATATATAGGTGATTTCTAAGCATGGTAAGTCTCACCTTCATGGAAATTGAAGAAACCGATATTGGCGGCTGTTGCTTTATAGCTGGAGCTCCCCACATGGCTAAATCGTCAGTTTCTCGTAAACGAGTATGACGACGTATCACTTCTTTCTATTTTTTTTTCAAAATGACCATAAGAAATATAGATCGTTTCCCAGAGCAGAGAAAGAAACGGTAGCCGAAAACATGTTTAAAGCATGTATTCGAAAATATCATAATATGACTAATATTGTAAGGATTTATTGTGTATATACATGATGCTGTTTCCCCTAATGGAGAATGGGGGACCTGTATTTATCATATGTTAAACAACCAATAGGGGAAATTTAAGGTTCTATTTCAGAGAAATGACCTTAAAGGGCTCCAGATTGTCTAATTAACCTAAATGCTCTTCTATATATCGTTTGTGTTCTTTTACAGTTGGTAGTACTTGACAATTATTGCTCGAGCCCGAATGGGCTATTGACTCACAGGCCATGAGGGCGAGAGGAATAATTGTTTTAGTAAAATCCAACTAGTTGGTCAAAAATATCGAGAATAAAAAAATTGTAGCTGGTTAAAGCTACGCTTTAATCCTTTTTTGCCGCCAAAAAGCCCGCGCTTCCGCGCTTTTCGCTGCTAGTGGGCTATAACATATAGCCTAGTAGTAGCTCAACCAATCAGAACGCAGCATTGATAATAGACCGCTAGTTGGATTTTACTAATTAGTAATATTTCAGGGCTGGAATTGCGTAAAGCAGTGCTCGGTGGACCCTACCCCCTTTAAAAACTAAGGTTGTTAATATTAATTTCCATGGTAACCTGTTAAGACCACACCTTGAAATTGCTGTGAGCCACTTTAATTCCCTCAACTTCTTTGGCTATCATAGCAACAGACGTCTTTTTGCTGTTTTGCTTTTCAAGCAAGATTCCGTTTCTGTGTCCTTGTTTTGAGGTCATTGTGAGTTCCTCGTGGGCTGAAGCAACAAGCAAAACTGTTGACTTCTTTTGGTCCTTTTTATACGTGCATTTAGCATAATATTGTGTTTATAAGTTATTTGAGTACACTTATTATTAAATTTAGTGCACTCGTTAATTAATTAACGAGTTATTTTTGTCTAATATAAGTTGAAATGTTGCGAACTTATCCGTGTTTTCCAGACTTATGGGTGGTTGTGAAACATGATTTTATTCAAATTTTGCAGGTTTTAAACTCAAAGTTAGAATCACGTAAGACGTACGGCGGAAGAGTTCTATTTCCCATCAGCGCGATTTTTACAGGCAATTTGCAATAAAGAGAGCTTTGTTCCCTAGAGACCTCTAGTAAGTTAGACGCGCTGGCGCCAGAATATATATGGGCACCGATGTTTTTTCCCCCACAATGCGAATGCTTCCGTCTAAAGAGTGCACATTATTTGATTTTGAAATCTGAACTCATGCACATTAATAATAGCTATCAAAACTTATTATTATTCCCAAAATGCTGTTCTTTGATTGTCTATGATAAATCTGGCTCGTGCTTGTCATTTTTTCCATTTCTCCACTAACAGCTTTCCTGAATTCCTTCATCCTTCTGTTACTTCAGCTAATTATTTTTCCCGCAAAATTGCGCTTATGTTTACATTTCTATGAATCCTTAAGTCCCTCAGATAGGGCTCATTAGCTGGAATGTGTTCCCTCTGGAATATACCGTTGTTATTAACGATTCATTCCTCCAAAAACGAAAGCTATAGTTTGATTCTAACTTAGTACAGGTGTTGATTCTCGCTGAAAAGACACTTGTTTGTTTCTCTTTGGCTTTTGTTTGTTCGGTTCATTTTGTAAAATCATTTCGCGTGATACGAAAGCGCTCTGAGTTAGTCCTTTGACCTTAAGTATTGGGCTATCCCTGTCTCGAGTGAAATTCCTAAGACTCTTAAGTATGTTATACAAGTCTATACTTAAAACTCAAATTTTATTTCTATTTCCTTTCAAAGAC